TGTGGAACAATTCCAACATAACTCTACGTTAATAATTATATTCTTGCGGTATTTAGCTCAGACTTATGGTAATACGCACTCAGGGTGATGATACATTAGCACCTTGATGAGAGCCATACTCTAGTCCGACCGTCGTTTTCCTCAATAATTTGACATTAATGTGCCGTGTCATGAAGCCAAGCTGTTTTTTAACATTACTTTCACACATACATACGACTGTGCAAAATCTTATTTGGTGAGTTTTTGTGTTTTGCCAGATTGACAACACTGATATTTGTGTGTTGTTTATGGCGCTTTTACTCACTGACAATGGCTCCGCTGCTGCTCACTCTCTCTTTCCGTTAATTTTATTTATGTGTGTTGTTGCTGTTGCTGTCGCTGCCGATTGTCGTTACGACTGTGACTCGAGAACAATTCTGCTACCACATTCAATAGTTCAGTTAGTTTACGTATTTCGATAAGTCGGGTTGAGTTCAGTTAAGCCGAAGCAAACATATTACAACGCTCGAACAGTGCGGCGAGTTCAAACGGTAAACAATATCGAAATTATGAACAACGTACGAGGTACATCCAACAAATTTGCCAACCATTAACAAATCGTGACGTGAGTTTGATTTTAGTTTTGCTATCATTTTACACGAGACACACACAATTACTGCTTTGACACACATACATACATCGCCAGATGTGTAGATGAATGCTTGTGTGTTTGAGCTACACATTTACCTAGTTATCTATTACGGCGTTTTCTGGCCGGTGCCATCGGTTTATGTGTATGTCAATACATATGTTCCTAGCGAAAATGACTCTGAAACGAATAAGAAAAGGTGATAACAGCGTTGAAGAAGTCTTGATAAGTGTTTACACTTTTCTGTTTCGCGGTTGAATAGTTTATTTTGTTGTTGATTGAACGAGTCGATGTGCCGAGCGAGAGTGTTTTGTTCTAACACAGAGATTATTTGACTTCATGTGATTTTGAGCATAGGCTAATGAAGCCGTCTCTATTTAAGTATTTTGCTGGGATTGAAAAATTAAAACGGATTTGACTATAAATTAGCATTTTAGGGTCCTCGGAAAAAAAGAATTTTGACGGTGACACTGACTATTAATTTCAAGGCTTAAATTCAGTTTACAATTAAATTGGATTTAGCAAACAAACAACTAGTAATTGAAAACACACACGAAAAGTTTTCATACGGTATACCTGCCTCTAGATAGGTAAGTAATTTCTTGCAGGAGGGTTAGTTCACACAAATGTAAATTAGCATGACAAAAAGTAAACATATGACTTGTTTTGAAATTTTTTGGTAAAAATTGTTGCTAGCTAATATGTCAATTCAAAGAGAATGATCAAATCGGCGAAACAAACCAAAATTCACATTCCATTACAAAATTTAAATTTGAAAATAACAGCAGACTCACGAAAAACATGTTATGCAACTGTTGACAGTTTATTTCTGACTCTGTTCAACTTCTATTAGCTTTGTATTTGTACAAACTATTCGCTGCTTTGAAAAATAAAAACAAAATATTTTGAAATTAGTGATTAACCTGTTTTGCCATTGAATTGAATTATATTTCTATGAAAGAAAATTCAGGTATTTCATTCATTATTCGCGTTTTTAACTCATTTTAAAAATGTTGAAAATAACGAATATGTAAGAATAATTGTAACAGAGAGCAGGCATATTTCAGTAGTTTTGCGAACCTGTTTTTGCCTCCTCATTATACCTTGATAATAGTATTCATGGCACAATTAATACGAGGTAGAAGCTACCGACTCATTTAAATTTTATATTTTCTATGAATTATTCTTTCAAAGCAACTAGTGTATGCATTGTTTATACCCTCAGCCGTATGGCTACAGAGGGTTTATATCATTTTATACGGCCAAAACGTGCCTAATCGAAATAACGGTTTTAGACCATAGGTCACTTTGGAGCAAATCCGTTTCACAACATTTGGAGTTGATCTAGCGATGTCCGCCCGTCTGTCTGGCTGGTGCGCACGATAACTCTCGAAGGGAGTAGCCAATTTGATCCAAACATGGTACATCGTATTATTATTGTCAAACTTAGATCGGGTTCGGAGATGGGCAATATCGGCCCACTCCTTCTGGTACCTCCTCCACAAAGTGTCAAAATTTTGAATATTTGTGAAGCTCATAAAACACGATCCGATTCAATTCAGACATGGTACATCTCAATATTTCCACCAACACAAGATCTGTTCATATATGGCAGAGGTCAGACCATTCTTTCTGGTACCTCCCCCACAAAGGGTTAAACTTTTCAATAACCAAACCGATCATAAAATCCGAAATAAGCATCCGGTTCTCTTCAAATTATACACATCACAATATTTTTATTAACCCAAGATCTGCTGTGAAAATGGGATATATCTTCGAACTGTTTCTGGTACTTCCCCCACAACAGGTTCAAAATTTTGAAAAACAAAATGCTCGTAAAGCGCAATATAAGCATCCAACTCTCTTCAAATTGCACATAATTAAACATTTTTGCTAACGCAGAATCTATTGTAAAGATGATAGATATCTACCAACCCGTTCCGGTACCTAACCCACAAATGATCACAATTTCCAATAGTCATATCTGTCATAACTTTTACATTCTTTACAACTTTCTATATTGAAATATTTCTCTTAACTAGAAATCTGATATGATATGTGTTTGATCGAAATTTATGATTTCGCATAAAATTGGATATAAATGTTCGATTTCCTACAAATTTTGCACATACCAATATTTTTATCTGTATAAGATGAAGTGTGGAAATGGAATATTTGGGTCCGCCATATCTGTTACCTCACACATATCTCCACATTTTTCAAAAATTTGCACATATTTCATATAAAGTCTAGGAAGTAGTCGATATAGTCCAAATCTGGCACGTTGTAATATTTTTATCAGTCTTAGGTCAGATACGAATTGGTCAATATTGACCAACTGCTTCGGAACCTCCGAAGGCTGGGGTTATACATCTGTCGGCTTACTTATTTATATAACATTAAATATTCTTTAAAAGTAGCCAAATTCATTACGTATAATAAATTTCGTATTTAACGATCCTAATGGATACTACAGCCTATGACAAGAAGTTGCGTATGCAGATTCTCGTCTTCGTATAGCCCCCATGTAACGTTCTTCATTTAAATCGTATTTTTCGACGATATTTTTTAAAGTTTTCTACGTTCCTTCCCAATGGTGGAGGCTATTCAAAGTTCAGCCCGGCCGAACTTATGTGCTTTTTTACTTGTTATATAATGGTATTATGAAGAAGCCAAATGAATGGCCAATATAAAAACAACAATTAAATGGGCCACCCTCTTTATATACATGTCTATATATGTGCAATGCAAAATCCATTGTCGTTCGACATATCCTCTCAGCATAATGTTTAGCAAACATTAGCTAACTTCTCTTACAGTGTTAATAGGCCTAATGAAGGAAGCCGGTTTCAGTTCTAGAATTTGTGGTTCCAACAAAATGTTCTCCATTTCAGAAGGGAATCTTAATTGGTGTCCATTGGATATAATTTAGGCAATCGGCCAGTGCTCTGTTTAATTTCATGGCACTCATTACCATTTGCCCATCCATGCTGAGCCCCAATCGCAAATAAGTGATTCACCATCGCAGACAGCAACACCACCACCACCATAACAACAACAACAGCATCAACAAACAAGGTAATAAACTCTAAAAGTACACACACACAGGAAACAATCAAATAACGCAATTTCACGATGTGTACTCAGAGTCGCTATCAGTGCCAAGCAACGGCGAACTCGTGGCACGCTTCTTTCAACGCTTTGCCCTGAAATGATGTATTGACACCGCTGTTTGTCTTAGCCATCCATACCTCTTTGGTATTAGGGTGGATTTGTCCCTATCCAATTTTGTGATATTTAACTCTGATCCTCGCCGATTAAATGTAAATATCGTCCATTTACTCAAAGAGTGGCCTAAGTCAAAAAATACGATTTTGAAGTTAGCAGTTTCTCTTTTTCTATTAATTTTGCTTTATATGTCTATGTTTAGATCTGTAGAACTCGAGGAATTGCTTCATTAATCCACAAAATAGTATATTGGGCTGTTTGAAGCACTTAAAAACTTAAAACCTCACTTGATCCTGCACAGAAATTTAACAGTGATATCTGATAGTTTTCCTGCCCGATAGCTGCTGTACTGTCGAACTAGTCCAATCGCACCACCACATGCCGAATGTAGGGCACAACCAGCCAAATCGAACAAATGCCATTTAATTTATCGGCGGTCTTCTCTGTTCCATTTTGTTGCCAGTTTTTTGTTGAAACAAAAACAACAAAAAACCTAAACAAAAAATTCAAAAATAAACGCAACTCTTGGCCAGCGATTTGTGTTTGAAAACATTGTGAAGTGGTACTAAATATAATTATCGAGTCTATGCAAAGTCTGTGGAACACATACGGCAGTGTCACACACCCCCTTTCCTGGTCCCCGCCCGCCATTGTAGTGTTGTCATTGGAGGGAACACCAAAATCGTTGGGGCTGAAAAGTTACTCTCTTCATGTTCGACGGCATTGATTATGTCCGCTCAGGGTTCAAGGGGGGAAGAGTTGCAGGAAGTACACACACAAAACTCTCAACTCATTTTGGTTTGTGGATGGAAATCGATCGTAAAAGCGAACCACTAACTAGCAAATAAATGGTGGGATTGTTGTTGGTGTTGTTTTCGGTATTTCTAAATTTGTTTTGCCACCTGTAAAAAACGTCGAAATGAGAAGTTGCGTTTTTGTTCTACACGTCAACTGAATTCAGATTCCGCGAGAGGAACTTGAACGGCTGAACAAATACTGAAGCTCTCTGGAATTAGAGAGTAGGGGCGAGGAGTCAACCCAGCATTTGCCCAACTAAAGGAACAACCGCTGAGTTTGTTTCCCAATTGCCCGAGTGTGCGCAAGTGATTTATCTGAAGTGCGTTCTCCGCCTTCTCCGTTCTTTGGCGGCGTTATCGTTATCATGTATGCGATACGAATGAGTGTTCTTCTGTTCAACGCGACGAGTGCACGTCAGAAAGTTCTGTTCCGATTCGATCGATGAGTTAATAATACGCGTATCGCTGTCGCCGCCACAGCTGTGCTTCAGTTCTTCCCAAACTGAATAAATATTTGACAAATTTCCAAAAAAAAAAAAAAAATTAATCCAGTCCGAATATCCAATGCATTTGTGAATTCAAACGAAAAAAAAAAAACAAACAAAGAAGTCGGCACTAAACCTTGCGTGTGTGATATTCTCAAAACAAATAATAATAACTAAAGCAATTGTGTGACCAAAGAAGCACTAATTTCAATATTTTTATATTGAACGGTAAATAAAGGCTGAGACACAAAAGGCGATTGGCATGACTGTTCGGCACATTTAGTGACATATTATAAAGGATCTCCACTTGCATTTTATCGTCGTTGGCCCTCAGCATTTGGTATTAACAGCCAATGCGACGATGACAATCGCTTTATGTATCTCCACCTTAAAATTGAAAAATTCGGCTGCCAAAGTTGTCAGTGCGGCATTTCAATTACAGAAATATTTGCTCAGTTTCAAAAATGTACCCCCCTTCCTGATCTTTATCGATATTCAGATCGGGCTTCAAAAGCAATCCAACTCATCGGTCCAACTACTTACACACTTATGTACATGCATACATACATGTGTTTGTGCCATGTTCACCTGAGTGTTTCGTTCGTTATCACCATTCTCACGCCTTATCAATTGCCAATGCCCTCAAGTCCAAGGTGAGCATGGATAGATGTCATTCATGTCAATAATTTGTTACACAAATTCCTCGGCAGAGTGGCATGGCAAAAATAGTCAGTGGCCAAGGTAGTTGTGAATCGCCATTGAATTGTTATCCGAAGGAATCGTTAAGCGGTACATGGTTCGATTGAATGCAACGTCCTTTAAATTGAGTTTCCATGGGCGTAAAAAAACACGGTCGTTCTAAAGATAGAGAGATAGTAGAAAATTAATAACGCCATTGTCGAGCTAAGCGTCATTTAGCTCGGCCCACAAATACAGGAGAGGTGTTACTAAGGAATTTTCTTATGCTCCATACTGAAGGTATTTTAGTCTGCGAGGGATCTCTCTCTCTTCCTCTCTCTGTCTCCTGTCCGCAGTTCCACAGATCACAGACGTGTTATTTGTCTTCCACAGATTTGCGTTATGTTCATCGGAAGGTTGTGGCTTGCAAATACTTGCCTTCTAGCCTACTTATTGTTCCATGATTGTGGTCTGTTGTTTATGTTCACTTATCGACGGAGTCATGCTTAGGTGTTCCAGACACTAGGTGCACGTCTTTTTAAACATGGTATTTTACATTTGAAATTTATTAAAATTATTCTGATCATTGACATTATGAATTCTGCATTGCCTATGCCCTGATGTTCTGATTTTTGAAATGAATTGGGAATTTTTATTCCATTCAACCATTTATATTATTACTGGAAAAGTTGGCATCTTTGCGTCATACACAAACTATACCAGATGCCGGAAAACTGTCGGAGATTTCAGAAAGAACAACCCGAAAAGAAACCACCTAAATCTCTATAAGTCAAAAATGGCGTATGGAACACTTAAGCATGACACGGACGTCATGTAGTTGTGGTGTAAACATTTAAAGATACTGTTTGGGATACAATTTGTTCATTCGGTATTTTGGCTACGCATTTGGCAATGGCAATTTTGCTGGTCGAATGTCGGAAGCGAGTGCTGGCATACAGTTCGTTGTGGGAATTCCTTTATTCGTGTAGCCAGTATATCAACAGACGTCCATTGCAGCAACAATAACAACAACTATGTACAACGCAACACACATAATTCTATATTTACAACATTCCAGCTCTGCAGTTGGAAACATAATTGGCTCTCTTTGTTTCGATAATTTTCGCATTAAGATCTTTATTCAGAATCATTATTGAAACCATGTGTCCGCTGCGTCTAATTGGAATCGAATTCCTATATTCACTTTTAAAATCGCCCTAGCTAGAAAACGAGAACATGATCAAGATAAACTGTCAGAGATCTCAACATCAGTCAGTTAAAAAAAAAGAACAGAAGCATAACTAAAATGAAAGCATTATAAAGAGACCGAAAATGAAGCACACTATTAATTGATCAGTCATAAAATCGAGTTCATTAGGTCATTCTGAATGGATGAATTTGGTTTGGATAAGATTTCCTCCAGAAGAGAAGGAGTGACACCCTTTTATTGGATTTACAAACTTCGATTTGCCGACAGATATATACCCTCAATATATGACCGTCTAGTTAGTCAGGTCAATTTATCATCACAGAAAATGACTTCTTCAATTTCAGATTTCGAAAAATCTACATATTTTTTAAATATCACCAATTGGGATAGGGGATCTGAGGTGACCACTGTTCGAAAATATTAGTATGTTCGACAATTTTCTACGCCTTATGAGGGGTTCAGTACTTTGTACCAGTTTTTTCCATTATAGTACGCCCTCTAATTCCGGATGAAATATTGAGATGTGCGAAGTTTTATGAAAAACTGAGCAAGAAGCAGAGGCCGATGTTGTCCATTTTCATATTTGACACAAGTTTGACATAAATATTTCGATTTGCAAAGTTTCAGCCAAATCTGCGACTGGCATCGTTTTTTATTTTGAACTTTTTGTTGGAGGTACCACAAGTAGTAACAAGTTGTTACCCATCTTCGATCTCGATCTTAGGATATTTGGCATCTGTCTAGCGGTATCCACTTGCTTCTCAAGGTTGTTCAAGGATGTGCACTTCCTGCCCGACAAAAGTCTAAAAAATTAATAGCTCTTATAGATAGTAAAGAGAACACCTGACACTCACATCATAACATTTTGATTATCAAGGGCTCGTCAAAAATGTTTTATTCGGCTTCGGCTTTGTTCGCGTTGAAACCAAATGCTACCGATTGCGAAGAAACATTCTGCAACATTACCATGATTTTCAAAGTAATGCCGCAACATTTCCCAGCGTTGTTGAGGCGTATGCACACCCGTATTTGAAAGTTTCCCTGGCCCTATTTGTGGTTTTCAACACACATATCTGTGTATGAAACGCTTTCCTACAATGGAATTCCCATTTTTATAGTGGTCATTTGCGTATGCTTAATATCCTGGCGACCCGACCATTGATCATACGCCTGACGTGGCCAGTGTCCAAATGGTCAATGGATTTTAAATAATTGTCCAAATCAAATAAAAAATGTACATATCCTCTTTTCAAATTCCGAATCTCCCTTACTTTTGAGATCCGCGAAGGGTCTGCCGCCAGGGTGGCAACTCTACGACGAAGGAAAGTGAATTCTGCAATGTCTGGATGACGTAAGACACTCAAGTTGATTTGAGAACACACGTGTTTGTGTGTGAAAGAATATGTCGTCTATTCGATGTATAAACCGCATGGGTTGCTGCAGTACTAAAGAGCGAACCTGTGTGAGTGTGTGTGTTCCGTAGTCGCAGTTGTTGTATTATTGTCCCAGAGTATGAATATCTCTGGCGATTGGCGATTATTTGGGCTCTGGCAAATAAAAATACAAAACCGACTAAACTAAAACAATTGACAGCCCTTCTAGTACAGGCGCGATCGTCGAGCTGAAAATACACGATTTCCGCAACATTGTTTTTGCCCAAGCCCGACTGAGTTTAATTCGGAAATGGACATTGTTTTCGCGCTTTGCCTGTGTCGTTGTCGTATTAAAGCTGATATTCTGCCAGTGGCAACGGTATGTACTTGGAATGTGTCGTTCAGTGTGAAGTGAATTCATGGGTCGCGGGGGTGGCGGCACATGACAATTTCAAAATAAGTAAATGTTGTCCAACATCTTCCAACTCCGTTCAATTAACACAACTCATTCCCACAAGTCAACAGATGCTCTCCCAATCGGTTCGGAATTAGGTTTGAAGAGCAACTGCATTCATTAACCAGTGCCCATCATTCTGTACAGGGTGGGACATCGAAAACCAGCCACACTTTTAAACAGACACCCCTTGAAGAGCGGTAAATCAATTTCTTACGAATCGATTGAATTGCACCCCCTGAATTGAAAGGCAATTCACTTCAAATCCATCTGGTATTTGTTAATTGATCTCGCAGAAAGCTTTACATCGTGTTCTAAAATTGGAGGTGCCCGGTCAAAGTTTTACACCACACAAGTCAATCGCATCCATTGATACTATGTACGTTTCGTGAATGGTATCATATTTCAATTGGACTTTCAATGCAAATAGATCTGTAGTCCGGATTCGACAAGGTCAGGCAGCCATCGCTCATAATTTTTAAGAACCAGACAAATGAGTTCGTGCATTAGTTGTCAATAGAACAACGTTTGTATGTGTGATGTGGGACTTTAAGGCAGTTGCAACAATGAATGAAAACTTTAAAAATCTAGTTGTTTAACTTCCAAATTTGTCCTTGCATCTCCTTCCCATTTGTTTTTTTTTTATTTATTCTTCGAACAATTTTACATCGCATTTTTTCATTATTTGTTGACAATATCGAAAACTGTTAGCATTTATTGTCTATGAAAAATGCTAGACAATAAAGATAACCATCGGCGCAGTTTGTGTATGGCAATAAACTAGAACTCTGATTCGAGACAATTTGTCTTGTGTAAAACGTCAGGTTATTCCCAATTCAATATCGATGGATAGACAGTCAAAGTTCACTCCCCACTGTATTCAATCTATAGGTGTATGTGCCATTTACGTTAAATCGAATTCGATGTCCTCGATTTAAAACATTTTCAAACTTAAGGAAAAAGCCGAAATCAATTTTGCGCGCGAGCCTATATATCTCATCAAGTCTTGAGAAATTTCGGCAATTACAAAAGAGAAACCGTTTCGGAAGAAAATGTGTGTACCATGATTTTTTCGTGTATTTAATTTCTAAATAACTCATTTAAATAGCCCTGTAGTTGGAATTTATGAATTTTGTCTGCATTACATTATTTGATTTTTTGAGAAGAGACCCTAAAGAACGCTGTAAGGGCTTGAAATTATTATTTTTATCTATATTTTACCGGTGACGGTCATCACGTGTGCAAAGGTATCAGCGTTTTGTCAGCATTAATGGCCTTCACATTGTTTGCCTTTGAATTTTTGGAAGGTAGTACCCCTATTGTTTTGCCTGTTTGCAGTGCAAATATTTAATGAAGACACATTCCCATTATCGTTTATGTGCTGTTTGTGTCTGTTCTAAATACAAAGAGAGGGAGAGAGAGAGAGAGAGACAGGGGTCAGTGCAGATGTTGTCGGGTCATATTGTAACGGACTCACTCGCAAAGGGGGATTAATTGAATAGTTCCAAAACCTTGCGCAATACGTAGTCCCACCAAATGAGGGGTCTCCCAAGAATCAAACATCCGTCCGGATAACGACTGAGTTTGTGACATTACGAAATGGTGACACATTTAGATCCATTTGCATTGCGCCACCATTGTTTGCTCTCAGATGGAAATGGTGGCGATCTGGTGAGCTTCTTGGCACACATTACAATGAGTGGTGGCTGGTTTTCTGTTTTTCTTTCATTAGCGCTTTTCTCGCGAGAACTTTTCTTCGATTTTGTTCGGTTGGCCATTAAGGAAATCCAAAATACGCAATTATGAAATAGTTTGTGCGTCGTTGAAACGGTGAACCGAGCAGAACAGAGACTTTTCCTCATTTCCCACAGAAATTGTGTTCCTGGGTGTTTGCATTCAAATGTGTGCGAGTGTGCCAGTGTGCACGTTTGTGTCTGTGTGTCCATTCTTAAAAAACCGTGTCACAACTGTTTACGAAAAAGAAAGCAAGAGCAGAAACAATAAAACATATCAAAATCGTTCAAGAAGTAGACGGTATACAAACCTATATATATATACATAAATATATCTTTCGCCGGTCGGGATCTGTCTGGCACTAAGTTTGATGATTGTAGTACGAGTGAGCGGCATTTCAGTTCAGTGATCAAAGTCGAAAGAAACGAACGAAACGACAAAAAATTAGTGCGCACCCCAACCACAAGGAATAGAACAAAAAAAAAAAAAAACAAACAGGAAATACAGGGGGGTAGAATCGAAAGAGTGATTTGATGAAAACTGAGCAAATATTTTGTCCACCTTCTTGGCGACTGACGGCACTCTACATCCACTCAAAGCTCCATCCTTTGCGTGTTTCGCTTCACAATACCCCCTCCAAAAAGAAAGCAGCCGTGGCCGCAAACAAACTTATGCAACCAGAGGAAATTGTCTAATAGCTGCCAAACAACCACATAGGCTGCCACGCGTTCACTCACTCACTCACTCGCAGCAGAACATTTTTCCGACGCAGCACTACTCAGGTAAAAAGACAAATACGCTTTTGAGGTAAAGTGAAGATCCGTTCGGGGGAAGGATGCCAAACTATCGGCAGAAAAATCGTGGTCGGAATAAAAACAAAAATAAGAATCGCAACAAACAACACCAACAGCAGCAACCACAGCAACAAAAAACACAAGAAATACAACATTCGGAAAGAGCATCCGGCGCCACCAACGTTGTGGACCTCAGCCTCGACCCCCCGGCCCATACTTCGTTGACAGTTGAATCACCGTCATCACAACCAACTGCACTCGACGAGAGTGCCCAGAGAGCTGGCGACAATCCGAAAGAGACTAATATCTCTGAAGAGGTGTCTACCAGTCGACTTGCAACTACTGAGGAACACAACGTCATTGCATGCGACACAGTTTCCTTCAAACCGGCCACCACAACGTGTAATAAAAGCCCATCGCCGCCATGTACAAGTGAAAGTGACCGGAAAATGGGTAACGAAAAGTCAAAGCCTATCAGAAACCAAGAGGACCAAGTCGTTGATAGCCAGCCTGTAAGCCCTTTGACGCCCCCAGTCACACCGAGGCAACAGGCCAAAGTAATCGTCCATCGCATCATTTGTGAAGATGCGGTAGCCGAAGAAAAGTCGATGACAACGTCAGCAAGTGACAATAGGCAAAGTGACACAGACGGCTCTAGTGCCAGTTCGGCAAATAGAAACAGTGGAAGTGGGCCTGACGAGGTTGCACAACGCCAGGTGAAAGTGATCGTGCATAAAATTCATTTAGAAGACAGTGAGAATGACTCGGCCAATCCTGCTGTGGCCAACACTGCCGCCTTCTCCCCCGTGCACATTGAAGAAGTCGGCGACGAATCACTTACAGATCTTGAGGAACTTAGATCTCCCGTTGTCAGCGAAGTTGACTCTGCCGCCGAGTGTGAAGATGCCGACTCCTCATCAGAGGTGGAAGCCGCCACTTCCAAGTCGACATCGACAATGACGGCATCCCAACGTGAAAAGCGGAAACAGAAACGCTTGGCCTTGGAAAGTCACTTCCTGCCCCAAATGCTTAGTCCCCGTTTCCTTGACAGCATCTCGGAGGAGAACAGCGACCTAAGTGAGTGTGGCGACAACCCCTTGTCTAGATCGGCCTCGGCCGAAAATGCCGTGACCAACACACCTGACACACAGAAAACGCAAAAACTCAATGCCAAGTTCCCCAAAAGCTCCCTGGACTTCAGTAAACCACACAAACCCACACTAACACTCAACACTCCGTCCAATCGTTGCGTTATACGCGAGGAGCCCGTTGCATTCGCCGTTGAAGCCCGCATCCAGGAGGCGCCCGATGCGGACGAAAGCTGCACGACATTAAAGAGCTTCCTGTCGCCCCAATCTGAGTTGGCCGAAATGGTCTTTATTAACTCCGCCTCCAGCAGCATGACCGACTTGAATGACCTCGACCAGATGGATCGTGTCTCTCTTCATTCGACTCATTCATCCGTAGCGTTCGATCTGGACACAGATGCCAAAGATCTGATAAACAAACCGGGCACAACAAACAACGAATTGACATCATCATCATTGCCATCATCCCAACTAGCTACACCAGCCGAATCAGCGAAGTCAGCTGAATCGCTCGCGAACTGCACAAACAAAGACAGTCACTTTATAAACAACAACGCTCGAACACCGCCATCGTCGCCATCACCCGACGTCCCTCCACAGAATAGAACGAGAAGCGCACAGCCATCGAGAGATCAGCCAGCGGCACCGTCGCTGCCCTTCTCAGCTGTTTCCGGTCGGCAGAGTCTCACAGACATCGATGATGCTCTGCGCCTCTTGTCAGATGCTCAGGCAAGGCTGCTCGAAACTAGTTGCGATTCGGCGAATACAAGTAGTAGTGTTAGTAGTTTATGTGCGGATAAAATCGCGAAACCACCGCAAGAGGTTCTAACGGAAAACGTTCAAAATATGAATACGGTGCGCGACATTATCAATTCGGACATCACAAAATCGGGCCCAAACGCAAACGGTAATAACAACAACAGCAGTCATCATCCAGATGGCGATCTTCTGGGCAATAGATGCAGTCACACGTACAGTGCATCGAAGCTAGCGCGTGGATCCCCTCCTCCTCCCCCAATTCCACCGCCGCCCAAATCCCATAACCTCGACCTAGATCCTTTACCCTTACTCGAGAGGAATGTTGAACAACACAACGGCCAACAGTCCGCCCCACCAACACAGGCAGAGTCCAAGCAACCCAAATCCCCCTTACCTACGTCCTCACTAGTCCGACAAGAGTCCCTGGATTCCCACTGCTCCGACAGCACCACATTTAGCCAATGCACAGCCATAAATGTCGGACCTAACCAGGCCACTTCTTCTGATCAAGCCTCCTCAATTTCAGATCTAAAATCGAAAACAACCCCCACAGAACATCAAGCGCCGTCAGTCGGTGCAGCAGATCCCAAGAAACTACGGCTGCTATGCGCCGAAACTTTAGCTGCCCTGCCGTACGGTGGTGAAGTCCTGGAAGAGTTGGCCACTTTGGCCCAGCACATTGGAGAAGTTAAAGCAGTCAATGTGGTAGAAACACACAAAAAGGCGGCCAGCTGTAGCACTGATACAACCGCAACGAGCCAGAGCATCAAAATGCCCTACCCCCCACCAGAGCTGCCGCACATAGATGATCTGCGTCTGTCCCTGGACCAGACGGCACGTAATGTGCCCCAACGGCCACCTTCTCCCAACGCTAAACATCCAGACTCATGGGTGGGCCTCCCCACTTCATTCGATCCCAAAGTCTTGATCTGTCTGTCTCCATCCCAGCAATCCTACATTGAGAAGCAACAGCAGACGCTCACAAAGTCAACGGTCGCAACGACCACCACCAGCAAGGAGTTGAAGCAACAGCCTGACGAACTGCTCGACGCTCACCAGAAGTTTGTGGAGCGTCGCGGCTACCACGAATTCACCAAGGAACAGCTGGCTTCCATAGAGCAGGAGAAATTGGCCGAACAGCAGTTACTTCAAACTGCAGCTATGATGAAGAAATTACGTAAAAGCCTGACACCGCCTCCACCCCAAATTCCACCGCCTCCAGTGCCAGCCAAGAGTAGCGAAACGGCCACAAAAGCACAAAATTTATCGAAGCGTTCGATAACGGCAACATCCAGTGCGACCACACATGCCAGTGACGTCACCACAGCCGCCGCCACTGCCGCCCCTCCAATAACAGATAAACAAGTCACCGGTGCGTACTGCGAAGGAGAGGAGAACAAACATCGCCTGTTATCTATAATACAAGATACTAACGAATCTCAACAGTCGATTCTCGGCGGGCAACAACAGCTACCACAGCCAGCAGCGACAGAGACAAAAACGCTGTCATTAGCATCATCGTTTGAAAATAACTCAAGGCAAACAACAAGTAAAGAGCAACAGCAACAACAAGAACAACAATCAGCAACACCTCAGCAATCGAAACCGTCCACTTTCATCGTTCCAATAACATTAACTAACGGCTCTTCGGACAGGTCATACAATTTTCCTCGGTCCTCCTCAGGTAATATGCAAAGTGTCGAATCGAGTCTGGGTGAGATGTTTCCCACGCTGGGATCCTCCAACATATTCGACAAGGAGCACAAGCGATTCTCCAACATCGAATCGTCCACCAGCCAGCCCATGGCTGTGGATGTCCAACCCAAACGTTACTCCAGCATAGAAACGCATTCCTTCGAAAGCCAGAAGCGTATTGAAAATGGTCAGGTGGTCGTTGACTATAGCAACTCTAAACATGACAAGCAAAGCTTTGGAGGCGAAGGCATTCCGACGGGCCTCGAGACGAAATTCCCCACAAAAACTCCTCCATCGTCCGGCGATTTTTCGAATTTGCCACAGCCGACGGCAAGCGCTGCGCCCGAAACAGATGGCCACGAAATTATGTCAGCTTTAAAATTAAACAATAATTCTTCGGCAACATTGAACAATGGAAGTGCCTCGACCACCACTACCACGACACACAGCCAAGAGAACTCTGCTCAGAATGTTCAGAGAGACGAAGTGGATTTCGCAAAAGCACAGCACAGCGAAGAGCAACAAAAACAGAATGCCTCCGATCGAATGACGGCGCTGCGGAGGGGCATCGAAGATTCTTATGAGGAATTTAGGCAACGTGCCAAGGAGGCTGCCTCCACCACCGCCACCTTCTCGCCCGGTGCCTTCGAAGTGCCCGCGGCCGTACAAACAACCTCGAACGCTGATGGTACTAATGGCCACGGTGTTATTTCGTCATCGACCACTTCGACCAGCTCGGAAGCCAAACAAATATTCCACAGTGACCATGAAAAACTATTCAAAGAATTCGATGATCTCTCGAAGCAACTGCACCGGGAGCTGGAGACTGGCAAAAGTCAGAGGGAGCAAAAGGAGCGATCAGCTTCCCTCTTCGACCTGAACCGCGTCCAGTTGCGACACAAGGAACAGATCGAAGAGTTCAATAAGCTGCGTCACGACCACATGTCCGAACTGGAGAAGGAAATTGAGCGCTCCATGAAGTCGCGGCAGTTACGAATGAGCAGCGTTGACCGCAGTGGATATTGCTCGGACACGAGCAACTCCCGATCGTATCAGATTCCCATACAGATGGAGAACGATATCGGCTACCAGACGACCAAAACCATGGGGGCTGGTGCACCACCCGTGCCTGAACCGCCGCGATCTTATCAGATACCTGTGCATATGAGCAATGATCCCGGTGACGACTCCCGATTCCGCAGAGCCGAGTCGATGTTCAATTTAAATGACGAGGGCCGCAAGACTCGAGCCTACGGCGGCAATCACCAGCCGACGGAGGACGACTGGTCCAAATATGCCAGCGACTTGGGTTCGTCGGAGAACATTACACGCCCCTTTGCTAGGGAGGTGGAGATTTGTTATCAGCGCCGACCAGGAGGCATCAGGGCGCCACGCTTGACGGCTTCGACCAGTGACTTATCGTACAACACCCACTCTTACGACCAGTACAATGCCTACAATGTTCGCAGATCTCATGCTCCGATGCTGAACAAAGCCCCCCAGCAAAGTCGTCCGCACTACGGCAGCTGTTATTCGATGATTGAGAGGGATCCCAATCCCAAGTACATCAGTACCACAACGCGGCGCGGCACTTCGCCCGCGCCTCAGCCATCCGGGTTCCATCCCATCGAGGTGAGTGTCAGCGACGAACAAATGCGCCAGCGAAGAGCTTCACTGCCGCGAGAACTGCATGAGCAGCAGCTTAAATATATTGCCTGCAAGGAGGAGGAGCTGCGAACGGAATTTGAACGTCTGCAGAAGGAACGGCAACGTCTGATGGAAGAGGTAAACAGGGCGCAAACCATGCCCATGGCACAGCCATCACCGCGGCCACACCGAGATTCGTATCGCTGTGTGCCGAAACTGCCCACCCTTACCGAAGATGAGGTGTTCAGGCAGCAAATGGCTGAAGAGTGGCTCAGTAAGGTGGCCGAGCGCGAGAAGCGCCGCCTGCAAAATATCATTAAGCTGTCCAAGGTGCACGACGAGGAGTCCTCCGAGCACAGAGCGGCTCAAACGAATATGGGCGATGAGTTCTTGAGTCGGGTAAAGGAGAGGCGAACCAAGTTGTCGATGCCAGCCGACAGCGACTGGGAGTCTGGCGCCGAATCGCATCCCCACAACGCAGCCCAGTCGAGCGAAACCGAGGATGTGCCCCCCGTTAAAATCCTCGAGGGCAACCAAGAGGCGAACCTCCGCAATTTGCCGCGGCATTTACGCGAATTCGCGAAATTCTCGAACCATCAACGCGATGAGATCGAGGGCGGTCATCGCGAGGAGCACCAACAAGAGGAGCGTTCACAGGAGGTGACCGACAACTCGATTAGCAAGGCTTTCAAGAAGTCCACCACGGTGAAGACCGTGAAAAGTGTGAGGGCCCCAATGCTGCCACCCGACAACGGCGGTCACGGTGAGTCCATACATCCATCAAACGAGACGAATGTCCACAACGCTTGCGCAATTTCATGTAACACCACTGCTAATAACACTACTTGTAACATTGACGACACTGATACTCAAACCGATTCATTTGTTTCTATTGGTGTTGGTAGCATCCTGGGCTCCGCTGTGTTAATAGGTTTGTCCGCATGGACTGCTTGGAGGAGATTCACCTGAACCGCTGCCAAGCTATCCTATCTCTGCGAACAGCACTACACATTTGTCTGTCCGAATCCCATGACTTAGTCAGCACTGCGGGATCCAACCCCTCATCCATCCACCTTCCCCGACTATCCCTATCGACCCAAGTGTGTGTGTATTTGTAATGTGTGTGTATGTGTGGCTGTCACATAGACGGTGGGAGTATTCCGTTCACATTTTGGCATTTGGCATATCCAGATATTTCCCCACGCTGCACGCCCCTCACACCGCAGTCATCGTCACATTCACCGTCACCGCAGTGTACCATGTATGTACATCCATCCGTATGTATGCATATGTGTTTGTGAATTCACCCATTCTCTTTCTCATCTCAGCCCACACACATCACATCCGACTCCTTCTTCTACTCAACTCCTTCTTGTTGTTGTTGTCGTTCTACTCCTTTTGAGAACTATTATTGTGTTTTGATTGTTTGTTTTTGTTTTTTTAATGGCGGCCCTGCACCTCCTCTAGAGAATGCCGAAGACGACTCGCAGCGAGATGATGCCTCAACTACATCCGATCCATCAATGTTTGCTAATTTCGCCAACTCTCCTTCAAACGGCACGGCCCCAAGCCATGGGCCCACCACATTCGAGGAGATGTTTGCCAAGTCTCCGTTCCACGAACGCATTCTAGAAGAGTTCGATAATTATTGGCGTAACTTCCAGAATGCTGGAAATATTTGAATTCAGAAAGCTTCCACCCAAGCGGATCCCCGAATGAACCTAAACGACAGACAGCTCGGAGCATGCCTGCTACCACAGACATTGTGCACTATTTGACAGTCCATAAATCCCATGGCCACATCCGCCACACTCTCCGACTCTGGCATGACATTTACACCGAGCACCACTCTCTCCCTCCCCATCTGCCTCTCTTTAACACGTCTGTCCTCTATCTAAGTCTATTCGACACTGTCCAGACTGAATTCCTCTTTCCTGCCACCCCTCTCTCGCTCTCTTTCTCTGTACGACTAACATTAGTCCTGTTTTTTTTTTTGGAGACGAAATGTCCGTTACACCTATATAAGCATACACATAGATACATACATACATACATGTATAAAACAATAACATTATCTTAATTGTATTGTGCCTAGTTTAAAAAGTTTGTTCACCAAATAAAACAAAATTAACAAAATTAAAACAAAAATATTTAAATTATTTATTTAACCGTAAAACTAGAGATGCCGTTTTTGTGTCCCGAACGACCGAATGACAAACGAACGACCGAACGAACGAGAACTCCCCTTGTCAAATGAATGTGTTTAACTTGTTATTAATTTTTAAATAATAATAATAATAAAAACGAAATGCCAAATCAAATGTAGTTTTGTTCTAACCAAGGAAATGCAAGCCAGCCTCGCAACTTAGCTTTCGATTGAATACTTAGATCATTGTTTTTATTTTTGTTTCTTTTTTGACTGTTAAACAAACAACAATGGCTTGCATGATGATGCCATTGCGATCCAAACACCTATAAATAAATATCTTACGACTCGAAACTGCTCTTTGGGTTCTCCGAACGAACGAACCCTTAGAATTGCGCTTTCCTCGTCTAAGACTGTTGTCACTGTCTGTAGAATTAAAGAACCGAATGACATCATTGACCCATTCTAAGCAGATCTGTCAATTTCACGCGATAGAAAAATATGTCGAATTAGGGAACGAATGTCGAGTGGTACCGATCATGCTACAACAACAGGAGGTAGAATAATGTACCTCTAGAATAGTTTTTTTATCTTTTGTTGTCCCATTTTTTTTTTAATATTTACACAGTGTTTGTATATGTGTGTGCGTATTGTTGTGAATATAAAGAAAACAAAATGAAATTATTTCAAATTCAGTTTAAAAAAATCATTACTTTGACATTATTGGGGAATAAATTGAACACGTGCGGTATAAAAATATATCTGACGCAATACGAATCTAGTACAGAGCTGCATTTCTCTATTTTCTTCAAAGTTAAAGTAACATTGGAATTTTTCGGACAGTTTTGTTTGCAAAAATACACCTTGGCACCGATCTTGCACATCACCAAAAATGAAAAATGTCATCACTAGGGAAAACAGGTTTTAGACATTTATTTTATTTTCTCAATCCAAGTTAGAAGAAAAAAGGATTTGTAAAATATCAAACAATTATGTATGTCCTCCAACATGTGCAAGTACTCTGTCTGAAAATTTATGCTTTGCACTTAAAACTTTAGTACTTCTTATAGAAACATCATTTGATCGAACGTCGTTGAGCAGCCGTATTATTGTGGTGCCCCAAGATACATGAAACACAATACACATCCATGTCCTTTTACTCCCTACCACTCTCCCTCTCTCAACGATTAACATCACAACATTTTGAATAAAACTTTGTTTTTCGATTTGCTCAATAGTTATCAAGTGGCACAGGGCTAGAGGTCATCACCAGCAGCAACACACCAACGATTCTAACGGCTCAGCTAGACCCACTGTGGATCCGGTAATTTCCAAGCGATCTCGGAAACAAACTCGCTTTCTACTGCCTGCAAATAGACGGAGCTGGTCGGAAAGTGACCTGTTGCAAGAAATCGACCAAGAATTGAAGTTGGCCAAAGGATTTCTATTCCGAGATGGTGGGTGAGAAAATCATTGAACATTTCCCCTTACTCCCCCTCCCGAAGGATTTGCAAAGACGAAATAATATTAAAACCTTCTTCCGTTCACCATTAACCGTTTCAAAATTTTAACCGAACCAAACCAATTGGCTTTCCCTGCACGTTTCCTGCATGATTACGAACTTCCAAGTCATAACTGACAACCCATCCAACTACGCACAGTGGTGCAGAATCGTTCTTCCTACTTACAATTCTGCAAGAAATTGTTGAAGAATTTAAAATCTCAATTTTTGATTTTTTCTTAAATTGTGGGATATAATGAGGGGTTTTGATTTATCTGTTTTGCATTTAGTTATCATTAAAATATAGGTATTTGACAAAAAAAAAGAAAACATTGGAAACTTTTTTCTGACATCACACCTAAATTTTGCATAATTTTTTAATAATTTCTTTGGATTTCATATTTTTAATTAATATATGTACTACCTTTCGAACGCCATAAATGTTGGGCACAGCCGACCGGTATACGATATGCTACATAATTTTTCTTGGATTCTTATACCATCAAAAATCCGTGTTAATATATTACTTTCAATAATTTGCTTTATTAAAACTTTTTAAAAACAGTTGAATTAAATGGTAAAATATAAAGAAAAAATAGAATTTTAGTTTTCTACCAATTGGCCTTTTTCCGAGCTGATGCGGAAGCACATACGGATATGTTTCAACGCAACGCATTAGATACTTCATCTATGAAGCGTATTCTTTAACTGTGCATTGTGTCTTAAAGCCAAAAATTGCAAATATTTTTTACCTTTTTATGACCACATTTTCTACGAAATTGTTATACCCTCAGCCACATGGCCACAGAGAGTATATATCATCGAAATAACGGCTTTAGACCATAGGTCTATTTGGGCCAAATCCATTTCAGAACATTTGGAGTCGATCCGTCCGGCCATACGGTTGGTGCACACGATACCTCTCGAAGGGAGTTTCAAATTTGGTCTAAACTTGGTACATCGTAATATTCTTGTCAAACATAGATCGGGTTCGGAGATTGGCAATATAGGTCCACTCCTTCCGGTACTACCCCATAAAACGTTAAAATTTTCAAAAAAAAAAAATGTATCTCATACATTGAAAAAGGATCATTCAATTTTGTGCAAACCTCGCAAATCCCAATATTTTTGTTTGTGCTAGGTCGGGTGGCAAAATGGAAAATACCGGTCCACTCCATCAAAGGGTCAAAATTTGGAATAATTACAACTCGTATATAATGTGAAATAAGAGTCCGATTCTCTTCAAATTTCACAAATACCAATATTTTTATATACACAAGACCAGGTGTGAGATATCGTTCCTCTCCTTCTGGTACCTCCGTGAATAACCAAAACGATAATAAAATGCGAATTGAGTATCCTGTTCTCTTAAAACTCCACACAACCCAATAATTGTACTAAGACAAGATTTGGTGTGTAGATGGCACCTCCCTCACAAGGGGTCAAAATTTTGAATACATATAACCCGTATAACACTTGAAACAATTCAGTTGTGTATCTTAACATTTCTGTTAACCATATATCTAATAGATATTTCGGTCCACTCCTTTAACTGATTTTTACATTTACAATAACAAAAGTAGTGGTGTCTACTCTCTATCGTCACGGAGTTCCTACTTAGTTGCGCCAAGAAGGTGTCGCGTGTGCAGACACTTTTTCGTAACTTCCATGGGATAAAACTGCGATAGTTTACCCTTTTTACGAATTAAACAAAAATAAGACTTACTTCTGCATGAAGATTATAAGACACAGTGGTGCAGTGGTAGGCTTGCTTGCGTTGCACTCTGAACATCCAGGTTTGAATCCCAAACCAGACACCAACAACTGTCGAGGACGTGACTTCCGTGATTTACGCTGTAACGCTGCATACGCTATTTAGTCAGGCTTAAAACTGTCGCCGGCGTGGTTCATTTCCTCGCAAAGGACGTAAATTCCACTACGAGAAAGCGATATCAACCGCGATGATTTCTGTCGCTTAGATGTGTCTTATAAGTCACACCCGGGATATGTTTTGCTTGCAGGGTTTCTTAAACTGGTTGATAAAAGTCCTACAGGCATATTGGTATGTGTTCTGGTATATCTCGTACTAAGAACCCACCTTATTATCGAGTGGTTTGTCGACGGTCACACACGGTTATGTATATACCTGCTAAGTAAATTATTCTATGAAGATCATAAACATGAGCTATAGATCTCCTCCGCCCGGTACCACAGTGGCGTAGGTGTAGTGTCAAGATCAACTCAACCAAACACAACAAAAGCAAAAAAACGAATCAAGCGATGGCGCACAAAAACTGAACGATCGTCTGCTCTGACACGATTCTATCGTCAACTCATTTGGGGCAGTGGGTAAAATGAGTGTAGAATGAATGAATAGGTGGGTGGACGGATGTGCTAACGGACAAACGCAGATACACAATACCGGACGGACGAAGAAACGGCTGGCTGTCTTGCTCACTCTCTTGTCACCTTCCATCATTGGTATCGCTGTTGTAAGAATTCCACCTCAGCCTATCAAAGAATGTACACATCAGGGATGGGAAATTGTGATCCGTTGTCCGAAATTAACCCTTAAGTGTATTAGTAACCTTGCCCGCGCTCTAGTGCAGAAAATCGTGGGTCCGAAACCTTAACTTCAATAAATTCCGATCATTTAAAGGTCGACGGGAGAAGGCACCATTAGTCCCGCGCCCGCGCTCTAGTGCAGAAAATCGTGGGTCCGAAACCTTAACTTCAATAAATTCCGATCATTTAAAGGTCGACGGGAGAAGGCACCATTAGTCGGCCAAAAGTCCACCCAATTTGTTATCACATTCAACTCAAGTTACTGCAAATCGAAATTCTTGAAGCAATTTTAGGTAAAAGCCATGCCAATTATAAGATGGCAGTATTGGCTAAAGTTGGCGTTGTCCACCCACTTGTCCATTCGTATAGGATAGATCGCAGTTTTTCAAGAAAATGTTATACAGCGATGGCTGACAACAGTTTCGAAGCTCACATAAGCGTATTCCCATATTAACTTTAAGTAAGTAGAGAGGGTTGTACCTACTGCAAAGTCCATGGGGTACCATTACATCGTGTTGTTTTTGCCAAAAAGTAGACCATAGTTGACGACGTCCTGTCGGGATGTTTCTGTCAAGTTGCCGATTTGTTGGTAATGGAGTAGACTAAAACCTAACCCTGAGCCAGTACCGTTCTTACAAGGTATTACTCGAAATATGCTAAGCAGCGACTTTGCCCGTGGGGAGCGGAAGTTCGTATAATTCAACAATGAAATACGAGGAATCTACTATTCTGGACAGATGCCTACGAAGTCGAGATGATGCGGACTGACATGCCTACAGCCACTGGCTTCTCTACACCTCTTTTCAATTCCACACTCCCATCGCTGGCTCTTATATTTCTGTCTGTATACGACGTTCCTTTGCTTCTCTCTTTCCTCCAACTGTTGGTGTGCATTCCTTTTTCCCCTGTTAAGAGATTACGGGCATCGGATCGTTCGAAGAGAATTCTGTCCGTGCCGTAGCGAGACTAGGTCGCATCTCTTTCTGTGCGAACACTGAGAGGAGATGCCAAACGCTATTGGGGTGGTGGTCGTCGATGATCATAATGATTATAGTGGTTGGTGGCGGAATGAACATAATTTTCATGAACAGTTTGAAAACAAAAGTACGCGGACCAACAAGTTCTTTGCAGACTTAATAATTCTTAGTTCCTCTGCGGCGCGTCTCATTCTTTTCTGGTCGTGTGTAGTACTCGGTGTGACGAAATATGGGACAGGGTTAGTTGAAACGACACAAACTGCCATCCGTCGCCACTCAGCAGTACTGGCGTGCATTCATTCAACAGCATCAATGACAACGAGTGCACTCCGCCGTGCATCTGTTGGACGCGAATGGATGTATCCCAAGCCTATTTAGTGATGAAAAAGAAAAACTAAAAATTTGGACCATCACAAAAAATAATAATATTTAAAAAAAAAAAAAAGAATTGTTATTGAACTTTCGTATTGTCTTTGACCACTCTTACAGAAAAAGCCCAATCGCCCAGTATGTTTACGCCCAAATTCAAGGCGAAGGCTGCCACTGGATCAGGTAAATAGAAAAGCACGATTACTCATCTGTGTGACCGCCTCCAACGGATCGACTGCGACATCGTCCCCTATATGCTCGCATCTGTTGATGGGTGGTCACAAGGTCATTATCATTTGTGTACTCATTCGTGATTGTGGTCCGTCCCATTCGCGTCCCACAACAGTGGGTGTTCCATGCCATCGCCAGTGGTCGAATTCTCGGCCGGACTATAAACGTGTCCACAGATCATTTTTAATTGTTTTCCATGTTTTAAATGTTCGAATATTTTTGGTGACAAATTTGATTACATTTTCCTCTTGTTGTTATTGCTGGCCAATTCAGTCAAATGTGGAAGATTACGGACCCCGCCTCGCCATCCGCCATCCAGTCGTCCCTCTCTTGTTGCCCCTCTCTTCACTGTGCAGAGCAAACAGTTTTGTCCATAACCCAGTAAATGTTCACCGCTTCTCGTGGGGACGCGGGGTCGGGGTAGACGAACGAATTGTGTTGGACTCTATTTTTAGTCTTAATCGCCTTTTTTGTTTTTAATTTTCCAATCGTTTTCACAAAATATACATTCTGTTCTCCATATGAACGTTCATAGCACCACCTATCCACCACCCCACCCCGGCCCTCCATGCCCATGCCCATGTCCATTTTCAATTTTGTTTATTGTCTTAAATGTATTCAATATTTCGCCTTTGTTGTAGTTGTTGCTATTTATTTTTAAAAAATACAATACTCGGCTGTTATGATGGTATCGCTGGCTGTTTGGCCGTGTGTTCTTCTGATGTTTTTTCTTTGTTTTTTTTTTTTTTTTTCTCAGTCTCCAGTCTTTTCGGTGATTATGATGCCCGAACTCAACCGATTCCGATTGTGTATTTGTTGTTATTGGCTACGCATAATATACTCATCTACATATCTATGCCAATCATCGGAACTGTTGTCGTCACCACCGTGGAACTACATAAATCTGAGGTGCTATAAATCTGTTCGACTGATTAGATCATTCATAAAACGGCGAAAGCATCGTCACATGGGACGACAGTTCATTGGGGCGGGCTGAAGTAGGATGTGCGGAACATCCAACGAAGGCTTTTATTGTTTCCTTAGCCTCCTCCTCCTCTGCAATGTCGAACATTGAATGTTAAATGTTGAGGTCTAGTTGGGTCCAGGGACTTGATCGCGGGACTTGAAATAACCGATATCTCCGATATCCAACAGAGGAACGCTATACATATTTACGTTATTATTCACAGAGTAGTTTAAAGACAGTTTGACCTTCTGCCAATATAAGCGTTCAGGCACTTTCATGAATTAAACAATGCTGTATAACGCCACTTTCGGAATTGTTATTATAATATTCGGATAAACGCTTGTCGTTGTCAATTACCTCATCCAAAATCGATCGATTCAAAAGTTAAGGAGAGAACACCCAAGCAACATTCCGAAAGTACATTCCTGGACGGTGCTAGTTTGCAACAATCGACCATGTCTTCGAACTTGCAAATCTTGCTATTCTGACCAAATTATTTTCTCACTGCAGTAATCCACTAAATTACTAATTAGAAATCATAAAAAAAGAACAAAACAAACAGTTCCTTTTGAGAACAATTTGCAATAAAAAAAAACAAAGCATGGATGGGCTCAGGCAGCGTTTGTTGTGTGTTTCGAGTCCCGCTTTGTTACGGACACACCTTGTCCGCACCTTAAGTGAGCAGCCATTGGCCGCACATACAACCATTTCAACTGGGGTTGAGGGATTGCCTATCGATTCCATGCCTTTTCACTGAACGAAGACAGACAATTCGGTCAGATTAATTTGATTGGCGCAGAACTGTGGCAAGCTCTGTGAAAATGAAACTTTCCGATTGATTGGATTTGGAGCGATGCCGCCGCAACCCACATACACTCGAAAAAATAGGTTATTGGTTAAATATTCGCCTTGCTTTAAACAAGGGAATGAAGTCCTGAGTACCCGTTCTAAAAAGGCATATTCTCGTCTGGAAATGTAGAGCTTCGAATTCAGGCATTTATTTGCTCTTCTCAATATTACCTCCAAAATGACCACACAAACTCGGATGTTATTTCAACTGAGGCTCGAAAAGTTTCGACTGACAAATTATCCGAGTGTATAGTTCGGTTTCGGTACTCAAATGCTTTCTAAAGACCGGAAGTTTATATAATTATTCAGTTTAGATTGCATTGTGACATCGCCAAAGGGAGCGGAGCAGACGAGCGATTGAACGTAGAACAATTATAGCAACTACAATGACAATAACAATCAGAGAGCCCAAACAACGACAACATCAGTCATCATTTTGCCCCTCTACCTTTGTTGGAATCAATCGAATCGGCCCAAATCGATTTATTCATTTCAAATCAAATTGAATTCTGCATCGATTGAATTCCTATGAATGATGGACGCGTTTCGAGCAAATGTCAAATGTGCTCACATTCACACACACACACGCACGCTCATTAAATTGGGGGTGGAAGTTGGGTTGGCTGGGTGAGTTCATTGTTTGGTCTTAACTTCAAAACAAAACAAAAATGAAATGTTGATCTGATGAGCTCGCATAGAACGAAATATTCAGTCAATGGGTGTGCTGACTTAGTTGCGTCCGCCGCCCGCGTTCTTGTCGTTGCTGCTGCCGCCGTTTCTGTTGAGAGCAAGCCCGTTTTAATCGCTTGTCGATGATTGTTGTTAGCATTGTTATGGGCCCATTAGGGGCTAGCTGACTGGCTGTTTGCCTGTGTGTACTGGGCAAGAATAGCACATCGCCAAACCGCTGCCATGCGTAAACTATTTGTGGCATGCTAGACAGTTCAGTTGTTACTCAACACTTACGGAGTCAGCAGCTCCGATACGGTAGTCAGTGGAAACTCAACATTTCGCCAAACAAAAAAGTTAAAATCATCCGAAGGATTCGAAACGGCCACCAAGTGAGAACAATAGTCACAGACTTCCTAGAGTGCACCGATAAAAGTTGGCACCACTAACGACTAACTGTACACCGCACCAAGTGGTCCATCTGGGGTTCGGGGTAATTTTCTTTGCAAATAAACCGCACACACTGCCACTTACTCCAATTGCCAATGAACTTTGTTTTGTCGTCGACTCAATGGCAATCGTGTCATGAAGTCGTTCCTCGCCCCTCGCCTTCGCCCTCATTCGTAGTGATAAAGTGTTAGCATTGTTGTTGTTGTCGTCTCACTGATTATGTTTCAATAAATAAATTCCGTATACCTGTACGGTTACTTTCAATGGCGTCGCTGATACTCGACTAATTTTGAATCGGAATAATAAAACAAGTTCCTAGTCCAAAAATAAACCGCTGAGCTGAGCGTGTTGTGTCTTTTGTTTTTGCACAACAGATCACTTCTGCTCCGCCAGGGCAACAATTTCAATTACTGTTTTCGATATTTTCCTGCTTTCGAACGGTGAGTGCGCGCACAGAAATCTAATATAAAAATATTTTTAAAGTTATGGTTCGATTCGATACGACGGATCCCCGCAACATTCCATGAAAGTTCTCTATGAATACAAGTAGTCGAGTGTATTTAGAAGTGGCCCAAGTCAGACCGGATAAAAATGTCCTAAATGACAAATTAAATAAAATTTTCCGATCGGAGTGCAATGCGTATATTCCCAAGCACAAGTCGCCGATTGCATGCGAAAACGAAGATCCACATACTAGTCGAACGATACTCCAAATATTGAGTGATACGAAACAGAGACATCGTTAAAAACAAACGTTACAAGTCCTTGGCCCACTGTCAAAGGTGGTGCTACCTGCAGGTATATGTTAGAAAATGGAACGAAATTCGTTCGGTTTTGGTGACCAACGCTTCAGCGGACATATCCGCTGACCATGATTTGCTTTCGATCTGACCCACCCCCTCTCAAATATTGGCATAACCAAAAAAGTAGCAACATGCAATTTATATTTGCACATTGTTCAGAGCGTAGATGCTCCTTCATTCATTCACAGAAGAAAAATAACATCGAAGCATCCCCTCGCCCCCTGCAGACAGTCGCCAGCCAACCAGCAACGGAACATTTCAATTAAAAAAAAAGAAAAAAAAAAAACAATTCCTCTGCTAGCCAACTAAGATCCGAAAAAGAAGAAACAGCCAGCCATGCTATGACTCATCCGCCGCGGGCGCCACTGATCGTCATGATGATCATAGCCAACGTTGTTGAGATTTGTTGCCGTTTTTTTAATTTGGTTTGATTCCTTAATGTTCAGTTCGTTGAATGAATGCCAAATGTCATTCTCTCTGGTGAGATTTGAAGCGAACGTCAGTCGATGTCGACTTTTTTTGGCTGCAATTTGTCACCTTTCGTTTGAGATTTCGCATCAGTGGGGGGTATTGGGAACGCGTATACATAATTGCGAATGGGACCCCATTTTCTGGACATTTTATGTTGTTTCATTACCCGTTTTCATCCGTGATTTTGTTGCTTCTGTCTCGTCTTTCTTCATCTTTTACACTCTTTATATTCAGGCATTTGGTCGCCGAAAAACCAAACACCATCATCGTCAACCTCTAATCTGAGTGAAATTAAGTCAACGCCACCGACACCTCCGCCACCACCTGCATCGTCGTCCTCGGTTATTTGGACTCCGCAACAGTCCCCTCAGCTGGGCCGCAAGGAATATCGGCCGGTACGTTTCGAGTCGCCAACGCCGCGCAGAAGGATACAGTCAACCTCCTCGGAACCACCGCTGCCGCCATGGAATAATTTGACCAACAACAACTTCCAAAGCCCCAACAGCTGTACAAATCTGAGCACGCCAACATCGACCGTAGCATCTGAACAGGATTCGACAGGATCTATTTCGTTGCCTGGCCGTTCGACCAGTGTATCGGATAAAATCAAAAGTAACTTCCGTTCGAAATAAAAGTCATTTATTTGCCTTTTCAGCTGGGTCATGGTCGTGCCCCATAACCCCACAAATGTTTTCTCGAGAACGACAAATTATCCATTATTCTGTCACAGCCTACATACCTATGCAGGTCGGCCGGTAGGCGTGTGGCCACATTCTGTGTCCCAGAGACACAGAAAGATTAGCCCGAGGCAAATCTTTTTTTATGGCAAAGTAATTTAATCGCTTTACAACCGTCATCCCCCTTGGCTCAAAGCATTTTTCATGTCTGCCCTGGACCTTCATCCGCTCGACATGACCCGGCTGAAAAAGTTCGTCCTTTCGAGTACTCTCCTGACTTTGCCTTTTTCATTTCACAATTAGCGTTCGAAAGATCTGCATCTGCTACGGAACTGTACACGCGCCCGCATAACAAGCGGCCTCACGACAAAGCGCGCCCCTTCTGCCGACCCAATGAAGTCAGTAAGTATTCAGAGACCAATGGATATATTGCATATTGTGATTTCGAAACAGGAAAAATTGGGATCAACACTTGGTACAGAATCTCTTTAAGTAGGACTCCCTGAAGGGGGGACGGTTCAGTGCAGTAGTATTCCACCCAGACATCCTTTGAAGTATCCCTTAACATAGTCCCCACCAAATACACACTCCCATGTGCCCTAACCATTTTTTGTTTGCATGCCAACAGAATTGATGGTCACTAAATTCTAATCCTGGATCCGATCTATGTTGAGAACAGAAGTCATTTGTTGTTTTTGTCCCATATCCATCACGAAGCTAATAATCTAAGGCCTCTTACAGTTTACAACGTCAAGCACGAGTACATGAGTGAACCAGAAACTGAAAACGACCGTCCGCGAAAAATGGCACAGTTGGGCAGGCGTCAATACGATGGCATCGGTCCCATGACGACAGATGGCATGCCTATTATCCTGAGATCGGTAATTGCAACAAACACCTACAGTATGCCGAATGGCATGCGTTCTACTTGATACGACCGATAACTATATCGAGTTTGTTTTCTCTCTATCTCTCTCTCCCATCTCTTCCCCTGTCTTCCCCTTCGCGTGTACTTATTTGCGCCCGCCGTTGCGCAGGAGGTAAAGGAGCCCCATCAGCACGAATGGTACAAACGCCTGTACCAGACCATCCACAAGCAGAAACATGGCGGTAATTGAACGAACCCACAACCGAATCTCTATAATAGATTGGCAAAGAACAGCACTTGGGTGGGAAAATGCAACGATCTTTTCTTAATGTTTGTTCTAAGGAGTAGCGAAAGCGATCGGAACGGTCACGTCGATATTCGCCGGACATTAGTTTCACCATTTCCTTCAGTGGTAACCTATTTGTATAGCCAAGAAGTTGATTTTATCACACCGTGGTTTGAAGTTATGATTCCACTTCGCCATACAGTACCTTTACATACAAACCAGCTAATTACATTTATTGCGAATGGTCCATGGTCCGTATCTAAACGCACCAATACACCTAGATATTTGGTATGGTATATATACATAGGGGTCAGACCTTATTGGCATTGTTTACACCACACCTGAATACAGATCAAAAAATTGGCGCCCAATCTTCTATCGTAAAAATATTGTCTGCATCGAATGCATTCAGGTTTTGTGGTGCATTATTGTTTATTAAGTGTTCCTTACACTATTTATTGCCTGGTTAGAGAAGGACGCCTGCCGAATTGTCTGACCTTTAATTATTAAGAATATGTTAAATGTTCTGGAAATGTGAGTGCTGAAATAAGAATCTTATAAAGAGTTTTTTAGAGTCATAATGTCAATAAATGGTACACGCACCGCTTGATCCTGAGTGTGGGTTAGCTTCTCCCGGCTTTCTCTCTTAACTGTGAATTCCAGATCATAAAGAGAAATATAATCATAAACATATGACAACAACTCTTGTTTAGTACATTTTTGGTTATTTATTTTTTTTTTTTCTTTTTTTTTTTTCAACCAAAGAAACTCCTTTCATTGCGGGAGATGTTTTTTTTTGGGTAAGCCAAAAACAATATCAGGACGGTATTCCCCACATGGCAGTGAGGTGGGATATCCAGCGATTTTTACAGTAATCGCTAACTATTTCTGTCTGTAACCATTTGTAGGAAATCGAAGCCACCTGATTCCGCTCTAATGTGAAATATTGAATTATTTGACTAGTGCTGCTCCAGTCGTGCAATCGAAAGATGCACCAATTATTACTGTGGCCCGAAATCGACTTTTGCTATTTTTCCCACCCCAATTAGAATGGTGATGTCATTCTCAGTCCAGCGCTTCGTGGCAATTGAGACACTTACTCTCGTCAGCCGTCACAAAGCCGTGCGAATGAATGAGCCCACTATGCGCCTCTTTGCCTCTCTATGCCAGTTGCTATTCGATTTGCTTCTACTTGAGATGAAATGTAGTTAACCCAAATGAAATTATATTTTTCCTTGATTTTGTTTCTCTGCTCGAATGCCCGGCCGCGTCGCCTCTGCTGCTGCTGCTTCTGTTTCCCTCCTTTGCGAAAAAATTGCACATCTGTTGCGTCCGTGCGTATACGTGTTGGTCGTCCATAAATTATGCAACGTTTGGTCGTATGTGTTGTGGGTGTGTGTATGCGCGGCCGTCTCTGGGCCATGCAACAATGCCGAACCGCATTCGTGCCTACAACCACCTATGCAGACGATTATGTGATCCGCTACAAATATCCAAGAGGTGAATCCCAAACAAGATCTACATAGCCTGTGTCAGACGTCACTTGGCTGATGTCGCACAGAGATCTTAAGAATACACAGTAGATGTTATTGTTTGTGTGTATGTAGGTGTATATATGTGTGTTATGTGCATATGCATGCATGAACACAGTAATTGTAGTGTGCTTTCCAATACATTTTCCATACAAGCGATTTGCAAATAAACACGTAAGTGTGTGTGTGTGTGGGTGTGTATGTATGTGATGTGTGACTACACTTGCATACAACAATAGCACATCATAGTGCGTACGATGTTATGCTATTAAATGTGTAAATGTGTAGCTTGACATCATCCAATTAGCATTAATGCATGCATACATACATACGTGCATACATACATACGCAATTACTAACACGAATTTTAATACCAACAACGTAATAATATCATTTGACTAATTCACCACACACACACACACACTCATACACACGCATACACAGTCAAGATATAATACAAAGTTACAAGTACTGCTGTCGACTCCAAACTCGGCCCCGGTCGGTCCTCCTGGTCCTCGGGGCCATCAATCTCAAAGCTGAGCTAAGGACCACGCTAGCGAATAAAAAAAATGCCATCTATCAGTCACACAAAAAACACAAAATGTTGGTATGGAAAGCTGTGGAAATGTCCACCATAGACCTTCAAGAGATGGACTGGATCAATACGATTAAACACACACACACACGCTCGCATATACCACACCACATATACATGCTAGTGCATTTACTCATGAAAATAAATATTTGTTACCCCCCATTTGGTTTTGCAACCTACGAAATGTGTTTAACCATCTTGCCATTATTACAGAATAGTTCTAAAAATTGGATAGAAGCTTTTCTTCGCAGCGCCTAACCGAATTAACAGTCACTCACTCACCCAAACATACATACATACACATAGATTTAGATTTGATTCACCCATGCACGTACGTAACTAACGAACACCGTTCCGAACTGCATATACGCATTCAAATTATTGCACTGCCTGATCATGGAAAAGTCGCGCTTTTGGATCGAAAACCTAACGGAACGGCATGCATTTGATTGCCCCTTGTGCTCACAACCCATCATTTAAATGCGTAACAAGCATCGAAGTCTCTCGCTCGCAGGAGCGTTGCCAGCTTCATTGCACGGCTTGCTGCAGTAGGACAAGCGTTTAGTTTGCATGCATGCCGAACTGTTCCGAATTCGACAAATCGGGTGTGAATAACCTTTGTCTTATTCTCGTTCGATTATTAGGTCGGACCCAAGCCAAATCGAATGGTTATCAGTCAGAACCAGAGCCGTGCTACTACTCGGACTACTCGGTCATTAAATATCGTCCCGTCAACACCCAACGACTGCAATCGGTTTCGTCCGCATTGAATGTGCGCAGCAGTAACGACAAGTGAGTAGACCCCATGTAAACGGACAGCAACCGACGTCATTGCGAAATGTTTTCCTTCGTATCCTTTCAGATTATATGGCACCCTGCCGAATCCTGTAAAATCGGAACAAAACACGTACAAAAACCAACCAGGACGTATTGAGGACTACGTTACTGGTCATTCGTCCATCTCTGAAAAAGAAACGAAAAAAGTAAGTGATCCAATTTTCCTAACACGAGATCCATATCATTTTCACCCATTACCCAATTCATTACCACATGCATTGATGTAAGCAAATTAATTGCAATTGGCCTTTTCATATTTCATCACAAACAACGGACTGACTCTCAACCCAAAAAAACAAAAAAAAAATGAACATCAATTCGAATATTGCTCTATTGCCATGGCTATCTGCATATACTCTCCGTCAAATGAATATCTTGCTGCATATCCTGCTTTCACTTGGGACTATCACTTCTCTCAGGAGAATAATTTAGGCAACTGACGATAATTGGCGGATCTTTCCGAAGCCATAGATTTCCCTGCTTTATCCCTGGCTAATCATTGCCATCCACTAATAGCTAAAAAGACTAAGGGCTATTAAATCCGGTAAATTTTTGAATTACTGCGAGCCTGACTGTTTAGGGACAAAAATAAAATAGTTTGCGTATAGAGTTCCTGTATTCCGAAAAGGTGTGTCGTTACCTGGGTTCTGCAGTGGAGAAGTGTACTCCAGAGGTGGGATGTTCGTGTCGCATGAAAACATGACAATCGAATCGAATCAAATTCAATTCCTTCGACTTGACACTCGGCCATGTGACCCGGAGTGGCGTTGCTAGCAATTGTGGACTGTCAACCTATTTTCATGCATGGCATTGTAGCATGCAGGGCATTCCCAATTTAACGGACAAACTACGAATCGGACTGAAAATATCACCCATTCACGCATTGTTGCATTTCCTGAAACCTGACCCACTAACACTTCCATTAACTTTAACCAAGAATACTGGGAATGAGTCGAGCAGTGAGTATCCACTTAAATCATCCATCGCCATTAGTTCATCGCATCCTGCTACACCCATAGCTCAGTCTACGCCAGCCAAGTGTAACATTTCATTTTTACATTTAATTTAATCAGTTCCTTCCTATTATCCTTGCGTTTTCCGTGCGTGCGGTCTTGTTCTCTCTTTCTCTTTCTCACATTCATACATTTAATGAACTGCAAATATTTTATTCCAACTTTTCTAGTGGTGGGACGAAATTATGGACATCTTCAATGTGGTATGCATCGAAACCTTTCGCTTATTTAACTATTTTTTATTTATAAACTGAATTGAATTGCTTATGGTACCAAAAACGGCTAGTGCGGATTCAAAACAACATTTATATGGCAAAATCAATTTATTTTTGTGGACCCTACCATAGGCTACGAACAGGCCTGTTCGAAAGTCAATTCTGCTGTCGAAATACGTTATTGTGATTAGGTTTAACAAAATGACAGCTTTATCCGGAAAGTACGAAAACGGAAAACTGGTAAAAAATTTCACATCTAATGGTAGTCCTTCAAAATGAAAATAACAGCCAATCTGAAGCTGCCAAAAGACAACGCCATATTTGTGTGTACTCTCTTCACTTTGCCGGGAATTTTCACTAGGGGTTTGTGTGCGGTAGCGGTAGTACAATGTAGTACTATTTTAATCGTTCTGAACACATCTATTGTTGTATGTTTTTTTTTTTACTGGCCGACCTTACGTAGGCCATCTTATAAGCGATCGTGGGTGAAAATGTACCGGAAAAAAATTAGATTGAAGTTTGGCATTCAAATTGTCTCCTGTATGGCCAAACATAATTTTTTGTAATGAATTCTGTATTTGTCATATCTCGTAAAATCTACAATCTACTCGCGATGCTTTAGTTTATTTCATCTCAGGGTAGTTTTCGCAACAACCTACCCTTCAGAGCATACATGTTCTTCATATAAGACATTTTGAAGTCTTCTCCTCCTTTTTGATAAACATTACGCGTAAAATGGTTTGCCAGCAAGAAAAGACTGAGACTAGGCAGGCACTGTCTCCCGCAGAATGGTAGATTCGTTATTCTATCGTTTGATAGTGGAAAACTACGCAAAATCACAACATAATTTCCCTCTTTTACTTTCCAATTTATGGAATACATTCTGCGACGGTACTTTGAGGGGAAAACGTAGGCTATCACAATATCTTTAGGTAATCTATAAAAAAAAAACAGTTGTGTAATGAAATAGACTTCATTTTTAATAGACCAAGAGGTTCCAGCATGTACTCTTTAAATGACTTGCAGACCGGAATGTGATCAGGGACATGTTGAGGCCCTGAAGTTTGGAGAGAGTATAAAGTGTAATTCCCTCCTGCAAATGACATATTTTAGGCTAAAACGCTCCACGTCGCTGTTGGCATATGTTTATAGTTCCCAGTATTTGTTGTACTCCGCGATTGCATCGTGTTTTTGATTGTACCATGAGCATAACCTTGGTATAATTACTGCAAGGTAAATGCAACTGTCGTTGTGAATTCCTCTCGGGCAAAAACGTCATTCGCAAAAATCATTTAAATGTGAACAATCACTCGAACGATTAGAGTTTTTTTTATTATTATATTGGCCAGTTGTGTAAAATTAGTAACTGGAATGGCCGCGTCCGATAGCAAGGACACCGCTTGCAGCTACCTTAAAGTAATTATACCATGAGTCCGACATAGGTTCCCATTATATCTGCATATAGTTTCAGGTTCATTCTAGTTTAAAGTTATTCCAATATTAAATAAGGGGGAGCCGAAGGGGTTGTTTAAACCGTTGCTTGCTCATTAATTGATGTGCAAAGGTTATTGGCGATTGAGTTTCAACCATTCTCCACGCACTTCGGAACAATTTCTAGTTTTAGTGGTTCCACGTCGTCTCTTAAAACAATGTGTTTTTTTTTTTTGGTTTGTTCATCACAATTCCGTACCTGAATTAAGTGATTCCCCAAATACAAAAACGTAATTTTTCCAGGCTCCAATGCGGGAACTAGCTGAAAAACGTACCTTGAAGATATACAAGTTATCGCAATACTCTTATCTAAAATGGGTTTAGTCGTACCTTAATATTTCTGCTAAGCAATGAAAGTGAAAATCTCTATTTTTTATTTATATAACAAACGCCAGCCAGCTGGTGCTTCAGCTTGACATGAAAATGGCAAACTTAATTGAAATTCAGGTGGGCAATGCTCATCATTGTGACTTTCAAGTTGCCTGTAATTTTTTCGAAGTGTTGAAAATGGAGAATTGAAAACGAAATTGGTGGAAACCCCCACCAACAAGCCGTGGAAACTCAATTTGCTCTTGACCTTCACAATGAGCTTGAAATGAAGCACACAAAGACGAGGCGATCGAATGAGCTTGAGATACTTTAAGTTGCACTAGCATAATTCTCGAATACAAGATAACCACTTACACATGCACATGTAAATATCTAACCACAGACACACACGCATACACACGTTGTGTATTCTCTAGAAGCTAAACAAATTTAACAATGCTTTCAAAGTGGCTCAAGGATCGTTCTCATACACACATACATCGTCGATATCGAATGGGGTATACCGCGGTATCGGCATTCGGTTTCAAGTAAGTGATTCTCAGGTCTTCTATATATGCGTATGTATGTGTATATGTATGTATTTAAAAGAATTGCAACGACAAAATCAGTCAGCACAGTTTTAGTGGTAGGAGGAGTATGTTTGACATGATTTTATTCATAATCGTCTTTTCCCCTCTCCCGTTCAGCAACTGGACCAGGCTAAGCTCTCTTCTCGCTATACCGAAGGAAATCTATCAAGGTACAGTTGAAAATCTCACATTCCCTTGATGCTCGTGCTAGACTCACCCCTACTTCTCTTTCGCAGAGCATTGGCAAAGGAGTCCGGCTATACCAGCGATTCAAACCTTATCCTACACAAAAAGGAAATACCCCCTAACAGCCCGTTAAGTCCCCAAGAGCAGAAGCAGGCATACAAATACGTCCAGGCGGGTGGGGAACCCCCATTGTTTGGCTTCCGCAAGGCGGCTCCGGAGAAATCAAAAGGTAAGTTCTGAGGCTGACTCATCACCACTAATCGGACTCGCAGTGGCAGTTGAAGGCTGGAATAAATTCCCAGCTGCTAAACTCAGCAACAGCACTGCGAGTTGCACTCACATGAACACATAAGTAGATCGTTGTCGATATTCACTTACTAACAAGTGCATTATTTCGTCCGCTTAACACTATCTATCCTATCTCTGCCCTCCTCCTCTATGCCACCAATATCTATTCTATTACTAATGACCATGGTCCATCCAGATGGACACACATCTTAAGTAGTATTCACCCTCTAATGCAGAATGTTAAGGAGCACTCTCCACCGAAGCGTGTAACGGCAGCCCGCAAAAGGGCTCACTCTGTCGAAATAGCGCACCGTACGTCGTTGATAAACGTTGGCGAAGCCGAGATCCACAATCGCACATGTTCTCTGTTAGCATTTTCCATATCCTTTTAATAAACGAATCATGTTATTTTCGCCCCATGTAGAAGGCGTGGCCGAACCTCTACCGTTTCATCCTGAGAAGGAGCGGAGTAATGTTTCCAGAGTTTCCAAAAGTCATGCCCTCGTTCATATCGCTCGATCAAGAGAAGCGAGAAATGATTTTACCACCCACGCCACCCAATCGCCAATCGGTTTATGCAAAATCTGCCGCAAAGAAGGCAAGCAAAGGTTCTGCCATACCCACCAGTTCTTCCTCGAGGCATGAGAAGTGCTTTAAAAGCCCAGAGAGTCCCGTACTTGGCGGCAACAAGCACGGAACGATTACCCTTCGAAAGTCGGCTAAACGAGGGGTCTTGTGTCGCTCAAAATCGGCCGGAGCGGTGTCATCGCTCCTGGCGAAGCCCATAGACAATCGAGCGAGCGGTGGGCGCAACAAACAGAACTACTTGCGAAGCGTGAGTCCTATGAGGCAAGCATCGGCCAGTCAGGCATTAATTTCCAGACGCAGCAGCCGTAGTCCGGTTGCATTTGGCCGCAGTATTTCGAAAGAACGGACATTTGCCGAAGAAAAGAAACGTCTAGAAAATTCGCTTCCACTTGACCGCTTTACATTTGAGGCCAGCACAAATATCTTGCGAGATCCGTCTCTAAAGTCGCCACAGGACGTTAAAAAGGCCGTTCGTTCGTTGGCCACTTGTGCCGTCCAGTCTAGAAGTCGCTCCGTACCACGGTTCTGTACTGGCTGTCGAAATCATGCTGCCGTGGAGAGTAATTTCATCGCTCGCCAGAGCCTATGCTATCCGGAAGTGGAACATTATGGCTTCACCGAATGGTTGCGTTCCCCAAATGTGGTGGGCGTCGGCAATTCGGCAGAGAGAAAACGTAGAGTCGAGAAGTCCTCCTCGGTCAAACAGATTTCAAAAGCTTATTCGAATATAAGCTTAGCAGGTAGCAATTCCACCTTTTCGCTGGGCCACATTGCAACAGTTCAGCCCCAATCGAAAGGCGGCCGTACCAAGATACTCGAGCCCAAAGAAGCTACTTGCAAGAAATTGACCCGCGAGGGGACAAAATCTAAAAAGAATGCAGCCATAAAAGCTAGTCAGCCAGTGGACCAACAGCTGGGAGCTTCCGATCAAGAGAAAGCAGCAAATGAGAGGAGTAAGCAACAGGTGTCGGCTGAGGAAGCCGATTATGCGTTTGTCGCTTCTGTTCGCGACAAGGCCCTTTTTTGGAACGATTATAATTTGCAGCAGACCAACTCACTGCCCTACAATCTGAAGCATCAAATGCCAGCAACGAACACAGCCTATCTCAGCAATGTCTCTGGTCACAAGTCCAGAAGTCTTAGCCCCAACCGCAAGCAATTGAACCGAGATGTCGGAGATGTTGTTCAAAGAACGACAACCTCCGCCGAAAGCGAGCCGATCGGTTATGACGCCGATGTGACCAGCAAATCTTTGAAAGAATTTTCTCCAACACGTGAGGTGCGTGTGCCACCATCGTCCACTGCTCGTAACGTACGTTCACCCTCGCGGCGCCGCATTGACAGTTGCCGCACTAGCCAAAGCAGCAGCAAAGTTGTGCGTGCCAGTAGTTTGTCGAGCGCCGAAGATCGCTCGAAACGCGGTCTATATTTGTGCGATGAACTGGCCCACAGCGCCACCTCCTTGGCCAGCAACGATCGCCACAGCCCGACCTGTCGATACTTACACAACTCCGAGCGTTTCGTAGAGTTGAACCGATTTTACAGCACATTGGAGCGCGTCGGTCAATTGGAAAGAGCCACATCCAAGACGGACTTCAAGCCGATCCGCAAAGAAAGCGAACTGCTCGACTATGAGGAGTGGCGTAGGATCCGCCTGCACGAACGAGCCGAGCGAGAATTGAACTACTTAGTGGGCAAACTCAAACATGATCAGCATGAAAAGAATCTGCTATTCATGCCCAAAGATGTGGAGGAGGTGAAGTGGCGCAAAGAAACCGATCCGGGACTTAATTCCCGTGAGAAGTCGGTAGAGGATTTGCGCGAAAACTTCGAAAGCATCCACTTCCTACACGACTGTCTGGATCAAACGAGAAAACCGTACTACAACATGCGGTATTGGCGCCGTAACACTGTCGCCGATTTGGCTCATAGCCTGGAGGCAAAACTGCATAACGCCGACCCACCGCCACCATCTACGAAGGAAATGCCCTTCAGCGAACAGCTGGTTGGCGCATTACCCAACGATCAAATAACTAAAATCAATCGCCAATTGAACGAAATATATTCATCGACTGCCGAAAATCCACAAGCCATACCATCCGAAGACTACGTAGTCACCGTGGAGCACCACAAAATGCCCAGTTCTTCGCAGGCCCTTAAAGTTCGTTGCAAATCGTCGATAACAAGAGACGAACTTTTGGACTCTTTTCTCAGAAAAAAAGACGCCTTGGCCACCACTGGAGTTAGCCCACAAAGCAAGCAAGGCCCTGATGACGGATCCCAGCCATGCATCGATTTGTCTCCACCCGAGATTCCTCCAGCACCCAAAATGGACCTGACTCCCGAAGCACAATCTCATGAAAACACCAATGTGAGCACTGCCGTGTCGGGCAGACGGGATAACACCGATATTACCCAGAAAATCAAATACTTTGAGGAGCGTAAGTACGAGAAACCGCCCAAGACCGTCTATCACGCGCGAGAGGACTCTTCGCCGGACGAGGACGAGATAATGCGCATGATTGAGGAGAAGATGCGTTCCAAACAGTATGGCAGCAATTTGCACCAGCACAAGGAACTCAGCTCCTCGCTAACGGACCTGTGTGAAATGTTTGGCGAGAAAAATTCATCGCGCGTAAATTTTCACCTACTCTCCCCCCAACAGAAGCCCCCCGATGAGTTTGATCACCACCATCACTGCCACCGTCAGCATCAACATCAACATCACGATGTCCTCACCGACATTTCTGAGGACTGCACGCCTTACAGCAGTCTCGAGTTCTTGGAGTCCTATTGCCGATCGAGAAGTGCTTCGCCCCAATCCCAGTGTTCCTCGTACTTGCAGCGAGTCAACACAGGTGATGTGCGTAAGATACGCAACAAGTTCGAGAGCTTGAGCTACAACACACCAAGGTCGAATCATTTTTTTGGACTACGTAAGCTGAGGAAGGTGCGCAGCGACCCTGAAATGAACACCACCACCATCAAGTCAGGGTCAAAAGACGCCTTAAAGGGGGGAGAGGTATCTTGGATCACTCACAAATTCGAAATCCACAATAAAATCGCCCAAACAAAAAGTGCCGCTGCGGACGGAACCCCAAGAATAGGTCGCCAGCACCGTAGATTCTCCCCACAACCGCTGAATCTCAAAAATCGACTAATGCCACATATCGACCGAATAAGCAAGACTGCCAGCTTGGGCAACCGGAACGGACGCTCCGTAAGCGACGATAATCGCTGTGACAGTCCCACCCGGAGCGCAAGCAGCGGCAGCGCGTCGCGTTGTAAGAAAACAAATCTGAGCAACACACGCTTTTCGCGTTCATCCCCCGATATCCACTGTGTCCCCAAGGAGTATATTCCTCAATACCTAACAGCCAGCTGGGCTGCCCACCGGTACCCCAGTCCCGAGCACAACAAGTTGAAAGACGATGGCGAGAGACAGCGCCAGGTAGGCCGCAAAACGCATTCGCCGGTTTCGCGAGCTCCCATGCCTCTGGCTAAGCCGAAATCTGGGGATATTTTTGCTAACCAAAAATTCGATCCGAAAATACACCAACCCAAAGCTCGCTACGTACCCGACGAAGCCATCACCAAGTGCAACGCTCGCCTCCAGTGGTCCAAAACGATGCCTCGTCGCGGAAACGCCGTATCATTCCAAGGTTCATTTCAACATTCTAACCCTAACATTTAGCTCATACTAAGATTGTGAAACTATACTATCGCCTTAACGTTCTTCGTCCGTCTCTTCTGTCATTCTATTAACCTGCTAGTTTGCTAGTTCTTTGGCCTTTTCCATTCCTATGAACATTCCTCGCGTCAGCTCTTGATGATGAGATTCTCAATTTTGCTTTTTCTTTTTCCCTAAAATGTCTTCCAACCACCCACCCACTACCACCACTGTATCCGGTATCCGTATTGGTTTCCCTAATTCAAAATTGCCCTGTGATCAACAACTAGATTATGACTCGCCCCAAGTTCCACCACCACCCCAGAGTGATGTGACAGATAAAGGTGAGTGTCGAATAGAAATAACAAAAAACTACAATACAGAAGGCAAAAGTAGCCACCGCTTCGTTCGACTGCGCCGAGTGCAGCAACTCAACTAACAAACCAAACATCCCATCTAGCACACTTGTGCTACCAAAATCAAACCTCAAATGGAGCGAAATCAATAAAACAAATCGCCGAGCGAGACAACCGAATGGCCTCCTTTCGGAGCAGAATTAGCGGAACTGCGCACTGTGTGCCCCGTTGTCAGCGAACACCGACAAGTCGCTGACGACAGGTGTTGGTTACCAAGTTACCACCACCATCGGACTGACATAGTGGCACAGTACGAAGGGAAACAATTGTAGACTCAGTACGGAACTAGCTAGACCACAGACAGCCATTAGAATAGTTAGCTCAGTGAAATTAAAAACATAGTATTTGAAAATCATTTAATACAGTTCTGCCACTTGAGCACACATCCTGTCAAAATATGTGACATCGATTGCCCGAAAGTCCTGAAACCTAGAATCCTGGCGATGTTGTACAACAACAGGGAACAGGCGGCGGACAGCAATTGCAATCGGCAGTTGAAAACGCCGCCACTACGTGCCGCAGTAAGGGGACCACCGTTTAGTTACAACTACTGTACGCCTGAAATTGGGTCATGCGACAACTGGAAAACTGCAAGACATTCGAGAACGGCGAACCCAATGCTAGCACTTGGAACGATCCACCAGGAACAGTCCACTCATAAACGACACCCTGCCATGCTAACCAAAAGCGAATATTGTGAAGTACCAAACTGTGGCAAGCTGTTGTGGGTCTCGCGCGACTCGCACAAAAGCCGTAGCACACCGTCCCTGGTAACTGGTGGTTCCAACAATAATGACATGTTTCCATATAACATAAGAACCGGCCTTCGAATCCAGCCCTTTACACCGCAGCCTAGCCAAAAACAGTCTTACTTAGCTAATCAAAGTGCCATTCGGACAGCCCTGCCGTTGCTGATGTGTCAAAGCCAAGCCGGAAGGCGCAGCACACGTAAGACAGCTATTGACAAACAAAAAAAAAATGCATCAACAACCATCCCAACCCAACGTAACCCAACGCAACCACCCCACAAATCTGTAGGCTGATGAAACACATACACACATACCTTATTTACGAATGTTTATTCAAATGGTGCAAGCCTGATGCAGGGGTCTATAAGACCAGTTAATGATTTGCATAACTATGGTCCATTCGGCCGTTCTTATCGGCAAATTTAAGGAAAACACGGACTGAGACAGTATTTGCTATCAATAACTTCTATGCAGCCATGAAGTCAGAGCATTTTCGAAGTCATCATTTCTTTAAAAAATTATTAAAAAATTAGTATTTAAGCGTAAGATCTCTTCGCAGTCTTGCAATCAAAGCCTACATAAGGACTACTTTTGACAATAAACTTAGTAGATTTGCACTGTTGTAATTTGACTCTCATTGAATTTCCAATAACAGTATGTCTTTTGACAGCAAACTTAGTTGGCAGATGGGCCTACTAGTCGACCTAATATATGCCCTGTTTCTAATGAACGAAAACATACCCACATACCATTTACAAGATTGTGTGTACCTGGCTTCAGGATTGTGATTTTTACATTTAATCAATCTGCCCTACCTTGTAATTATTGTGGCATGATTTCATGCTCTTATATCATGTATGAATCACTGTGTAAACATCTTACATACGTACGAACATGTCTAGACAAATGTATGTAGAAGTGTTATCTGGCGTTGAAACCCCCATACGCCACTCTGAGAGCTACATATTCCAGTTGCTCTGCGAAACGGTTATCTCTGCTCTGAGAACCTGATATTGTGTTCAGAAATGAAAGGGTTCGGATGACCTAAGCTATGGCAGCATAAATGCAGACATCAGTTCCCAAAAAAAACTCATAGCTCAAGCCGCTATCAATGGTCCTTCGGAAAAAAATTATAGAAGCATTGGAACCTTTACACTAAAATTACCAATTAAGGATTTTAAATGATTCCTCTCGGGGGGAGAGGGACCAACACGAACATAGTGTCTGTTGCACAAGCAAAGTTTGTCAAAGCCATTTTAAATAATACTATCTTAAGTCCTAACAGGAGCACGAGTTTTTAAATATCTATAGCTCTTTTACAAAATATCATTTTCGTCCTGCGTGAGATTTGTCATTGCTTAATGTTTTCTCGCAATTTTAAAATTTTATATTAAATGCGAGAAATCTTAACCATATGGTCCATCTATTCGAAAATGATTTGAAGAAAACATCTCGATGTTGAAATTATGGCCCGATTCGAGAACTCCCTTCGAAATTTGGGGTGTATGGAATTCAGACAATATGGCAAGGCATAGGAAACCTTGAATTAGATTTCGTCCAAGTATGTGTGAGGTCTAAAACACTTGTCCTTTATATAGTCGTTTTATAAGGAAGGTGTTAAGTCTGGACGTTAATATTCCTATACCTGTCATTCCTTTTAATAAAAATCACAAGAGGTCTTTTTTACATATCCAGTAGGAATCACTCAGAAAGCAATTTCTCCCTCATTTTTGGCACAAAGACAACATCCAGTAACATTTTGTTACAATAATTACAGCAAAGACAACACAAAATATTTATCTTTAGTTCATTTTCAAACCTTGGGTGAGAGAGAGAGAGAGAGAGAGAGAGTGAGATTACTTACAGTGTACAATGCTTTCATTCGTCGTTGTCGGACTTTCAGCCAGTGTGACCGCTGGAAATTTTCAAAAAGTATCACAAAAAGTATCATTTCTTGAAAAAAGAGGCACATATCATTTGAAATGGTGGCACAAAAAGTGGCACAATTTATTTCACATTTTATTTAAAAAATAACAGTTTAGAACAAAACAACAAATTCATCTATATGTAATACTATATAGTAATAATATATGTATGTACATATTGCATATTTAACCAGTAAAGAAAGCCTTAAAGTCGGGCGGGGTCGACTTTATGATACCCTACACCACTTTGCTAATTTAGTAGCGCTCCGCATAACAATTAAAATTGTTTATGGGAGTACTCAATCATACACGCTATGATTATAATTATAATTTAAAGTTCAAAGAACTATATATGCCGAAGCATTTGTATCTTTTAAATTCGGGCTTGTATTGCCCATTTGGTGCACAATTAGTTTGAAATCGGATAAAGATATATATGGGAGCTATATCCAAATCGGAACCGATCTCGATAAAATTTGGCAAAGATATTTCTGAGCTGTATTTGATACATTTCCCTGAATATCATTGTTACAGAGTGCATATTACGGCTGCGGAGGACAAAAATAACAAATGGGATGAACAATATATATGGGAGCTATAGCTATATTTGAACCGATTTAACATACTTATTTTCAGGTTTAATTTGGCTGTATGTGCAAAATTCCATACTATTCGGGCCGATATTACACGTTTTGTGCACAATAAAAGGCAAATCGGACGAAGATATATATGGGAGCTATATCTAAATTTTGACCGATTATCTTTAATTTCTATAGAGTTCGTCCTTGGGCCAAACGAAAGATTGGTGCAAAATTTCATCCGGATAGGGTAATAAATGCGAACTGTACTTTGTTTTCAAAAATACATGCGAACTTTGAATACCCTCAATCATATGGTACAAATTTGGCAATTTTCAAAAAACTAAAATACATTAAAAATTCTGTGAAAATCTTAAAAATACCGAATGTAGCCGGATATTAGGGTCTATACGACGACGTGGATCTGCATACGCAACTTTTTTCATAAGCCTGCACAGACAATTTTCTGGCATAGGATGTAGTATCCGTTACGAACTTCAAATACAAAATTTGAAATAATTCCGATAAATAATGGGGGTACCGTAATATGGGGGCTATACGAAGACGTGGACCATCACGAAAAATTTTCTGTCACAGGTTGTAATATCCATTACGAACTTCAAATGCGAAAATTGAAACAATTCCGGTAAATAATGTCGCTAGAATCATCAAAATGCCGAATATCGGGGGGTACCGTTATATGGGGGTTATACGAAGACGTGGACCTGCACAGACAATTTTCTGTCATAGGCTGTAGTAAAGTAATTAAAAATGTCTCTTAACAGTTGTTCCAGAAATAAACAAACAGAACAATGTTGACAACTTTGAGCATGCGAAAACCTCTTACAAACACCTAATATAAGAGCGTTCGCTCTGAAATATCGCAAATTGGAAATGGCAGCGTACGAAGCTTTTCATTGTTTCATTTCATTGTTTTAAATACAGCGTTTAGATTAAAATATATGTAGTTTAAGAAAAGGTGGCACAATGTATAAAAAAGTGGCACAAAAATTCAAAAAAGTGGCTCATTTAGGATCAAAATAAAAAAGTGGCACAAAGGTATCAAAGCCCAAAAAAGGTGGCAAAATTGATACTTTAGTGGCACAACGGTCACGCTGCTTTCAGCACAACACACATCCAAATATCTTCGAAGAGATTCGTTCAAATTTACGATCACTGGGACCTTTAGCTGGTTGAACATGCTCGCAGTCATTTAGTGCAGATTGATCCACGGAAGCGGTTACCTCTATTGGTTATTCCGCCGAATGCCGTCGAAGCGCGGACGAGAAAGTAAAAAACAATCTACGTACTGCTAATTTACAAAACAATTTACGAATTATATTTCATTGCCACATTCATTGGATTGCTGTGCTGGTGAAGTGCCGCGACAGTGTTTGCTTGAATGTGCGGATGTGTGTGTGTGTGAGTGTACTTCTTATCTAGTAAATAGGCGAATGTAATCTGCTTACATGAAAAGCAACAATGCTTCCGCCGCTTTCCCCCCCATCGGCAACTGGGCAATGTCGTCGTACGATTAAGCCACTTCGAGCCGCGTAAATGAATTTATGTATTCGTTGGGCTTGTGCTGTGCGTTTTAAAAGCCAACGGATTTGCCAAACTGACAACAACAAAAACAACAAATTACAAAGTGAAAGTGAAATCAGTCGATGAATTTTTGCATGTGACAACAAACAAATGTTGGCGGGCAGTGATGCCCCAGGTTTGAAAGAAGAGTTGGTCAGACCAAGTGTCTAGCCACGATACATATTTCGTCGGTTCCCTATTGAAACAATACTCCTAATAACCGCAAGTGACTTAGTGCGCCAATTACTCCTGTTATCCAGTCGTTGAAGGGTGATTGAACGACAATAAAATAGCAACGAAACGACATTCAAATTGCTACAGCGTTTTTTTCTTTTCTTCAATTATTTGATACTTCAACTCCAGCTATGCAGCATTTGTATTCTATTGCATGTGTGTCCCTTGGCAGAAGCATGAAGGCATCGTAGGAAATACGGCTTTCACTGTCGACATTCTTGGTCATTTGCGCGACCGTGCAAAACCAAAAGCCTTAAATCGTGATTTGACAAAACTTTGAAGCAGATCCTCATATTTATCAACAATTAAGAGAAAAACAAGTAAAAAAACATTAAGTTCGGCCGGGCCAAACTTTTAATACCCTCCACCTTAGGGTAAAAGAAACATTAGAAGAAATGTGGCAAAAACCATTAAAATGCCGATTATGGGGAGGTACCGTTATATGGGGGCTATACCAAAACGTGGACCTATAATTACAATGTTTCGCCACCGGAGCTGGAACCCATTATGACCCACAAATACCAATTTTTAGACAAATCAGTGAAAAAAATGTGGCAAAAACCATCAAAATACCGAATATCGGGAGGTACCGTAATAGGGGGGCTATACCAAAAAGTGGACCTATAATTACAATGTTTCGCCACCGGAGCTGGAACTCATTATGACCAACAAATACCGATTTTCAGACAAATCCGTGAAAAAATGTGGTAAAAAAACTAAAATACTAAATATCGGGAGGTACCTTTATATGGGGGCTATACCACAACGTGGACCTATACATGCAATGTTTTGCCACACGCTCAGGGACCCGCTATGACCTACAAATACCAATTTTAAGACAAATCCGTGAAAAAATGTGGCATAAATCATCAAAATACCGAATATCGGGAGGTACCGTTATATGGGGACTATACCAGAACGTGGACCGATATATCTCATTTTCAATACCAACCATCCTAGACACAATGCAAATAGCTCTGCTAAATTTTGGAGCTCTACGTCAAATAATGTGGGCTGTATCGTGATTTCAACAGACAGACAGACGGACAGACAGACAGACAGACAGACGGACATCGTTAAATCGACTTAGAATTTTATGCTGATTATGAATATATATACTTTATGGGGTCTAAAACGAATATTTAGGGATGTTACAAACGGAATGACAAAGTTAATATACCCTCCTTTCCAAGGTGGAGGGTATAATGATGGGGAAAATGTTTTTTTTTTTTGCAATTTGACGTCACTATAAGCATTATTGGTTGTAATAGAAACAACCCTGGACCAAGTCCATTGATTACAAAGGCTGTAGAGAAAAGTTTCGAGGAGTGATTGGCATACGTCGTCATTTCAAAGTATAGGAAACAGGATAATTTCGCAATCGGATCGACTATAGCTACATGTCTAAAATATCTTATTTATCCGAAGGCATCTGTTGAAAAGGGCATTCAATATTCAGTAAATCTTTAATGTGATAATTGTGGGACATATTGCTTTACAAGATGTAATCTAATCAATCACTACAGACTTCGAAAGATCTGAGTGTGACCGTCTTCTGTTAATTTTGTTTTTGCATTTATTGTTAAACAAAAACAAAAAATGTTCAAAATCAATGTTTGTATATGTGTGTCTCTTGTTTTGAATAAAACAGAAAATAGAGTTGAAATTATTTCAAATTCAGGTGCAACAGAAATACATATTTTCGACGTTAATGAGCGGATAAAACTGTGGAATAACCCCAACATTTCGTTCCAATTGTTGCATATTTTAATGTCTATTTGACACCATAAGACTCCGGTACGGAGTTGTCTTTTTCTAGTTTTTTTTTTTTGAAGTTGAACAACCTTTATAAGTGAGCCATACACATATGTATACAAATTGTGTATATGCTTTGACAGCATAGAGCCACCTCCTTTTGTTGTTCCATGCACCATGCTTGTACATATATTTCGAATCATATTTTTATTTTACAACACGTTCTTTCGCTATCCCAAAGTAGTCAGGCTAAATTCGATTGTTGATGTTTAAGTCAAACCCATTAGACGGGAACAGGGATAGTTTTTTAAGGGGCATGGGGCAAATCGGTCCAATGTCCTGCGATCCCTTTCTACAACAATAATATGTATAGATATTCTTGTAGTATGCAGCGGTGCGAAAAGTGTGAAAGTGAAATAAAATACAAACGCGAACCTGATTCTAAAACTTTCCTTATTAATAAGAACACAATTTTATTTTCACAGTCTCACCAAATCGTTACTATGAATCGGACGTGAACATACACTTCAAAACACCTGTACGCCAGGAGCTTAAATCTCCACTATCGGAGGAGGAATTGGCCCTTCGCCAGGCCCAACAAATGCAAAAACTATACCAAGAAGAGAGGCGACGCAAATATTTGCAGGAACTACAAGACATGAATTCGCGTCGTCACACGGATAACTTCACTCCGTCACAAAAATCACCCATACCGCTGAATCGCTACGACGATTTCCCTGCAGATTTGGCGCCCAAGAACTTGAGCCAAATTAAATCGGTCGCAAGAGCCTTGTACAATTTTCAGGCGCAGAATTCCAAGTGAGTTTAAAAACTTTAAAGCATAAGTCTTGGTAAGTTAGTCACGAGTACACATTATTTGGAATCATTGCAGAGAACTAAGCTTTAAGAAAGGCGACATCATATATATCAGGCGGGCCATTGATAAAAACTGGTATGAAGGGGAACACAACGCCATGATTGGCCTATTTCCAGCCAACTATGTGGAGGTAAGTGGCTCGATTTTAAATACAAGTTGGCAGATAGATAATAACCCCCTACCACCCATTTCATTCCAACAGATTGTTAACAGAGATATCAATCAGCCACAGCAGGCACCTCGCAGCAAACCTTCCGAAGGTCAGGCCAGGGCAAAGTACAATTTTCAGGCTCAGTCAGCTGTTGAGTTGTCGCTGAATAAAGGGGAATTGGTGGCATTAACCAGGCGTGTGGATGATAACTGGTTCGAGGGCAGAATAGCCAATCGCAAAGGCATCTTCCCAGTTTCATATGTCGAGGTAAAAACCGACCCCCATTCTCATTGAACAATTTCGACTACAGTAATATATCTTTTTACGCAGGTGCTAACCGACATTGGTGCAGAGGATATTGCCGCTAAGACGACAACAGTACAACAAACATCCACAGTCAATTATCGTCCTTCACTGGATGCCCTGCGCACAAACATCAACAACGAGTTTAACACCTTGACTCGAAACGGAGTCCAACCACCAAATTCTATATTAAGGGAGACGCGTCCCGATCATAAGATCGATATCTTGCATGTGGATACCAGTTCGGAGCCCCTGGTGTAAGTATGCTTCATAATCTGCTGATTCGAATTTTTTCGATGATAAGCGATGAGAGCATTCCGTTGTCTGTATATTCAGTGGTATATGACGACATGACGACGTGATAAAGTGGGATTCGTAGAAAAAATAAATGTTTTAAACTTGAAACCACTATTAGAGTGAATGCGGCCATGTGGACTGGCGAATCATAGGAAAATAACAGCAATTCACCTCATGTCGTAACTCAGAGCTAATCGAGGGAGGGTGTATATACTTCGTTATTCCTTGTGAACTAAATATCAATTTGATTTAGCCCTTTCAGTGTTTTTGTCAAATATATTTGACATTTAAAAGTACTCTCTTTCTTTGCCATTTTTTGTTTTTCTTACGAACCGTTATTTTTGATATTTTTTAATAACAGACACGTTCGCTATTGCATAATATTGCAGTTCTATTCTATTAGTTTCGTTTTCGAATTTCTGAGCACATTTTAGTAAATTAGTACGGAATTTCAGATTTTTATCTCGACAAAAATTTTCATTGACATTGAAAGGGTTAGTCAACGAATTGAGATAGAATGTTTCAAATTCTTCCTTTACTTGACACCTTACAAAAAATATCACTATCAGAATATTCATGAATAAAGCCTTCCGCATTGCCTTCATAAGTTTTTGTTTTCACATCTGTGGTATTGCCATAAAACCACCACGACATATGTTTATTTATTATTATTATTATTTTCTTTCATTTATCTTGCAGATATCGCGCTCTTTACAAATACCGCCCACAAAACTCGGATGAATTGGAACTATTGGAAGGTGATATCGTCCATGTTCTGGAAAAATGCGATGACGGCTGGTATGTGGGGACATCGCAGAGAACCGGTTGCTTCGGCACATTTCCAGGAAATTATGTTGAGAGGCTGTAAAATTGTTCATTGCCACTGATGCATGTCGTCCAGGGAACCAAAAGCCTCCATGTCTATACATATTTATATACAAACATATCTACAAAGATATACCAATAGAAATGTTATCGTGTGTTGTTATACAAATTATATTATTGCTAAAATCTATTTAAACTATCGCAAAGCAAAACAGATCGGAATGGAATTGTTAATTTTGTTATTTGCAGCACTCCTAACCGTGCCCAATGTTTATTTTTTTTTCTTATTTTTGTTCGCCAACGTGACAGTGCCTGCCTGCGGAACTTAATGAATGTAACACTTTCCGATATTATTATCACTAACTTAATTATTTTATGTGTATCTTAACTTTATTGTTCTCCGTGTGCACCTTAAATACGTTTCAATGCGCAATATTGTATTTTATTGTTCTCCTCGCCTTTCCAGTTTTTGTTTTATTTTAACTAGTCAAAGCTATAATCCCAAATATATTTAATTTTTTCGTTTCATTTTGTAAGAGTATTTAATTATTTATTATGTCGAGGGTTAAGTTATTGTCTATTACCGTCTAATAAATATTGATATTGAGTTTTGTTTCGTTAACTAAATAAAAGAGAACACAAATAAATTAGTTATTTACACCAAATCAATGTATGTTAATTTACATGTAAATGGGTACATATATAGAATTTAATAACTTTTTAAAAGGTCTGAGGCTGCGAAAACGTTCGCCTCAATTAATATACTATTTGAAACACCCGAAAGAAGATTACATTGGAAAGTTTTACGCGAATCGAATCTAATAAGACACAGGAAGGGAATTCGGACCGTAGCCAGCCTTCGTTCGCCGTCAAAAGTATTTTTACGAAGGACCTGTAATTTGGCATATTTGTAATGACGTACAGTTGTAATGAATTATAGGAGTTGAATGCTGTAGTTATCGGCAGTTTAAGTCGTCATTTCTCTGATGCAAATCAAATTTCTTTAATGTTTTTTTTTTTTCAATCGTTTTATACTCCAAACAAAACAAAATCACAAGCATTTCAATGCCGAAGTACACAAACAATACGATTGCCTTATTGTACATCGATTGTGGTTTGCGAACACTGTCGTTTGCAAACGAATCGCCGGGAAACGTTTCCAAACGTTTGCTGTGCGAAATAATGACTGGTACATTTAGAGCTGTCATTCTACATATAGTTTTTTGTACCGTAGCCGCTGTATGATAGACATACAGGCATGTCACAGGAACGAATTCCGAACGAAAGTGATTTAAACAAACCAGTTTTTTCTTCCAACAAAAATTCCATATTTACGCTGAATAAAGAGATTTTAGCAGTTTACCAAAGCGTACGGAATCTGAAGAAACTAAAATAAAAACGTTCGATTTTGAATTACAGCATTCAAACGATTCCTTTTCGATCCTGTGACATGCCTGATATAAATGAATAACATATCATTAGTTTTTATATTATTTGTAATGTGTTACAATAATACTGGGAGACGTTTGCAATGAGTTTTGCACTGGTTCGTTTCCAATATTGCGTCATCCAGCAGAGTCCATTTCAGCCAAGTCCCGTTGGCTGAGTAGTGCTTTTGTTCCGTCTCGTATTTCGTGAAAATACAGAACAAAACGACTAAAAACGTTTTATATAGTTTATTTTCGTACGTTGGACAAAACTCGCGGAAAATCTTCCATGCCGTTTGGTAAATCATAAATGGATAACGTACATTGAAATTAGATTTAATAAAATCTAAAGAGAAACTATGCAAGAAGCATGGATAAATTCATCTCGAAGCTCATCAGACCAATTAATAGTAACCAATGCTGAAATTACTGCATCGAAATGTTTGTTTTGAATGTGAAACCTTCGAATCTAATGGAATTACCCTGCAAACATTTGGAAGTGGGTTTAATCTTCTCTCAGCAAAAAGTAACAACGATAGTAGGCAATTTACAATAACAATTTTGTTGTTATCGAATGTAATTACACTCCTTCAACTATTTCAGTACATGTGAGGTTCGCTTAGACATTTTTAGGGTATTCTTAAAGAAAGTGAAAGCGTAAGTTAAAAATTAAAAGTTAAGTTGCGTTCGCACAACAAGAAAGAAGTCTGGTTTGAATCATGTTTACGTTAAAAATATGTAAGGAGTTACGGAAGCAATGCTGCAGGTAGTATCTCAGAAGTGGAACAGTTTCAGTAGTCGTTCTTATATTTTTATCAGGAATCGCTTTGAAGTAAAGTTTTCGCCACCCAGGCGAGTGAAAATGCTTACAGGGTGAACTCCCAGTAGGCCAACTGTCAAAAAAAAATGTATCTTTTTTCGCTCACACTTACTACACTTTTGGGTTATTGGACGACATTTTGAAATATTTTCGACACAATATACAGTTATTGTAAACCCTTTTTACTGGGCTTTTCGGTAATCGAGCAAAATTTTGTAATATTTTTTACGAAATTTTGGTTTATCGTAAGACCTAATGCATGAGATACGTTGTCGTACACACGCAATAAAACATTTGATAGTTTCCTCTCCATTCGAAGGGTTATTAATAGTTATTCTTAGTGACTGACTTGAAAGAAAAAACACAGTGTTGTTTTATAAAAAGACATTCGTTATATTCTTTAGAAAACAAATATACATTCTCAGTTTTTGTCTCCTGGCCTAGAGTACGTATTAATATATATTCTAGTTTTTAGTAGTTTCATTGCACTATTTTCTACAATTTTATCGTTCAAATATTATCAACCATAATAAACCGTGATTAGAGAAGTTATATTGTACTGAAGCTTTCATTACACACTAATGAACCAATATCAGTTAACATTTTAAACTAGGTAGATAGTAAATATGTACACGTCTTACTAAGTATAAACATAGAGCAAAAAAAAATAAATTTTTTTAGGTTTTGGGGGGGGGACAAATAGGCATAACTCGCCATAAATGGATTGCAATATTTATCACATTCGGATTTAAAATTTCACTTGCGATTATCGCCCTACGAGCAGAAAAACAAGGAAATGAGAATGTACGAAATGAATATACAATAACTATTTATCTATTTACATTGCAACAATATAACTATCTAACCTAAAGTGTAATTTAGCCTATGTTTTAATTCTAGTAAATCAAAATTTCATCTACTGCTAAACATTCAATCCTACCTATTGAATCAGTGGTCTGTATGGATGGTTTTGTTTAATAAATACATTTTTAAGAAGTTCAGTTGCTTTTAAATGGTGTCAAATATACTATACAAACAATTACTTTGTTGGACATCAAATTAATAAACATAAAACACGCCTATAACTGCTTCAAAAATCATTCATGATATCATTCAAGGCGTTCTTAATAAGGACACACAGGATACGAATTATTTGAAAAACGGGAGTTATTTTAAATGAAACTTAAGTGCAAAAGAAGATAGCTACTGGCCTTGCCATTCCCATATTACCGTGTAAATATAATTTGATATAATCATACTACAGAAATAAACATAATTAACTGAGAACCTTGTACAATAATTGTGGTCGTATTTGATAACACGATTTCGATCGATATGTTCTTAAACTAGGTACACAATGTGTAGCTGTGTGCTTTTAAAACAATTTATACAACAATAAGGAAATATGTATGCATACCAATACATGGAGGACGGAAAGGTATTTTCGTTCATATTTTAACACCTATGTGCAGAAACTACACTCCACCTATTATAGTGGCAACAGGCAATCGACCAATGTAAAATTACGCAAACATACAAATATTTATTGGTTTTCACATTAAAAAATAATAAAATATTTTAAATACAAGCCATATTCATCGTCAATCGACAAACTGTCACTAAACATATCAGGAAGACCCAATACGAGGCGATAAGATTGCTTTCTTAAAACTAATGGGTTCAAATTAGAGCTTATTACAACTGCAATGTAGGGATCTAATGAAGGCTCCGCCATTCATTTCATGATTGTGACATGTAACTTAACAAATAATAGAAATAAATAAGAAGACACACTGTAGGTAAGAGATAATTTAGCAGTAGGGTAACTATTATCCCGTCCCGTGCCTGCCATTTTCGAAGAGACCCTTCTTAAAGAACGGCGAGAGCTGAGCCAACGTCATTCGTGATAGACCGGGCGCGCCTGGTCCTTCGTAAATTGGGCTTTGTGGTATTCTTGAACATACGACCAAGAGGCGTCGCAAGTACAGCTCCAATAAACGCCGACGATGTTTTGCTACAGCTTCACTGTTGGAAGCAAATAGTTCTCTACGAGGAAAAGGCAATGCAGCAACCTGTAATTTGATAGTAAGATATTAATGTTGATGTCTCCGTCAAGTGGGTGACTCACCTTTGCTCCATAAATATTCTTCATACTCATATGGAGTTCTCTAAAACGGCTGTAGCGCCGTAGTATATTTAATTTTCCGTCTGGCAAAACTATGCGTACTTCATATTCATAGTGCGTTTGCTTCCCAGCTCCTCGTATTACAAATGTGGGCACGGTAATAATATGTTCAGTCTCAGCTGTGAGGGTGAGAATATATGTATTAAATGTTGAAATCTCTTTAATTAGCAGTGTCTTACAAAATTCGTCTCGAATCGATGAAGGCCACGATCTAGTCATGGTTGACATCGTCATATGTGACATTTGGGTGTTACTGTCATTATTGTCTTCCTCGTTCGGATCATATTCCTGCATGGTTTGACAACAAAGATGATGATCTTCCGTGTTGTTAGCATGTTCCAAGGCATGTCTCTCCATCTTGACGTAGCGCTTCTGAAGTTCTTGTAATTCGGCAATCTGCTCATCCAACTCGGCCTTGTTTACATTCATTTCGAGATTTTTCATTATCAAAGCCTTTTGAGCGGCAATCTTACATCTTAGATTGTGCATTGGACAGGAAGACTGCAAACCTTCGGCGTTGGTATTCATTTCGCACGATGAACAGGACCCAGTTTCATCATCCGAATTACAAACTGCAATATCAGCAACTTCACCACAGCTACTATTAGTTATGCCACTAATAGCGCCAGTCTGCAGTGAGTTAATATGTCTCATAGAGTCCAAACAAACGCCACTGTCACTCATAATAGCATCTGATACAGGTGCTAATGATTTGGCCGCACTAACTTTCGAATTTGGCTCTGTACTATTAGTGTCCGAAGATGTGGGCGACGACGTTTTTGACTTGCGAATACCCGAGTCAGAGATCGTATCATCATCCTCAATCTCCCCAGATGATAGGGTGCAATTGCTAAGGGGTGTGATGTCATCTTCGGCGATTGTAGGTGAGCCCAGATTGGAACAATTTGTCTGTGCAGTGTGAAAGGTGTCGCACGTGGTTTCATAAGTTTCTGAATGTGACACATCATTTTCCGTCTGTACATTCATATCGGTTGTATATCTTTTGCTCAATTGCAATTGAAGACTAATGAGAGCAGACAGGAAATGTAGGCTAATATAAAATATATATACGAATATATGAATTATTACCTATCCTTTTTCTTGTTCAGGGTGTCAAGTTCTAACTCCTTCTCTTTACGTTCCGAGAATAAAGTTAGCAACTCTTCCTCGATTTGTAAAAGGCTCTCGTCGACGTGAGCTATCTTGGCAGTGCTTGTATTAAGCATGGATTCTTTTTCTGCAATTTGCTCATCCAAGCGATGAATATCTTCATTCTATGTGGGAGGTAGCGTTAGTAAAAGCATGTAAAAAATCAAAGAAAGATGATTACATACGTTTCTTTTCACCGTATCTTTAATGAACTGTGAAGCGAATAAGTCGAGGGAGTCTGCAGCTTGCAGCAACAAGTCGTCTGTCAAAGGGGTCGAAGTATCCACTTTAATTCCAATCTGAAAAACCAGATAGATAGTTGAATTAAATCTACATTTTATTCTCCGAACACAAAACAAACACGCAACAATGTCCTATAGCACAGACAGAATATCTAAAATCACTAACCTCATCCAATTTTCCACAATCTTGGAGTTCCTGCAACTCTTTTGCTACATACTCCGAAAAATCGCGTTTTTTCGAGTCGAGCTGAGTTTGTAAGGCGGAAATTTGTCTACACACTATATCAATCTAGAACGACACAAAGTCAAACGTACAAGCAGACAAGTGATTATGCATGACCGACGGAATTTACCTGCACTTTCTCATTGTTCTTCTCCCAAAGTAACATATCCTTGCGGGCTAGGAGCTCTTCTTCTCGACACTTTAATAGTTCCAGACTATTCTTCTCTTCTTTTTCAAGGCGTTTAAGTTCGTCGGTCAGTTTTTGTACTTTTGTCTTGTACTGATCGTGCATTTGAACACGTTCCTAAAAAGAACAGATGGCCAAAATTTAATTTCATCATAACTTCATTATCACCAACTCACAATATTCAATTGTTTTAAGGCATTTTCAATAGTCTCCAAAATTTTACGATTTTCATCCTGTAGTTCGGGATCGTCTCTAGACATTGGCTTGGTAGGGTAATATTGCTTATCGCTTCTTTTAAGTGGCGAGGAAATTAGGCTGCCGCTCATCGAAGTGTTTGAGTCGTCGTCTAAACAGAAACTGGAAGTTAGCAAGTTTTCACGCGATGACGTAATAAGGGAGAGGCGGGACATATCCAACTGAGAGCGGTTGTATTCCTTGCGTAACCTGGCTGCCTCTGTGGGGTTGTTAAATCGAAAGATATTCGTGCGACCAAGTAATATAATGTCGCCCTGGCATATATTTGTCGGTTCATCGATCAAATGTGCATTTAGCCAGCACTGAGCCAGCGGCCGAGGATGTAACGTACATATTCCATCTTTTAAAATAATACTGCAATGGTTCGGACGTATTCCGTCGCCGCACAGCTCAATGTCTTGCGGTATTTCGGCTTCGTCAGTGCCTATAGTGGTTTCGCCCTCTTTCAGGCTGTACAGAGTGACGCCGGTAGTAATGTCGTTGTGAATACATATGAGATGGGGCATTTCCGAGTCCAGGACGACACCAACTCCAGATTTTCTTAGCCCCAAACTCTTTTGTTCCTGGAGAATGGACTGGGCCTCTTTCCACTTTTCAGTCCATTCTTCGGTGAGAACCTTCTCTTGGGCCTCCTTTTTCTGCAAATCTTCCAACATTTTAAGGGAAGGTTGTAACGCTTGCTATAAAGAAAAAGTGAGAACAGGTCGTGTAGTTTATGTTAAAGTCCACATGACTTACAATATCACCGGAAAGCATTGCTTTTAGTTTGTTTATTTCATCTCTCAACTCTCGAATAAGCTTAACATTTGGATCCTCATTGATTGTTGGCTTGTTAATAATATTCTTAGCCCGGTTGGCATATCGCAGTGTGCTTAGTGTTTCACTATAGTTGCAGTCGGCAGGCGATAATGCTGCAATCATAATTGTTTTACTGTTGCCTCCCAAGCTATCTTTCAGCAACCAAGTTAGGATAGAGTCTCTGTAGGGTATATAGAGTACACGCTTTGAAGAACTTCCGTTGGTAGTGTTGGAGTTACTCTGCTCGGCCAGAGCAGAAATAACACTGCCTAAAGTAACCAAAGACTTGTTAATGTGGGCTCCCTCTTTTAAACGTTGCCCTGTGGCCCCAGTGGCATTAGCCCTTTCACTATAATAGATATACCTCTGTTACAACTCTGTTAAGAAATGGCACATTTTCACTGCTTACCTTCCTGCCAGGTCCACTAAATGAATTTTGGATACCGTTTCACTGGGCATGTCGTTCATATAACCCGCCTGAACAAAAGTGATGGTGAATATCGCATGACTTCGACTACTGGTATCATTCATGTTCGTACTGGCTGTTGTGCGTTGTATATTGCCACGAGTTATACATTCCTGGATCTCATCAAAATCAGCCACCGAATGTTGTGACAAATTTTCTACATAGGGACCCAAAGTTCGATGTTCTCGAACTCTTAAGCCATGACCACTAGTTTGGGGCCCAAGTAAATCTTTCACACGCTCATTGTAAATTTCCAAATAACTAGCGTGTGTCTTATACCCAGTCCCTGATTCTTGGCCAACACGCATTCGAGCAAAAAGTTCGGAACAAATTCGAGGTATCAGTCCGGGGTTATCCGATGTACCCATCATTGTAAATGTTTTTCCAGAGCCCGTTTGGCCATACGCAAACACGCAGGCATTGTAGCCTTCAAAAAAACTCATGAGGGTTTGCAAATATCAATTAATTCCCAACTTACCTTGAAAAGCACAGTCAATTACATCCGTTCCCAGGTCGTCATAGACTTGCTCCTGGGTAGCAAAATGCTTATCATTCTTGTCAAAAGACCAATAGGAATAGTCGAAAGTGAAATCATGATAGTTCTCTCGTCCAGCATCGCGTTGAATTTGATGTTTGGGCTTGTATAGGCGTGATTTCTTATTTTCCATTTCCACAATACATGTGGCACCCATGTCTTCTTCCCTACAACACAAAAAATTGTAAGGATGTGAAAAGGTTTCAACTTTTAGGCAAATATTGCCCTAATTAATTAATTTTGTCCGATGTTAAAATTTATTTCCATCCCGCAATGAAAAGGGCACACTAACAGACCATTATTTCTTACTCTTTCAAGTTTACCAAAAAAAAGCTGAGCAACTTTTCCTTGAATCAACCAATGCTAATGGTACCACATTCAGTACCTTTTTCAAATTTCCATACATTTACATTAAGAATTTTCAAAATCCAGGCTTTGATCCACATTTTTATTGTAATGTGAACATTTGAACAAGTGTATTTTTAGACCGATTCATACATTATCTCCATTTGTCTTAAGTCATAGAAATGTAATATTTCTTTTATTTCTGTAAACATTTCATTTCTACAAATATTTGGAACAAACTCCTTATTTAAAACGGAATCTCAAAATTCTATGATGTTTACATCCAATATCAAAATATAATAAATTTAGTACAATTTGGTATTTTTCGTTCTGCTATTTAAGAAATGTCCACAATCTTGTTGTGTACGTGTACATGTTACAGGGCCAGGCAAATGCTGCCCCGACTATCAGACCCATGTAATCACAGAGTAACAAAATTGGTGGAACACAAAAAGTGCGACTAGATTTTCTTTATTTAAACAATACACACCAACAGTGTGTCTAAAAGAGAAATTCAGAATTCCGTTTAGCCTATTACGAAAGGCACCAAAGTAGGCGTTTCGTCCTGCAGTTGAATGTTTGAAATTAGAAAATATTATTTGCGGAATATTTCTGACTTATTTTAAAAGGTGATTGTAAAATTGTTAGTGACTGTAATTCAAGCAAACACCACTGGAATTTTTGTTTGCGCATCGATTTTTTGAGTATTATTAGCATTTTTATACATTGTTTAATTTTCTTTTTGGTTTTCATGATATGTAACTGCAGCACTGTGTTAGATGCATCTTTCATTGTTTCTACACACACTGAGAATTTTGGAAATGTAATTCAGAGGTCTGTCCAATTTTAGCTTGGTTCCCAGAGAACTCCTTGTGTATTTAAAGGGTTAAAATGATGGTATCCTTAAAATATGGCACTATCTAAACATGAGACCATTTCAAAGTTTTTGTAGGTAATTGTGTGTATTTATTTATTTTTTTATTTATTTATTTTTGCAAAATGCTCATATTGTGTCGGCGGTCCGTTTAATGTGCATATATATGTTTGAAAGTTCATTGGATTTTTTTTTGTACATTATTTATAACAAAGATTACCTCGAATTAAAGGGACGGACCCTAACAGCAACTTTGATTGATGAAGACATGATATGATTCACTTTTTTGGCAAGAGATTATAACAGCAGTTTCGGATTTTGGTAACAATTTCTACATTGGAATATATGTAATTTATCCAAACAGAGTAGATGGTTGGTTACTTCCTCGTCGATATTGTTATGTTGCTTTCCATTTGAATCATTCATTCGTTGTTTGTTTGCTACCGATGTTGTTTTGGCTACCTCGGCTGCCTCTATTAGAGTGTGTGCTATTTGAACCCTCTTCTCGCCAAAAAAAAAAAACGATTATCATCCAAGCACGAAAAGTGTTAAAAGCAAAACTAGTTTCTTTGCAGCAAAACACAATCACAAAATATTGCCACACAGCATACAATGGATTTGATTCCGAAAATCTCTTTACACTATATACACCCAAGTCTGTGACCTTTATTGTTTGCAACAAAAAAAAAAACAAGTGGAAAACTAAAATAGGATTATTTTTGCAATAACAAAGTTCTGCGGCCCAGAAATTGAACACTCAATCCCACAAACAATTTATTTGCACAAAAACACGGTAAAATACTTCACATTTTACAAATAACAGCTTGTAATGTTTATAATCTATGTTGGTTCGACTCCTTCACATAGTTCTTCCAAATATTAATATTGTATTGTGACATCATATCTCGTAGTATTTCTCATGTCAACTCAAACTAGAGACAAACAAAACGATAATCGATTAACTACGTTGTAGGCTACACACTGTCACTTAAAACTGACAGTTTCAAAACAAATCGATTTTTTTAATTTGTTTGGGTTCTTTCATGGTATAATTATAACAGATAGCAGCAAACCATAGTTGTGTTCCAGTACTTTTTTAGCGTTAAAACTAGCAGAAGAGAGAACAGTACAAAATGCCATTCTCATTTAGGTGTGCTCAAAAAATAACGGAACGGAAAATTAGCAGAAATGCGATAAAATGTCAACATTCAAAATTCCAAAAGGAAACAGTCTAAATCGGACTGGTGAACCCTTATTAAAATGGACGCCAAAATTTAAAAAAACGAGTATTGAAAATAAGTTGAAATTAATAATTATTTTTGAATGCTGTTTATTTAGAAAGTTTTGTTTCAGAATGCGTTGAAGAGTATTTAGAGGTGGAGTTTTCTCAAATCCCAACCCCGGAGAAGCTGACATGGTTGGAGCCGCCGGTTTAATTAATGTTAAGTCTGCTAGAAGACTAAATGCCACAAGTTGGGAAGACAGCCAACCTAAAAAATAAAAAGAACATGTTCAGTAATAAGCGAACATCATTGATTTTAAGCTTAATTTTTCAATTAAACTTTCACTAATTTTGCACTGTTTTCCAATACGTTTTCTTCGTCTGATTCCTCATTCAGGTTGAAACATTTTTCAACCTTGTTAGCCCTGCCAATTAAATGTCAAATTTACAATTTGCACATTTCTGCTCGGCCAAATTCATGTAGCTAAAACAAGCAGAAATGTGCACCACTCAGCGCCATTTTTTTTTATCGAGAGAGCTGCAAGTTTTGCTAGTTTTTGGAGTACGGGAACGCGTTTTAGCAGAATTAGCACTAATTAGTACTAATTTGTAGGTTCTGGAACACAACTCATAGCTGATTTGACTCAATAGTAATACTAAATTTCAAAATGTATAATAATTTATGTATGTATACAATTTGGTTTCAATTTGAAAGGGATTTTGCCTTTTCCACGATTTTTTAGCGATTGGTTGAAATGTGAGAGATTGGAACCTACAGCTAACAACTATACATTCAGGAGAATGATATGAAAGCATTAAAATTATATATCTATATAATTATTCTTTTGCATTTTAAATTTAATGAGCATTTTCGAAATTAAAATAATTTATTAATTAATTGTTTTGTTTTGGACATATAACTCCGACACCATAGCATTTCAGGTAACGCTGTAAGACACATGTTTTTGCTGTTGAGCTTAATAGTTTGTTTAAAAATCGACGAAGTTGGGTAACAACTAAATGTCAGATCCAGCAACTGTATATTCATTGATTTTCTTATGGTAAAATTTCGAAGTTAGTTTCACTACATAAAACAGGTTCCCATCTCTGATTTGTGAATTTTCATACAAATTTTGACATTAAGATGTTGTCAAAGGTATTCTCCTTAATTTTACCATGAATTTACTTTCGCTTTTTTCTAGAACCAGCAGGGGGGTCTGTCCTGAACTGCAAGAATGTAAACATTTTTACTACGATAACATTTTCCCTTGTGGACAAACGAAAATTGTAAAAATGTTACTACGATAACCGATATTTCCTTACTTTGGTTTGTTCCAGGGTCTGGATTCTTGTCTGTTTGTTCCAGGGTCTGGATTCTTGTTCTATGAAAATATAAAATGAAAAATATATCCTTTATAAAATTTTTCATTTGACGTTTCTTTCCTTTACAATCGTTTTCATTTCACATTTTCATAGAACAAGATTTGAAGTCCAGAACTACAAGAAACTTTTTACTACGATAACCGATTTTCCCTTTATGATGTAGAAAAATTTTAAAAATAGTAGATAAATGGTCTGTTCTAACCCGTTTATACGGCACGATTCGTTATTCATTGTAACATAATCCCTTTTTCAAATGTTCTGTTCCAGAACCTCCAAGAATCTAGTATTTTTGCAATTTTTTTCGATTTCATAAATGAAAAAACTGATTGTTTGTTGATTTTTATGGAAATTTGTATGAAAACACATGAAATTTGCATTTCTGTAAATTTTGTCATTTTGAATATATTTTTGCGTGTTTATTGTTTTAATTTTTGCTGGAGAGAAACTTGTCGATATGTTTTTTGTCGATACAAAATTTTTGAAAATAGTACCTCTTTTGTTTCTAGCTTTCAGCAAATATTCCAACTCTTGGTCAAAAAACGTACCTCGAATAAGGGGAGAACAATATTTAATTTTGTTTAAATGTTCATACGCCATTCAACATTATATTTTCATCCTTAATTTTCAGTCTTCCTGAAAATTTTTAAAATTTCATTAAATGTTTCTATTTTGAATTTTAAAATATCATATTTTTTTCGATAAATACTTTATTTGTTAGGAAAGGCACACATTTCATCGTAGTTCTGAGAGTGATTTGAACAAAAATCTTTGTTCGCTCAGAAAATTTTGTGTGGAATCAATGTTGGGAATGGTCGAACAACGAATAGAAAGCGAATCACGTGTCATGTGAACTTAGCATTATATACATGCAGTTCTGACCAAATGTCAATGGAATAAACTATCAATCGATACCCCGTTTTAAAATTAAGTATCGATAATATCGATTTTGCCATCGATTGTTTGTAAACTCTTCTCTAACACATATGTTTCCAAACATTTAAGCGAAAATTTTTACGTAATTTGCCGATATTGGGATCGAAATTTTGGCCATTTTCTTTGAATTGCCGTGGTTTGTGTTGATTAGATTGTAATGGGTAACACATATGCTCGAGCCGTCCATCCTGATGTTACGCCCGGACCAGATTGTGTGCCCACCTTCGATCCCTTGTTGGGTGCACCTAATCGCAAAGAGCGTGTTATGAAAGCAACTACTGAGGAAATGATTTCTGCGAAGCTGCCTCTAGCCGATCGCGACTATTGTGCTGATAAATTGCTGAAATATCGTGCCTGTCGTGCCGACGTCTTTCCATTCCTCTACAAGTGTCACCATGAGAAACATGAATACATGACTTGCGAATTCGAGGACTATGTTTTGCGCATGAAGGAGTTTGAGAGAGAGCGAAGATTGCTGGAACGTCAGAAGCGATTGGATGCTGCAGCTTAAAGACCCAACGTCATGGGCATTGGTAACCAACATTCAAATTTACATGACATTATAATTGTAAAGTTTTATAATTTTTTTAGGCTTCCTTGTCTGGGCATATTGTTAATACATTTTAAATTGAATTTTCAAATCAACCAATAAATTAATATTAGCTGTGAATGCGGTAAATAAATTGTAATTTTCATTAAAAATGATCGGAAATGTGAAGCGATTAATGCCGGTTTCAAATGAAATAACCGGGAAGTCTACATGTGTATTTTATCCGGGAAGTCCTTTCTAAGGCTTAGGCTTCGAATAACAACACAATTCCAGCAACGTTTGAAGTGTTATTACATTAATACAGTAAAAAGGCATATTTTTTAAATTGGATACAACATAATTTAGGAAGTATCACTACAAATGGTAAACTTGCACTACTGTCGGTTATGTTTCATCGTATCGGCAGATGCAAATTTAATCATCGTATCATTATTTTTAGAGTTAAGCAAAAAATTATTTTGACATATTTGGACATATTTCACATTTGAATTTGCTACAAATTAAACATGTGAAATACCTTAGTACCGATACAGATTTAAACTTGGCGTTGTAATAAGGGTTTTGTCGACACTGAAAGTTTTCCTGGGTTTTTTGTCTTATTGATCAGGGATACTTGATGAAGACCACATGTAATAAAAGGAAATTTGTAAAAAAAGTCATACAAACTATGATCGTTATGAATTCGTTTCGTATAACAATTATGAGGCGGCTTAACATTAAAATTGGATGGATCAAATATGTGGATACAATAGGTTAAGGATCGGAATTGATTTTCTAATTTTACGGAGGTATTTTTCTGCTTCATTTCAGAGTACATGACCTTGAATAGCTTAATTTTAAAATCGGCTGAAAGATATATATGGGAGCTTTATCTAAATCGGTTTTGCAGACTTTATTCTAGTAATAATATGAACCAAAATTTATTCTAATTAGATGTCAAAGTAAATTAATAAATACAATTAAAAATAGCACGGATAATGTATTTTTTAAATCTCAACCGATCTAGACAAATTTTGGCAAATATTGTAGGCTCTATCTGATTTCTTGTGCCAAATATAATTGTTAGAGTGCATATTATGGCTTTAAAGGTCTTAAATATCAAATAAGATGAAACACATATATGAAAGCAATATTTGAACTGATTTTCACAACATTTCATAAAATATATTTGTTTTGTTCCAGAACCTGCAAGAGCGTAAAAATAGTAACAATAAATGATATCGACAAAAAATTGCAAATCTAGTAGATTCTTTCATGTTCTGGAAGTGAGCAATTTTTACACTGAATTCGGGGGTATGTGTCAAAATTCAATCTTTTGGTAAGGCTTTAAACTTTGGTGTTCAACACAATTCAAATTGGTAGATTTATATGGGAGCCAAAAAAACGTTATACATTCTTGCAGTACTGGAACATTCTTGTACTGGGAATTCCCTTTGGTTCTTATTTCCATAAAAAATGCAAATAACAATGATGAAAAACGAAAATAATTAGTCTTGTCTAAGGTGTATTTAATCCACCTTGGCCTTATCCATGAAAATGTGAAATGAAAACTTTTATAAAGGAAAGAATGTGAAATGAAATAAGAATCCACCCCCTGAAACAGATTTAATTTTCCAATTATTCAATCAAGTATGTAAAAATAATTTATAAAAAAAACTTGGACTTACTGTTTTTGTTGACAAATCACAATAAATTTAGCTTGTGTTTCCTGATTAAAAACACGTTTACGCACAAAATTTCTCTCTCTCTCTTCAAAATTTACCAATCAGGGAAAATTTAATGCATATTTTCTGTAGTCAAATTTATTGTTATTTCAAATTTATTGTCCATTATCAGCATAAACCCGGGCAAAGATTTTCTACAATGCCCACTAAGCAGGTGGTGTAAATCACAATAAAAAAAACAACAATTGAGATCGAAAAACCCTCGTAATGTTAAAGTGCTTGTTTACGTTTTCATACATTTAATTCACAATTGTGATATCAGCTGGTCTTATCTGATGATCTAATGGATAGGTCATGATTTTGTATGCAAACGTGCTTTAATCATTCAAACGAATCCCGACTTCCATAGCCCTATTTTTGTTCTTTGTTTTCATTCCGCTTTATTCTACATTTTGTTTAATCCTACATTCACATTAATTTTATCAGCCTTTCTGTTTTGATTCCACATCTTTATTCGATTTTCTCTCTGTGCTGTCTTTCTTTTCAGTGTTGCTGTTGTTGTTGTTGGTACTTTATTGGTACTTCTGCTGGAATAAACAGACTTTGGAGACAGAAAGCTGAAGAATGGCTGTCTGTGTGGCTGTTATTGGCAAGGATGTAAAGACTAATGGTTAAGTAATTCTTAAGAGTCCCATTCACACTTGTCTCCTTGTTGCAGAATTCTCCTTTGTACTTGTCTACGACCGATATGGACAAGGAGTTGGAATTACAATACCGCGTACATGCAGCACTAGACGTCATTGAAGAGAAGTGTCAGGTCGGTGTAAAAGGAACACCAGAGACAAAGGAATTATATTTGGGTCTACTGTATGCAACGGAGACGCATAAAATGTAACTAAATGTAAGTAGTTGCTTTCAGATTTAAGTATTAATTGATTTTTATTCTAGATACGGCTTTGTTACCAATACAAAAGTCAAATTGATTTTGGTTATTGACTCTGGAAACATAGCTCTACGGGAAAATGAAGTACGGGCGGTAAGTTTTCAGATCAGTATAAGCGAGGTGTTTAGAATTAGTATAACAAAAATCGAGTGGTGACTAAGCCCCTTGGATCAAGGTGTAGGGCAGAGAACAAAGCCCTGAAACTAGAGTCTTGGGAGCAATCTACTCAGCTATGCTCGGATCATTTTGATTTTTTTTTGCCACAGGTAGGCATTTTTAACCTGTTTAAGGGAAAGTTCTTTCCCGCTTTTCCCGGAAATTCCCGCTTATATAACTCGAAAGTTCAAATACAACAAAAAAAGTTTAGATACATTTTAGTGGAGAAAATCTCAATTTCATGCAAATTTTGAATACTAATATATCTTGAACGTCAAAAGATATCAGCACATATGGTATCGTTTTGGAAAGTGTGTAGGCTATAATGTGGGTCCATTATCGAGTTTTAGGGTTTTATTTTTCAAAACGTACTGGTGCAGAAATACCAATTTTCTTGCATTATTCGCGAACCTTTACCTTCGTTTTTGACCGGAGTCTTCCGGCTGTGCAAAGATTCGTTGCAGCTGTCCCCTATTTACGCCCTCTGTCTATCAAATTTACAATACTCAATTGATAAAATATTCTAGCGGTAGGATTAACGATTCTATTATATTTTTATAGAAATTGTCAAGGAAAAAATGTCATCTTCAAGAAGTTTCTTGAAATCACCATACATTTTACTAACAATCTCCAAGATATATTTCGAAATTTATGGGGCCAAATTCTGTTCTTCCTTTCGGAAGCGAGTATAATATTGAATAAAGCGTTATTAGAACATTTTAAAGCTTTTTAACCTGTTGGACGTTTTTCACCACAAGATTTGTTTTTTTTTTTTTTTTTTGTGAATGTTTGGAACAACGAAGGCTACATTAAGAATTAAACTCTATTTATAAAAAATTTGTGCTTTTATCTCAATGCTTATATCGATTGGACGATATGTCGGGTATTAGGTAGCCCTGCTGTTCACTGCACAAGCTAAACATATGCATTTTTACGAATTTTGCCGAAATACTCGAGCGTACGAAATTTCAAAGTTGAACAATTTTAACTCCTTTTTTGTGTGTCGGAAATAGAAACGAATGAGGCGAGGGGAACCAAAAAGGGAAAAATTGCTCGTACTGGCAACTTGTTTTCAGCAATTTTGTCTTTCATATGTTCTGTTTCAGAACTGATCAATTAAATTTTTTTTAGTACGATTACTGATTTTACCTTTATGAAACGATGATGTATACATCAAGATTTGCTGTCACCGATTTGTCAAATGACACTAAATCTTTAAATCTGCCATGAGTACATATACATAGTCAAACGATATTTGAGAGGATCGATAAACCCAATTTTGCCTACAATAGTCACCTTTATTATGGTTGGTCTTGCCTATGAACGACACATCTTGTAGTCGTCGTTGATGATTTTCGGTGTTATAATTAAAGTACGAAATCAAATTAAACTCTCCCTTTGTTGACCAAAATTAAATAATCAATTTTCTACTGCGTTAATGCTACAACATACTGTTTTGAATACGACAATACCAACCGTGAAAAGGGTGAATATGTGTGTATTGGATATAAACCTTCCATTAAATAAATGTTTCTGTATGGATTTATTTTAGATGTTTAGGAACCTTCACATTCTTTATACGGATGCCGTTTGCAACCCATTCTTTTTACCCGGAGAACAGTTAATTTCAAAGTGAGTACAACATAAAAATTCGACCACCACCATTTCGGGAAATGACAACCAAATTTCTTTTCAGAAAATTTGATCGCGCTGTACAGAAGCTTATGAGTGGGAATATTTAAATGTAATTTATTTTATTTTATAAATTATAACTGTAGTTTAAACATGTACTATTCTGTTCATTTTTTATTGTTAAACTGTGAAAGTTACAATGTACTGCTAAAATAAATAACGTTCATACGAGCTGGGCCATTCCATTACAAAGATGTAGTCGGGAAAACTTTTAATGAATGTTTGAGTGTGTTTACTGCGTGGAAAATCAAAATTGACGTAATGGCCAGAGATGCCCAATTCGAAAAGCGGTTTGTTCACATTACTGTCACCAATCTATAGGGAGAAAAAAATCAGTCAGATCCAAAAGCACTACGTGTTTTAAATAAAATCAAACCTTTAAATCAAAATAGAAATCCAGTGGTGCCGAATCTTTTCCATATGAGAAATAAATGTGGTATGGAGGTTTGTATGTTTCCTTTTCCTGCAGCATTGTTTTTAAAAAGCTCCAATCAACAACAGTTACGCCACCAATCGGTAGTAAATAAATACTCATGTGCGGGGGGCCACGAAGTTTGAAATTGTATCTTACAAGGTTTGTTACGGGGTTCACTGTTTTATTGACTAAAGTTAGAGTCGGTGTTTCTGGAATTTCCACCGGGTCGTCGGAAGGTAACCATATGCCCTTCATTCTCGATTTGAACCAACGATGATTGAATAGAGGTAAGCCGCACATCATCATCTCATCGCAATCCTCGGCAACACTTTCCATGTTACTCATGTCAATATGTTCTAGATAATTGAATAATTTTCAAGGAACGAAAACATCACAATTTCAGGTACTTACCCTGGATAGGATAGTGAATACGCCTGTCTTGGAAATCAAAATAATACCCGGATTCATTCTTGCTAACACTCCCATCATATTCGTAGAAGACGCGTTGAACATTCTGAAATAGTTTGTACGTTGTTTAGGACTATAAATACAAATGCCATGTAATCTCTGGTACTCACAAGGAAATTAACTCTGCCAACGTTAGTTTTTGCAGTATAGGGGAATCCTATTGGACTTATAGCCATCATTGAAAATATAAATGTTGTGGCCAACAGAGCCAAAAGAACAGTCTTAGAGTGACGGAACATATTAACCATTGGTGACTGAAACACAAATATTTTGCATAGTGTAGGCTTGCAATGAAAATATTTATATAAATACGACTTACCACAAATCCCATAGCCAAAATAGTTCCCAATGCACAAAGACCACCTACCAGTAAATCGGGATTAAGATTAGTACCAAAACGACCCATCATTGGCATCAATGTGCTGCACAAAGCGAAAAATATATATGCCATATACAGGAAGGGCAAAACCTGGCTTAAAATAACTATTATGGACCAAAGTTTTCCTAAAAATAGAATAGGTTGGGTCACAATCTGGATCAAGCAATTCACTTGTTTCTACCTCTATTATGCAGGGTCGTCAAAAAGTTCAGAATCAAAGCTATTCCGTAGAAGAGTAAGGATATCATAAACACATATGAACTACGCAGTCCCACAAATGTTAATACAATACAGATGAGGGCCAGAAACAATGCATGTGCATGTAGGATCATTTGAATTTTGAATGATTTTCGCAGTTTATCCTTAAATGTGAAGAGACAATTACACATTTTCTGTTATGGAAATGTAACCAAATCATAAATATACATACGTTTTTATTAAAACTTAAATAGAGCAGTGTAGGCAGACATAGTCCGATCAAACTGGGGCACACGTACAATCCAAAAACTAACCACTTTTGAGAGAACCACGTCATTGAACGATCGCCAGCATCAAACATTACCGCCATCAGAAGTGGCAATCCCAAAGCCAAGACAATTCCAAGAATGTGTAAAACCTCAATGAGTACAAATGTTTTCATAGTACTGCCAATGGACAGGTAGGAAGTTGCCGCCATCCTCCAAAACGATATTCCAATCAAAACAACAACAATAACTGACACACAGCAATTAATAATTTGCCCCTGTGTTTCCGTATAGTAAATAAAGAACAAGCCCATAAAGTCATAGAAAATGGAATGTCCTTCGGCGTATTTCTGTAAAAAGATGTCAAAGTGCAAAATTATTTTCCATAACATTTGCTATCTTCCATAGATGGACTTTATGAACCCACATCCGGTTCTTCCATTTCAGGTGCATTGGCAAAAGCTCTAGCAAGGCTTAGAATATTATCACCCGTGCTCTGCAGTGTGCCTCTGGGAATCACATCAAATTTATCAAATTTCGTATGGTACACATATCCATTGTAAGAATGAGCAAAATCCAAACCTTAAAAAGAAAATGAGAACATAAATAAAACAAGTTAAAAAGCAGTAAGTTCGGCCGGGCCGAACTTTTAATACCCTCCACCATTTGCAACGAATTTGGAAATTTTCAAAAACTAAAATCCTTAAAAAATTCTGTTAAAATTTTAAAAATACCGAATATAGCCGTTATTTTGGGGTCTATACGACGTGGACATACATAGGCATTGTTTGTCATAAGCCATTACCATATTCAAATTCGAAACTTGAAATAAACGGTGAATAATGTAGCTAAAATCATCAAAATACCGAATATAGGGAGGTACCGTTATATGGGGGCTATCCGAAGACCTGGACCCGCACAGACAATTTTCTGTCACAGACTGTAGTTCCCATAACGAACTTCAAATACCAATTTTAAAACAATTCCGGTGAATAATGTCGCTAAAATCATCAAAATACCGAATATAGGGAGGTACCGTTATATGGGGGCTATATGAAGACGTGGACCTGCACAGACAATTTTCTGTCTTAGGGTGTAGTATCCATTTTGAACTTCAAATACCAAATTTGAAACAATTCCCGTGAATAATGTCGCTAAAATCATCAAAATACCGAATATCGGGAGGTACCGTTATATGGGGGCTATACGAAGACGTGGACCTGCACGGATAATTTTCCGTCTTAGGGTGTAGTATCCATTTTGAACTTCAAATACCAAATTTGAAACAATTCCCGTGAATAATGTCGCTAAAATCATCAAAATACCGAATATAGGGAGGTACCGTTATATGGGGGCTATATGAAAACGTGGACCTACATGGCCCATTTACGAACTTAACCTGCCTACTGGAAAAATAAACATGTGTGCAAAATTTTAGCCACCTATCTCAATTCATTCGAAAGATAGCGTGATTACAACAGACAGACAGACGGACAGACAGACAGACAGACAGACGGACAGACAGACAGACAGACAGACGGACATCGCTAAATCGACTTAGAATTTTACGCTGATCAAGAATATATATACTTTGTTGGGTCTGATATGAGTATTTCGAGGAGTTACAAACGGAATGACAAAGTTAATATACCCTCCATAGTATGGTGGAGGGTATAATAAAAAGTTTGCCCACAAAACTGGATCACCATCAATGTACTTCTTATGACGGACTGCGATGTACCGTTAAAAACAAAAATCGAAATACCGCAAATATCTCGCTAATTTTGACATTAGTTTTGCCATTAAAAAGGTGCGGGAAATCAACAATTGAGTAAATGCAAGTAATTTTGTCTAAACAAGTCAACGCGTGTTATTGTTTATTTAAGGCCTGTTTCTCTACAACGATACGTAAGTGATCTTAAAGGATTTTTTGTTGCATATTAAAAAATTTTTCTTTGATTACCTTCTTCGAAGTCAGTCTATCTTTTTGTGGATGTGCAGTGGTAAAAATGACAACTGAGTTAGAGATATAAGGGAAACAAGCAATTTCCTGTTTTTTCGAAGTAAAAAAACTAACTAACGACAAACATCTCTTTCATTTATCTCATTCAATTTCTAACTTCGTTGAATATGAATAAGTAAACCTATCAGCGTATGTCATAAAAGGTTAAATACATTAAAGGATAAAGGTCATCGACGGTCTTCATAGTTCAAATAATGGGTCACATTGAGACGGTGCCATCTTAAATGCCTCAACTCTTAAGGTGGAAGTACATAAGGCGATTTTTTTATTGAATAAGTGACTGGCTGGCTCTTTCGTAAAAGAACTAATAACATTAAGGTGACCTAGTTTAAATAAGGCGGTAAAATTAGACTAAGTCAGCCTAAACTAGTTTGTTCTTTTACAAAAAGCCAGCCTATCACATGATACAATAAGGAGGTACAACAGCTTCGTAAACTACAGAAATACAGCCCTGAGCTATGCCCGCTTCCTGTCAAATTTGCATGCAACAAGCTGTTCTCATTTATTCAATATTTTTCCTCAGTTTTAAAATCTGTTAAACAGCGGGAAAAATGAATGAAATGCCTGGATTTTATTTCAAAATATGATGTAGACAGTTATATCTTTCAATTCCATGGCAAAACTAGGGAATAGCTCTAATGCGCCTCTCGCAATTTACGCGTCTTCCAATCATTGATTTTGAAAATATTCTGTTTTTATACCCTCCACCATACTATGGAGGGTATATTAACTTTGTCATTCCGTTTGTAACTCCTCGAAATACTCATATCAGACCCAACAAAGTATATATATTCTTGATCAGCGTAAAATTCTAAGTCGATTTAGCGATGTCCGTCTGTCTGTCTGTCTGTCCGTCTGTCTGTCTGTCTGTCCGTCTGTCTGTCTGTCTGTTGTAATCACGCTATCTTTCGAATGAATTGAGATAGGTGGCTAAAATTTTGCACACATGTTTATTTTTCCAGTAGGCAGGTTAAGTTCGTAAATGGGCCATGTAGGTCCACGTTTTCATATAGCCCCCATATAACGGTACCTCCCTATATTCGGTATTTTGATGATTTTAGCGACATTATTCACGGGAATTGTTTCAAATTTGGTATTTGAAGTTCAAAATGGATACTACACCCTAAGACGGAAAATTATCCGTGCAGGTCCACGTCTTCGTATAGCCCCCATATAACGGTACCTCCCGATATTCGGTATTTTGATGATTTTAGCGACATTATTCACGGGAATTGTTTCAAATTTGGTATTTGAAGTTCAAAATGGATACTACACCCTAAGACAGAAAATTGTCTGTGCAGGTCCACGTCTTCATATAGCCCCCATATAACGGTACCTCCCTATATTCGGTATTTTGATGATTTTAGCGACATTATTCACCGTTTATTTCAAGTTTCGAATTTGAATATGGTAATGGCTTATGACAAACAATGCCTATGTATGTCCACGTCGTATAGACCCCAAAATAACGGCTATATTCGGTATTTTTAAAATTTTAACAGAATTTTTTAAGGATTTTATTTTTTGAAAATTTCCAAATTCGTTGCAAATGGTGGAGGGTATTAAAAGTTCGGCCCGGCCGAACTTACTGCTTTTTAACTTGTTATTTTTCAAAACAATAAAAACATATACAAAATTGGCAGAAGTGGGGCATACTTAGAAAAAATTGTAATCAGCATGTAGCTCTACCTTACCTTTTTATTGTACCATGGCCTATCACTTATTCAAAAAAAAAAAAAGCTAAAGCTTGGATTTCTGTATTTTCTCGAATAACGATTGGAATCAAAAATGGTAGAGAGAATGCAAATATTTATTATACAAATGCTCTTGCTTTAGTTCTCACAAATCGGAACAAGAGTCAACAAGTAAAAAAGCAGTTAAGTTCGACTTTTTATACCCTCCACTATTTGGAAGAAACCTGAAAATTAAAAAAAAAATCCGTCGGAAAATACCGCTCAAATTAAAACCGTTATATTGGGACTATACGAAGTCATGGTTCTGCATATGTAATTTGTGTTATAGGCTGTAGTAACTGTTCCGAACTTTATATACGAAATTTGAAACATATCCAGCGAATAACGTCGAAAAAATCATCAAAATACCGAATATCGGGAGAAATCGTTATTTAAGGGACATATGATATCGTGAACCTATATAGGCAATTCTCTTCCAGGGGGTTGTGGATTTTAAGACAATTCCATTGAAAAAATTGGCTGAAATTATCAAAATACCGAATATCGGGGAGTAGCTTTATATATGCAAGGCCCACGTTTGATTTCGGTTTTGTTTACGCGTTGATGTGTGCTATGGCATGAACTTCCAATTAATTTACTTTAATAAAACTTTAATAATTTACTTTTTTTTTATTGAAATCGCAAAAACTTACCGGGTACGTGACCGTAATCTCGGAATATGCGGAAATCCGTATCCGATGGAATAATATTCGCCTGGAAGAGTTCCTCGGCAATCGATGTGGCATAGGGTCTTTTCGCATATTTGCTGTAATACTGAAAATAAACAAAAATGGTAGGTCATACACTCTTGTGTTTGTATGCATGTACATATATATTGAGAATACAAGGTACAAACAAGGACGGGGTCATGTAATGCTTTCCACATGGGAGGCGAATTTAACTCGTACAAATCAAAACGATTTGGTTTTGAATTGTTGAATCAAAATTGTTATTTGTTTGCTCGATTTATATCTTATCGGTTTATGGCTGTGGTACTCTGATATCGCTCCGTAATAAACATAAATTGTTCGAAATTTATCGCAATTATTTGTTCCCCCACAAAACGTACCTGCAATATCGTTTGTTGCGAGGAATGCGATTGTTTTACAATGACAATTGTGGGCATTTTTATGTGAGTTTTAACGAATTTCCGATACACCGATACGTGGTCATTGCCGTAGTTTAGTGCCCAACATAAAATGTCTTTCCTTTAAGACTACATTAGTTTGTGATTCCGCTTGGGAACATACCAGTAACGTACTGAGAATTACATTTCGAAATATCTAATTTCTATTCTAAATAATGCACCAATAACTTTGCCCGTATACCGGCAACTCACATTAGGCCGTCTTGGGCATAAGAATAAACATTAAGGCTTTCTTCTCTGTTCGAGTTATAAACAAATATACATAAATGGTTTAAATTCACGTGGGATGTTGCCATGTATTATAACGTTTGGACAAGGACACTTACCTTCATTAGCCATGGATGATTTGGACCCGATTGAAAAAGAATTTCTTTGTGGCCACTTCCGGCGGAATCGAGATTTATTAAAGCCCTTTAAGCAGAGGGATTTTGTTAAACGATTATTTGCAACGTGTTGCTGGTTCGGTTACCTGCAGTTTTGAGCCCATTTGTGTTGTGTTATAAAGCCGTGGGATGCCTGAAGAGGATTTTCTTCCGCTCCATTGAATAGAAACACTATTGGATGTGAAAACGGTTCCCGCGATGTTGCCAAAACACGTAGAACTTCTAACATAACAACCACCATAGCTCCATCATCGCCAGATCCTAAATGAAAAGAAAAACATCGCCGGTTGTGGCGTTATTCCCGCGGACATTCATCATGTCAGCCAACTTACCCGGACTACCAGGTTTGGAGTCGAAGTGGCTATTAATCAGCAGATAATTTTGCGATGTTGAGTTCTTGCTGCTCAGTTTCACAACGAAATTCTGTAAGCCCTGATACATGTTGATCATGGTCCAGTGCATATAGGCCCCCGAAACAACTTGCACATCTACTTCCAATTCGTACAAATCGTGATGCATGCTTCGGCGTATTAGCTCTATTTCGTCGTACAACAGCTGGACAGTTAGATTCTCATTTGCAAAGCTTCCGACTACCTTTGGTCCAATCATCTCGAAATCGAACAGGATGCGTTCCGCCCGTTCGGCAACGAACTCGCCTGGCTTGGTGTGTTCATCTTCTATCCTTAATCCTATTGGCAGATTGAAGAAAACCGGCAGAACTATGGCCACCAACAATACAAGCCAGAAGAGCAGAAAAGCCGGGGCATAATACCATTCTAGACGCTTCTTTTCCGACGACGACATGTCGCTGTCCGTGTCCCCAGAAATAACGTACGACTCCTGAAAGAAAGGACAATGCTAGTTATTCACTCCCAGTTTATCTTTACTCGTCCGGACTAACAAGTCTCTCTTTATCAGCCATCTACCGCTATTCTGTGCCTTTGGCAACCGCTCTGTCATCAGACTAAATCAAAATTATTCGATTCGCCATGAAATTGGCTCTTGGACAAACTCAATTTACTCAGTATTGAGATTGTTATCAAAAAGCTCGACTGTTTGTGATTGTTTTTTATCCCAAGCGTTAATAATTAATATCATAAATGCGGAATATATCGTACATTAGGGTGTCATGAAGATTTTAACAATTTTATTTTATATTTCGCACGTTTTTATAAATATTTTATATTATATCGCACAGATATAGAATTCTACAACGGCATTATTTCAATCTTGGTATTTGGCCCCCACATAACTGTTAACTAACGATTTCCGGTATTTTGATAATTTATGTCACATTTCCGACAGAATCGTATCAAATTGCATGTTGTTAGGAGTTCGTAATTGTTACCACATCCTATGACAGAAAATTAACTATACAGGTCCAAATCTTCGTAACCACACCCTACATTATGGTATCTTCCTTATTATTTTATTTCGCGATTTGTATTTCATAAAAAATATTATAGTTATGCAAAGTGGGTATGCATAATTAAGCATTTTGTACTGCCATATTACCCAAATACGCATGGACCGTGACTCCATTCTACGCAACAAAAATTAACAAGTAAAAAAGCTGTAAGCTCGCCCGGGCTGAACTTTGAATACCCTCCATCATTCGGAACGAATTTGGCAATATTCAAACAAAAACCAGTAAAGAAAGTCCTAAAGTCGGGCGGGGCCGATTTGATGATACTCTACACCACTTTGCTAATTTTGTAGAGCTTCATATAACAATTAAAAGTTTTTATCGGAGAATTCATTTCTGAGCTGTATTATATTTCCCTGAATATATTTGTTACGGAGTGCATATTACGGTTGTGGGTAAGAAATACAACAAATCGGATGAACAATATATATGGGAGCTATAGCTATATCTGAACCGATCACAAAATTTGGCATACTATCTTCTAGAGTCAATTCTGTCGCATGTGCCAAATTCCATCCCATTTGGGCAAATATTAGACGTTTGGTGCACAATTAAAGTTTAATCGGACGAAGTTATATATGGGAGCTATATCCAAATCTGAACCGATCTCGATAAAATTTAGCAAATGTATTTCTGAGCTGCATTTGATATATTTCCCCAAATATTGTTGTTACAACAATAACAAATCGGATAAACAATATACATATATGGGAGCTATAGCTATATCTGAACCGATTTCGATCAAATTTGGCATAATTATTTTCAGGTTGTATATGCAAAATTCCATAATATTCGGGCTGATATTACACGTTTGGTGCACAATAAATGTCAAATCGGTCGAAGATATATATGGGAACTATATCTAAATTTCTACCGATTGTCTCCAATTTCAGTAGGGTTCGTCCTTGGGCCAAACAAATGTTCTCAATCGGATAATCGAATAAATGCGACCTGCATTTTGTTCACAAGAATACATGGACAGACGGACGGACGCACGGACGGACGGACTGACATGCATAAATCAACTCAGAAAGTGATTCTATAGAGATCCTCAAAAGTATGTATGGGTAAAATTCTGCTTGTCTGTTGTAATAGCATGATTACAACTTTCTTTAGGTTAAGTTCGTACGTTTTCATATAGCCCCCATATTTCAAATTCAGTAGTTGAAGTTCATACTGGGTACTACAATGTATGACAAAAAAAGTGTCCATGCAGGTCCATGTCTCCCATATAACGGTACCTCCCAATATTCGCTATTTTGGTGATTTTTGCAACATTTTTCACCGGAATTGTTTCAAATTTTGTATTTAAAGTTGGTAATGGTGACCACGACAGCGTATGCAGGTTTTCGTCTTCGTATAGCCCTCATATAACAATAACTCCCTATATTCGGTATTTCAATGATATTAGCGGTATTATTCAACAGAATTGTTTCAAATTTCGTAAATGAAGTTCGTAATGGGCTCTACAACAGCCCATGTCAAGAAATTACTATACGCTGTGCAAATCCAACAAATTTTGTTTCATTGTTCAGCTCGGCATTTCGTTGGGTTCTTTTCAACTTCGAGAGCAATTGTATATGAAATCTGGTAACGAACTAGATTTGAACACTCAATGTAATAATTATTGGGGGATATTGCAAACTTATTTCTTCACATTATTTTCTTTTAAGATGTCTAACAAATATGTTTATGCCCAGATCGGACTCGGACTGGGTGTACGTATGTATGTATACAAATGAACATCGAGGCAAATGGAAGAGTGTTCAGTCGATACGAAATTCGATCAATTCTTGTTCACTCATTCCGATTGAAAATGTAAACAAACGAGCGACATACCTGATTTTGTTTATGGGGTTCGATGGCGCTGGGTCTCAATGCAATCAAACGTCACTTGTAATTCAGTCAAATAACACACACGCACACACACACCGATTGCATAACTTTGAAAACTGGAGAATTACGTTGTTGGCTTTATCGTTGATTTATCGTATCTCGTTCAAGCAGCTCGTTCTGGAATGAATTTCCTCAACTTGCGCATAAACACTGCACGCACAGAACTGAAATACGCCGGCACCGATGTAGATGCTCCTAATCTCGACAGAACTGATAACGTCTCGACGACAGAATCCGTTCTTTTCAAATACCAGCAGCTCTGAATCCAAAATATGAATCAAATTCCCAGTGACGATAGCAGACGAACCAAGAAGAATAAACATCAAGCTGACTGCGTAATCACCTCGGTTAAGAAATGCGAGCAATTGCGGGGTAGTTGTGCGGCAGGGGGAACTGCTTGACTTTGTTTTATTAGTGTAGATGAAAATCAGTGTAGATGCATATACATATATTCTGTCAAAGGTACGGAACGAGAAAAAGCAGAGCAAAGGGTAATTAGACAGTGGGTGACATGCTGCTAACATTGCTTTGGTTGGCGGCAAAAGAAGCCGACATGGAAGAATGTCACATTCGCCCCATATCAATTGAAATCAAAGCGAGGTGGAAATATATTCTCGTAGCTGAGTAATGGACCGATGTTGTTCTTGCCCATACCCAATCTCAGTCTGTCGTAATGATAACTAGCTATTGAATCTTTAATGTTTAATTTTTGTGAAGGAGATACCAGAAGGAGTATATCGGCATTGAAGACGATAAAGGAAATAATAAAAGGGATATAAAAGGAAATAATTTCGCTCAAAAAGGCATGGGATCTTAGCCATAATTTCGATGAGGCCCAGTTTGGCAATATGAAATGACATAAATGCTCCGTTAGAGCGTTTATATTTTATTCCCACACCTGATCACAATGCCCAGCAATATTCGTGAATTTCTATCTCTAATTTGGAAACACCCTTTACATGCTCTCATGCGACACAGAACATAGCAATTATAGCTTGTTTATGTTTGTATGTACATATGTATGTGTACATAAATCTCGAGTGCTTACCGTTGTGTGACAAATATGCTGCTGATTCGTATTCGATAGATCTGGGTATGGTGCTTATAATTTTGAATTGATAGAGCATTTAGGAGCACTATCAAAGTGCCACATATTTTTTGAGTTCTGTCGTCTTTAGGAAAACTAATTCAACTTTCCACGGATATGTGATAAATGTCAATGTCTTGTTGGAGTTTTGTCCGCAACGCCCAAACGTTGTCACGTGACTGGAAATAAACTAAAGTCGATTTTCAACTAACTATCGTATGCCATTTTTTATATAGCGGGTAGCTAAGATTTTTCCCATTCCAATAATGGCTTTCGCTACAAGTTGTCTATAGTCCCTATATAACGGTACCTCCCGATATTCGGTACTTTGATGATTTTAGCGACATTATTCACCGGAATTGTTTCAAATTTGGCCTTTGAAGTTCGTAATGTATACTACAGCCTAAGACAGAAAATTATCTGTGCAGGTCCACGTCTTCGTAACGGTACCCCCCGATATTCGGTATTTTGATGATTTTAGCGACATTATTTACCGGAATCGTTTCAAATTTGGTATTTGAAGTTTGTAATGGATACTACATCCTAAGTCAAGAAATTAGTCATGTAGGTCCACGTCTTTATATAGCCCCCATATAACGGTACCCCCCGATATTCGGTATTTTGATGATTTTAGCGACATTATTAAACGGAATCGTTCCAAATTTGGTATTTGAAGTTCGAAATTAATACTTCAGCCCATGCCAGAAAATTGTCTGTGCAGGTCCACGTCTTCGTATAGCCCCCATATAACGGTACCCCCTATATTCGGTATTTTGATGATTTTAGCTACATTATAAACAGATTTTTCTTCAAGTTTCGGAATTAAATATTGTAATAACTTATGACAAAAGTTGCCAATGCAGGTCCACGTCGTCGTTAGCCATTCGGTATTTTTCAGATTTTAACAGAATTTTTAACGGATTTTATTTTTTTTTTTTTGGATATTGCCAAATTTGTACCAAATGGTGGAGGGTATTTAAAGTTCGGCCCGGCCGAACTTACAGCTTTTATACTTGTTGTTCTTTAAAGCTTCCATTATCTCCATTTGTTTCAAGTTGACGAGCTCCCACTATGTCATAATTTGAATTGACTTGAATGAATTGAATTTTCTTTTTCGAATTGTAGATATCTTTTTAATGGAATTATTTATTGTTTACTTTTTACAGCACTACCTAGACTTATTCGACGTATTTGGTCGTAATTTTGGTAACAACCATGGTACAATGAAGAGAAGGTAGGTCAACTTTGAAAAAAATTGCAAGTACAGAGGTCTACCTGTTTGGCTTGTAATGTCAGAATTAGTATCAAAACAATAAAAAATCAAACAACTTGTTGCATTTATTTTGAATAAATAATTGAAAACCGCGATAACTGAATGAAAGGTCAACACTTCTTTTCTAAATCATGTTCTATATGTCTCTTATGGTTTATTTCGCGACAAAAACTGAAGACTTTGTCGATGCATACGTTGCAATAAGCATTGCGAAAACACCAGAATTTGAATATTTTCTGAACATTTTTTTATTATTGAAAAGAATACGCACACATAAACAAATGAAGTTGACATATTAGGCCAGAAAAATAAAAAAATTGAAATCATATGATAGTTCTGCCCTACCTTGAATTCATTGTACCATGGTAACAACGTTACCCAACATATGTATCTTCAACGTTAAAAACTAGCTTATTAAATAAGATATGTATGTAAAATACGTCATTGCGATTTTATTTCAAAATGAGACATTTCGTTAAACGCCATAAGTAGTATTCAATTACTTTCGGTGAAGAATGTTGTGGGCTTTTCATTTTTATTAGCCTTAAATTTATTTCAAATTAGGCGATACACTTTATTCGCTGCGGCAGAAAAGTTTTGCCACTCATATTGGTAATGTTGCCATGGATTACCGGCAATGTGACCTGTTCGTACACCTTGACCTGTTCATTGGCCATGGCCTGAACATATATTCGTGATTTTGAGGTACAATTTTGAGTGAGTATCGAACAACAGGAACCTTCTTTACTTGAAAAGATCTGTTGGTTTTATTTATTGTTCGAATTAAGAATTGTTCTTAGTCTAGGCTTTACACACATACATAAATAGGTACATTACATGCTACATGTAGTCAGTAGTTATGGATTGAATATCATGGCGAAGCTTTCGAGTGATACGACCCTCCGAAGTCCATTTCTGAGTGCTATATGCAAATCAGAATAACCAACTTTCATAGGTGGCCACCCAATCATTGACGCTCGCATAGCTGGGAAAACTCTTGACGAACTGTTCGTATTTGGGGGTGCGGTTCTTATCTTGATGAATCCAATGACCAGCAATGCCTATTTCCAGGACGGGAACATTGAAATTGCCATCGGATTTCTGTAAAAAGCTCAATAGCATTTAGAAACATAGTCTCGAGATTAGAAGTGGACAAAGCAACACATTTTTACCTCAACATCGATGGTGAAAGTCAACGATCCCACCTCGTCTTTGCCATAGGAAAAATATATGAAATAGGGCTGCTCCCATTTCTCGCGTATCATTGTGTCATTGAAGGACCAATCTGTAATTTTGACTTCATTCTGAAGACCTATAAAAATGGTCATATGATCGGGACCAACCAACTGGAACTCGTAACGCTTCCTACTGATGCTGCCTTCCAGATTGTGGGCGTTCAGAAGAGTTAGTGCGGGCCTGGAACCTGGTAAATTGGGATTCTCTTCGATAGGTATCCAGAAACTACGCTCCCTGGCCTTGTGCCAACGATGGTTGTAGAGCGGCATGCCGCAGAACATCTCAACGTCACAATATTCGCTGACTTTGTGCTTCTCGCCAATGGCTTTGATGTAATCTGAAAGCGAGAAGAGAGAGATGGGCGTGGGAGGGAGAATATAAGCAGTGAGGCGTTGCGAAATTGTCAGAAATTAAATTACCGTCGGCACTATTTATTCGGCGGTCCTGTGGATATACGTAAATGCCGGCTTCCTGGAGACGTATAGAACCGTCTGCACGGTGCAGAGTTCGTTGGGCGTGCTGGAAAAGATTCAACGCAATTAATTCGAACAAAACTAAAGATCGAAACAAGATCACCTACAATCAGGGAATATCTTTGGGTGGCCGTCTTAGCTTTGTACGGAAAGCCAGCCGGGGTAACGGCGATTATGATGAACAGGACAGCAATTGCCAGGAAGGAATAAATGATGGTGCGTGTTTTGCGAAAGAATAGGAAAAGAGGCATCTGCAAAGAGGGAAGCAAGTTCGTTAATACGAAGCAGACACCTGGCCGGCCCCGCTGTTACTTACAATAAAGCCGGCAAACAGAATTGCCATAAACACTGCTATGCCCGCCATTAAGAGGTCTGGATTGGAGGCAGAACCCGAACGTCCCGTCATCGGCAGCATGGTCATGTAGGTGGCATGGGCTATGGAGGTGTAATAGAGGAATGGCAATATTTGACAGACCATGGCCGCAATTGCAAACCAATACGCCCTCCTGTGCCACTTCGTGACGAGGTTTACAATCAAGGCGGTAATGTCGAACAGCACTGCCATCATGCACATAAAGGACGAGCGCAGGCCCATGGCGGTCATGACAATGGTCAGCACAATTAAAAACAGGCAATGGGAGTGCATGAAGAGTTGGATGCGAAAACCTAGACTGAGTTTATCCTAAGCAATGGAAAGAAGAATGTCAGCAATAGAGGCACGTGCAAGGGGAAGTAATGTCACACCTGTTTCGTTTTCTCCAGATAGTAGGCCGGCAAAATGCCCATGCCAAAGAACATTGGGCAGAAGAAGAGGCCGATCAGAAGCCACGTCTCGGAAAACCAAGTCATGGGACGACCGACACCATCCATAAAGACGGCAACTAACATTGTCAACCCAGCAGCTAGGGCCAGGGATACAATCTGTATGACAAAAGTGGTGAGGTAGCGGGTCACAACCGCTCCCCATGTCAACCCAGATCTGGCCGTCATAAAAAATAGGGAAACCGCAATGGCCAGTACGGCTACGCTGCAGACCACCGCGTTGATAATGACCCCCGTGGTCTGGGTGTAGAATACCATGAACCATCCGAGAAAATCATAGAATATGACGTGTCCTTCGGCATGATCCTGTGAAGAATAGCAACAGTGGCGCCACAATTCAAAACAAAAATAAATTGAACTCCCACACTTACCTCGGGATTGTCCATTTCAGGCGCGTTCGCCACGCCTTTGGCCAAGGCGAGTACATTGTCGCCGGTGTTCTGAAGTGATTGCTTAGAAATAATATTGACTCGGTCGTATTCGGTGTGGTACACATAGCCATTAAAAATGTATGCCATATCGAAGCCTACAATGGTTGGGAAAATCACGGAGGGACGTTAGAGTTTATGTTTGAATTGAGCCTGTGTAATTCTTACCGGGCACACCACCATAATCACGGAAAATTCGAAAGTCAGTATCTGAGGGAATGATCCCGGCTTGGAAAATTTCCTCCCCCATCGATGTGGCAAAGGGATGAGGTACTTCGCGGTAATAGCGCATCAGCCAGGGATTTTCCGGTCCGGATTGGAAGAGTACCTCACGCCCACCACTGCCAGCCGCATCCAGGTTAATAAGTGCTCTACGGAGGGATGCATGACGCCAGTTAACTTACCCAGTTTGCGCTAGTCACATTTACTTACTTGCAGTTCTCGGCCCATTTGTGTTGCGTTATGAAGGCGTGGGACGCCTGCAGCGGATTCTCCTCCGCGCCATTGAATAGAAAGACAATGGGATGTTTGAGTGGCCCCTGCGATTTGGATATTACTCTCATCACTTCCAACATCACGGTGATCATGGAACCGGCATCGCCGGCGCCTGGGCTGCCCGGTACGCTGTCATAATGGCTGTTAATGAGAAGATAGTTTTCACTTGTCGAATTCTTAGCGCTCATCTTCACCACCACGTTCTGTATATTCTGGTACATGTTAACCATGGACCAGTGCATGTAACTACCGGTGGCTAATTGCACGTCGACCTCGAACTGAAAGTAGTCGCTGGCCTGGGCCTTAACCTCTTCGATTTGCTGCTTTAGAAATTCAACAGCGGTCACTTCGTTTGCCACGCTGCCCACCACCTTGGGGCCAATGCGAGACAAATTGATGAGCTGCATTTCGGCGCGTTCCGCTATGAACGCATCGGGGTGTCGGGCCTCATCTTCGCGATTAAGCGGATCTGGCAAGTGGTTTATTTGAGTAACCACAACGGCCAGATACAGGGCCAGCCAAAATGATGCAAACAGTGGGGCATAGTACCAGGGTATCTTCTTGGGAACTTCAAAATCGACATCTATGTGATATTTCGATTTGAACTAAACAAAAAAGAAAAGAAAAAAAAAAACAGAAATAAGCTATAGAAGCGTCATTTGTTGTGTGAATTAAGAGAGAGGTACTTCGGCACTTGTGTTACCGGAAGTTCCTATTTTTGGTTTGGAAAACAGATGCAAGAATCTACTAGGTTGACAATTTTTTTCGATATCATAAAGAGAAAATCGGTTATGATGGTAAAAACGTTTACATTCTTGTAGTTCTGGAACAGAACAAAAGTAAGCGGAGGAAATGAAATGTGTGCAGCTTGTCAACTATTCGAAATTGGTTAAGTGCCAAAGTAAAGGCTTACGCTTCTATAACCAGTTGTTCTCAAAAATAATCGTTCTTGGGAATTAAACCATTTATATGAGAGGGGAAACGACGTCTCTTACTGGCGACATCAGCACACTGAGGAGACATGTAGAGCCAGAAATTTGGCAAAACGTTTATGTCTGCACTGTTCCAAAACCTGCAGGAATCTAAAAGTTTTTTGGTCTGTTCCAGAACGGCAAAAACGTAAAAGTTTTAACTACGATAACCGATTTCCCTTTATGATATCGGAGAAAATTGCAAAACTAGTAGATTCTTGCAGGTTCTGAAACAGACTATTTGTTATCCAGGTAATCAAATGAACTGTTCCAGAACTGCAAGAATGTACAATTTTTTACTACGATAACCGATTTTCCCTTTATGGTATCGAAGAAAACTGTTAAAATAGTAGATTCTTGCAGGTTCTGGAACAGAGCAAAAGTAAAAACTTTTACATTATTGTAGTTTTGGAACAGAGCACTTATGTCTGGGCATTAAAAATGTGCATGTATATTTTGTTATTTTTAAGCCACAATTATCAATCGCATCAGATGAATCTGCTAGACGATTTTAATACAAGCTTTAGAACGGTTTTACTATTGCTATATTTCAGAACCCGCAAAGGGAAAATCAGTTATCGTTGTAAAAACTTTTCAACATTCTTGCAGTTTGGGAACAGGCCATATAAGAACAGTACGAATGTAACAGCGTTATCTAAAATTCGATGTAGCGTACACAAATATTCAACTTTCCCACTATGGTAAAATGTTTTGTACGTCCTTATTACCCAAATACGACAGATACCAAATAAAACCGTTGTAAAAATTGATCCTTTATTAAATTCCCACCGCGATAATGTTTTCCAATTACAAATGTTCATATTTTTTGTATTATTTATTTGTATGTTCAACTTTGAAACTTTGTACGCCCAACATATTTGGGTAAGTCTCATAAGAATACATGTGTTCCAATTGTGTGGTGAGAACGTCGACAGAGTACGTCGAATTTTAGGTAACGCTGTAAAACTGTTTACGACCGTAACCGATCTAATCGTTTTTCTAAATATCGGATGGTATTGCGACATCACCTCTGTTAGCTTCCCTAGAGTTGCAATATTTGAAATCGGCCCTAGGAAATGTTGGTTTTTTGAGAACCCTAGCCACATATTCCATGCAAAGTTAAGAACTCATCCAATTATTGGTATTTTAAAGACCTTTTCCAACCAAATAGGCTAGAAATTGGAATGTGTGGTTCTTTCCAGGTAGATTAAATGCCGAAAATTCCCAGTTTTGTTTGTTTTAAAAAAAATCGGTCCAGAATCTTCACGATGGTACGAAAACTCCAAATTTCCAATCGTACTAGACTAACTATTAAATGCTCTTGAATTCGCAGCTTAAGAACTCCCAAGATAGCCTCTCGTCCAAGCAATGAACGGTATTTTGTTTTTAGTTGTGAATAATAGATAACTAGCTATTTCAGTGCAACATGTGAAATAGCTAACCAAAATAAATATGGCCATTGACAAAATGAGAACAATTAAAATTACGGAATGAACTCTGCTCTCGAAGGGTATTTATTCCACTTTATTGGGTTATTACAACCGAAAATTGAGCAGAGCTTCCGATATGGGCACAAGCGTTTCTGTTTATGATACGTCTAGATAAAGTCAATTAAAAAAAAAAAAAAACAAGTTTCGAATAAGTTTTCCAGTCTCTTTTTTTTGGAAATTGGCACGATATCAATCAATAAAAGAAATAAGGGAAAGGAATTTCTTCGGTCATGATAAAACCGTAACGATTGCCAGTGCTATGATAAACTTTTGCGGGACTTCTTTTCATTTTTATTAAGCCATAAAACGAGGCTGATTGGTGGCAGTTGTTTGAAAATTCACACACTCTCATACGTAAACACGCACACACACACACACATAAACAAGCGTGATTAGAATTGACATTATACAATGTGTCAGCTTATCAGCGATTTTAACGTTAGCACAAATTTTGCGAGACACACACTAAGAGAAGGACATCAGTGGGCAGGATGTGTTCCAACGTGGGAAAGTGGTGTTGGTTTCAATTTAAAATTTTATGCACACTTTCACAAATTTTTATACCCTCCACCATACTATGGAGGGTATATTAACTTTGTCATTCCGTTTGTAACTCCTCGAAATACTCATATCAGACCCAACAAAGTATATATATTCTTGATCAGCGTAAAATTCTAAGTCGATTTAGCGATGTCCGTCTGTCTGTCTGTCTGTCCGTCTGTCTGTCTGTCTGTCCGTCTGTCTGTCTGTTGTAATCACGCTATCTTTCGAATGAATTGAGATAGGTGGCTAAAATTTTGCACACATGTTTATTTTTCCAGTAGGCAGGTTAAGTTCGTAAATGGGCCATGTAGGTCCACGTTTTCATATAGCCCCCATATAACGGTACCTCCCTATATTCGGTATTTTGATGATTTTAGCGACATTATTCACGGCAATTGTTTCAAATTTGGTATTTGAAGTTCAAAATGGATACTACACCCTAAGACGGAAAATTATCCGTGCAGGTCCACGTCTTCGTATAGCCCCCATATAACGGTTCCTCCCGATATTCGGTATTTTGATGATTTTAGCGACATTATTCACGGGAATTGTTTCAAATTTGGTATTTGAAGTTCAAAATGGATACTACACCCTAAGACAGAAAATTGTCTGTGCAGGTCCACGTCTTCATATAGCCCCCATATAACGGTACCTCCCTATATTCGGTATTTTGATGATTTTAGCGACATTATTCACCGGAATTGTTTTAAAATTGGTATTTGAAGTTCGTTATGGGAACTACAGTCTGTGACAGAAAATTGTCTGTGCGGGTCCAGGTCTTCGGATAGCCCCCATATAACGGTACCTCCCTATATTCGGTATTTTGATGATTTTAGCTACATTATTCACCGTTTATTTCAAGTTTCGAATTTGAATATGGTAATGGCTTATGACAAACAATGCCTATGTATGTCCACGTCGTATAGACCCCAAAATAACGGCTATATTCGGTATTTTTAAAATTTTAACAGAATTTTTTAAGGATTTTATTTTTTGAAAATTTCCAAATTCGTTGCAAATGGTGGAGGGTATTAAAAGTTCGGCCCGGCCGAACTTACTGCTTTTTAACTTGTTTTAAATTTAATTTTATGTCTGATGCTAATGAGGATGAGCTGGGCATAAAACTCGTTACTTTTCATCCACCTATGCCTGGATTTTCACGGTGGATATGGATGTTTTTTTGGTTTTTTTTTTAATGTGTTTAGCACAAATGTCCAAATCCATATTTCACTTGACATAATATTCACGTTGGTATTTCTTGTACGTACACCCATTATTTCGGCAGTGTTGTCCTGAGAGTTGTCGATGAGAAATAATCCCTTGAAAAGGACACGCTAGGCGGAACCGTCACCACTTGTCACTTTGATCACTTTTAACGACAGCTTATTTCCAATCCCGAGAATGCAACGAAAACGTCCTAACGGCAACAGCTTTCATATCCAATTGAAGAATTCACTTGCGGTTCAGTCTTCAAATATCCAGAAAATATCGTTTCCTACGAGTGTTGTTGTTAGTGGCGCTGATTCAAGACATCTTATCTGAAAATGGTGATATCGTAGTCGATAAAAACAGGCGGCAATAATTGAATTCCCCTGATTACGGTCTAAAAAACATCACTACATTGAGATTACCATTTCTTCCGTCTAAAGCCAAAATTTACGACTTTTCTGGTTGCCCAGCTTTTCCGGCACAGTTGGGAACTTAGCGGATAGATGAACACATGTTTCAACTGCCTTCTTTTCCGCAAAACTCACTGTGCTTTGTAGAGACTTTGAAACTGTTTGTGGTATTCATAAAACAAATGTTGCTATGATATTTGGTTTTCCAGCAGAGAAAAATGTGGAGATTTTGTCAAACTGGCAGGTGCAAAAGCTTTAACAGCAATTAAAAAAGTGTTTTCTATCGATGGTAAGTGTTTTTTTCATTATCCTGCACAAAAATCAAAATACAAATTAGAAAGTATTAGACGGTTTGTGGACATATTTCATCTTCATTCAACTTGTTGTTATTATTGTTATTCAATGTTTGGACTTATTGTGGTGTTGTTGTGAGGGTGTTGACACACGCAATTGATATATGTAGTTTAGCGAGCTGCATCTAATGTAACCACAGCTGCCACTGAGTGAAAAACGTGTCTGCCAAAATATTATCAGAATGTAATAAAACTACTTTTATTAACTAAAAGAAAACATACGAGGTTTTATGTTCAGTCAGAACATAAATACTCCAATTCATTATACCTACAAACGAAAAAAAAAAAATTGATTGAATTAAAAAATTGTGAAAAATAAACCTAAAATTCAACTTTGTTTGTTAAGTCAGTTTTTTTTTTGTATAGTTTATGTTTTACTTGACTGATAAAATATCATCTGCTTGATTGATATCAGTTTCTAGTGGAGCCAAATGTCTCCATTGTGCTATTGTTTCATCGCTATTGTAGTCATTTAAATATGACAATGCATTTAAAAGTTATAAAAAGTCTTTGGTTTGATCAGTTGTTTCTAATGTTTTTCTCTTGACTGAACAAATAAAAAAGAAAGAAAAAACCCCAAATTAAAAAGTATCAGTCGGTTTTGCCGAAAGATGTATATTCTCGGCATATGTCGGCTTATTAAAAAAAATTAAACGTTAAGACTTTTCAAAGTGTTCAGCTTTTTATTTTTATATTTTGTGAGGCAGATATCGGAAGCAGTGGACCAACATATTTCATATTTACATTAGATATAGGATTGATAGAAATATTGAGATACGCTGCGTTTGAAGAAAATCGCTGACTCGTTTCTCATGTCCTGAGAGTTGTTCTCTTTATAAATGTAGCTGATTAGGTGAATGTATTGCTAAGATAGAACATCGAATATTTTTTCTTTTATATTGTGTGAGACTTGTAACTATTTTCAATGTTGACCCCTTGAGGGGGAGGTATCGAAAGGAGAGGCCATTCCATATTCACACCAGATCTTGTAAAACATTAAAATATACATATTTTTAAGTGCCCTCTTTGGGGAGCAACTTGAAGAAGTGCTCCACTATAATCCAAATCTAGTGTTTGTACATGCATTTGGGTGTGCGAAGTTGGAAAAGAATCGGATTCGTATTTCGCATTTTCGGAACGTTATAAATATTCAAATGATTGACCCTTTTTGGGGGAGGTAGCAGAAATAGAGGTCTGCTAATTCCATCTCCACACAAGATAACAATATTTGGATGTGTGATGGGATGCGTTGATAACCGTGCTCTTTTTTACATTTTATAAGTGTTACGAATATTCGAATTGTTGACTCTTTGTGGCGAAGGTACATGTTAGAGTTGGCCGATATTGTATATTTTCGCATCTGACACAGCTCATATACAAATGATCCTTTCTTGTTGCATTTGCTGTAAATGTTGATCCCTTTTTGGGGGGCGGAGGTGTGGTATCTTTGGTAATTTTATTTATAAATTCAAAAATTCCAAAGACCTGTCCTGTATGCTATTTTTATTTTCTTTTGTTGTAGTTGCATTTGGTATTGAAAATATTCGTTCAACATTTGCGGTTTAATGAGTAATTGATAACGTTTCAAAACCAATTCAATCCTAATGACAACATTTTCCTAATCAATTATTAATAAAACTTCTTCTGCCAAGAAACACTAATAGCATGTTTCCATTGGAAACCGAACAACGTTGTTCGCTCTCAGAATTATGTACACGAATTAACCCGTTCATACGGCACGATTCGTAATTCATAGTAAAATAATTCCTTTTTTCAAAAATTTTGTTTGTTGATTTTAATGGGAATTTATACTAAAATACATTAAATTCTCACTAATATGGATAGAAGAAATGATTATTTTTCTCCCAAAGATTTATTAAAACATTAATTTTATAATTTTCATTCACGTTTCCAACTTTTTGTGTAAATGTTGACATTTTGAACATATTTTTGTATTTTTCTATTTTTAAATTCTGCTGGAGAGACACTTGTCAAACATTTTTTCTGCCGATACAAACATTTTGAAAATATTGCCTCTTTTGTTTCCTGTTTTCTGTGGTAATTTCAACTCGTGGACAAAACGCGTACCTCGGATGAGAGAGAAAACAAAATTTACTTTCGTTTGAATGTACATACGCTATTCTACATTGTAGTTTTCATTCATAAATTTCAGTCTTCACAAAATTTTTCAAAATTTCATTAAATTTTTCTATTTTCAATTTTTAAATGTCATAATTAATTTTTTCGATAAATGCTCTCATTTGTTAGGGATGAGACATATTTTTTCGTTGTTCCGAGAGTGATTTGATTTGAACAATGTACAAATATGATTGTTCGCTCAGGAAATTTTGTGTGAAGAATTAAGTAGTTTTTTCATAGTTAAGGGTCAAACAACGAATAGAGAGCAAATCAAGTGCAGTGGAAACGCCACATAATACTTTCATCTTCAGAGTTCTGCATAAACACACAAAAATAACCGAGTCCTAGCTGGCTGTAGAATTTCCGTCGATTCTTTAAGGAAATTGCGTTTCCAAGCTTTATCGGCCACAGCAACTAAAACGTACCCCAAAAGTCTACATTTCTGCCTTAATCAGTCTGTTTGGAAAGGATGAACTGTGTCGTGTTAGATGGCTATAAACGATTATAAACTCATTAAGGAACGATATCTTATCGCCAATAAATTCTTGTATTCATAGGTATCGTGCGAGCACATACATGTCTTTGGGTACTTTTTATGGGTTACAGTTGCCATAAAAAGTCAATGTATTGTGAATAGTTGAAAATAATTCGAAAATAATTCAAAGTCGTCAAGAGTATTTCAATACATCAGATTTCGGCTACATACCTACATTTTAAAATAGTCATTGAACGCTTACTTTTGCTGACCACTGCACATGGTGGCAATTCAAATAATCTATAAAACTAACTACAATCTTCAAAAGCTGCCAATCACCATGGTGTCCATCCCAAAGAAATTATGAATAATATGGAAACAATGCTCAAGGGGCATAGTCTACTCTCTGGAATTCTGATTCTTCTAAACATAATAATAAGTGTATCGAATCGCCTAATGCCTTGGTGAATTCGAGATATCTTTTTGAATCACAAATGTGCATTCAATTTTTGCAGCAGTTGCATCCGAATGTTTAATTTCTCATTGCTATTGTTTTATATTCGTTTATATGGACACACGTGTCTGCGTAATAATGTGTACGCACCTTTTTTGAATTTTTTTCTGTTTACCTAAAAGTAATCAGTAAATGCGATTAAATTGAGAGAGTTTTTTTCTTTTTATACCCTCAGCCAGATTGCTAGAGAGCGTATATATCATTTGATACGGCCAAAACGTGCCTCATCGAAATATTGGATTAAGACTCTAGGTCTCTTTGGACTAAATCCGTTTCAGGACATTTGATCTAGCGATGTCCGTCCGCCTGACTGTCTGCTGGCTGGTGTGCACGATAACTCCATCCAATTACCTTCGCATATCTCAATATTATATCTCAACTCAAGGATTCTTTTCAAACTAGGTATATCTAAATATTTTTCTTAGCCAGAGGTCTGATGTGAATATGGAATTTATCGTCCCACATCATCTTGTACTCATAACAATGAGTAAATAGAGATTTTCTCTATCGATAGAGTTCACTGCGTTTATGTTACTGTCAAAGTACCCAGACAGAGTTATTGTTTTTTTCAAAACCGTATCCACAGATGGCAGAACTTACACTCTTTAGCATCGCATCAGTCATTTGAATACACGTCCCAGCCAGCAATGGGGCTCGAATTCTAAAACAAACAATCTGAAGGGGGCCCATACACTCATATGTATGTGAGTATTTAACTTGGCTGTTGAGAGAATCCGCTTTAATTTAATGGTACGTTCTCCTTAATATAGGCTCTTTCGCCCGAGCAATTCACTTGGCTAGGAAGTTCTTCTGCTAAATTCAGACTCAGCATATGTTTGAGTTCATCCTGTAAAAATAAATCCGCTGATAAAAAACACAAATCCAAAAAACTCGCAGCTCACAAAAATACCTCTCGCGTCATGTACATACATATGTATGTGTATACATACATACATTCTGAGTGCCAGAATATGGGAAGCAAATCGGCCGACTCGAACGAAATGACGATTATAAACAAATAAAAGCCCGTTTATGATAAACCGAATTGCCGCCTTGCTATTCCATTCTACTGGCTAAAGAGTAAAAGTTTATAAAATGCGACTACTGAAGTAGCATATTTTCAGTAGCTCGTAAAGTTTCCCACCGGAAGGGTAATTGGAAGGTGATCCGCGAAGTTCCGGGCCAAAGACTGGTGATCTCGAAATATTAGCTCGTACGTGTCCACTGAAGGATGATATACGCGATCTGCAAGTGAAACGACAATACTACACCAACCAATCCAAGAGAACCGCATCCCATCTGCCAAAGGTTGTACTTTCTCATTCCCATTCTCTTTTGATCAACGCACAGAGCAATCGTCAGACGCCCTCGCTTAGAGCATGCATACACATCTTGTGTGCCATCTCTCTGTCCACATCGTGTCTCTGCTCGGAAATATGTAGATGAACGCAGAGTTCTTTATAGCAGCCGTTTCATCTCTCAGTTCTTGCGTTGCATTGAAGGCATAAGCATTTATCCGAACAATTAAACCGGCCAGATTATTGCGTCAAATGCCCGCATACTCATCCATCCATTCATTCATACATACATATATAAATATACATATTCAGAAGTGTCAACGGTTTCAGTGTAATTTCCAACTGCATGGTTCTTACTAGTGAGTGTGTGTGTGTTTGCATCAGAAGTGTACAACAATTGTTCACACGTCCCTATTCGCCCGACACATGCTGTGACCAGAGTCGTCCGGGCAACCCGTACATCCGAGTAGATTTTTGTGACGACTAAGACCCGTGGCCATAAATTTACATATTTTGGTGTCTCGTGTCCCAAATATACATCCGTAATATGCCTGTGATGTGATGACTATTTGCCTATAACATTTGAAGATTTAGTCATGTGTTTTGAGTGGAAATAGAACGAAAATGAAATGAAAACATAAAGCTACAAATACCGGAAAATATTTTATAAACAGAACGGAATTTGCATACACTCGTTCGTACGAAGTGCTAATGCAGGCATAGATATTCTTGGACGCTTTCAAGGGCTTTAAGATTTTGTAACTGAATCAGTGACTCAAAGGCCCTTTCGAGCTTTCTTCGTGCGAAAACGTGTGTAAGTAATTTTTTATTAACTTTTCCCACCTCAATGTAATGGGCTGGGAACTTGGTCCAAGTAAATATACATATGTGCCTACCTAGATATGAAAGAAAATTCGTCATTAATTTGGCGTTGGGTAAGTGCTCCTAATTCCGCATGACCCAGTAGCGGGTCATCGGGGTGATTTGATTTGGTGGAATGCATGCCCTCGGTTTATATTTATATTACCCTTTATTACAAGGAATAATATTTTCAAATCGAAACCGATAGTTATGCTATAATTGCTACCAATATCATTATTTCATCCCGGCGAAGTCATTTAAAATATAGCAATTGCCCTGTTCCGGAACTATGTAAAAGTTTTTACTACGATAACCGATGTTTCCCTTCTGATGTCCAAAAAAAGGCAAAACTAATACATTCTTGCAGGCTCTGGAACAGAACAAATATATATTGAATGTCATAGCACATTTGTTTTCGAAGCAGTGAATTTTGAAGATGAGTAAATCCAAGTCCAATCCATTCAAGTGCACTACTACTGCCGACTACTGGTACCCTTACCCTAATATCAAAGGGATTACCAATCTAAATAACGCCTCTCATGAAAACATGATCGGTATAAATAAGGCTTTAGGCTACCCTTTCATATGCACTTTTATTTTCTAACAATTGCAACAAACCTACAGATGCATTGTGGAATATGTGTGCACATGAACTTTGTAGGATAAATGTGCCTAAGTGTCCCAGATAAATAAGGATTTTTATGACTAGGGGTAAAAAGAAATGTATAATAGCTTCGAATATAAAGATACCTATCTCTGTGTAAAAAAGGTCCTTCAGCTCGAAAAAATCCCTCTTAAGAAAAAGTTAGTGGAGACGTCAAATTTGAAATACTCGTAGCTATGCTAAAACTAACAAATGTTAAACAGTGCCATCTTTAACATTTAAGGATTTGCTAAAGTCGACATGTGGCAGGAAAACATGCATTTCGGACCTTACAACTAACCAAACATTTAAATTTGTTAAATAAATACTTTAAAATAATGTCAATTGATAAAAATTTCTTCAACTGTAAAAATTAGTATAGAAGATCTGCAGAATATAACAGCTTTCCTAAGTTCGGCAGAGGTTTGAGATATTTAAGAAATGCGATGAAATGATTTGTTAATTAATTCAATTGTCTGTGTTATATGGATTAAAATGTACAATAACAATGTCGAATCAGTTTTATTAAGTAAAAATTCCCCTTTGTGTTGTATTTTTTATTTACAAACCAGAAAGAAAGTCTTAAAGTCGGGCGGGCCGACTTTATGATACCCTACACCACTTTGCATATTTAGTAGAGCTTTACATAACAAATAAAAGTTTTAATGGGGAATTAAATCATACCAACTATGATTATAGCAATAATTTAAATCCAAAGAACTAATATATGAGAGGAATATTTGAATAACATTTGCGCCTTTTCAATTCGGGCTTGTATTATCCATTTGGTGCACAATTGACTTGAAATCGGATAGATATATATGAGAGCTATATCTTAATTTGAACCGATCTCGATAAAAATTGGCAAAGGTATTTCTGAGCTGTATTTGATATATTTCCTCGAATATCGATACTACTGAGTCCATATAACGGCTATGCAGGGCAAATTCAATAAATCGGATGAACAATATGTATGGGAGCTGTAGCTATATCTGAACCAATTTCCACCAAATTTGACATACTGGTTTCTAGACTCAATTTAGTCGTAAGTACCAAATTCCATTCCATTTGGGCTAATATTACACGTTTGGTGCACAAATAAAGGCAAATCGGACGAAGATGTGTATGGGAGCTATATCCACATATTAACCGATCTCGATAAAATTCAGCAAGGGTGTTTCTGAGTTATATTTGATATATTTCCCCAAATATCGTTGTTACAGAGTGCATATTACGGCTGCGGAGGACAAAAATAACAAATCGGATGAGCAATATATATGGGAGCTATATCTATATCTAACCCGATTTCGATCAAATTTGGCATAATTATTTTCAGGTCCATGCCGATGCCGATTATTGGATCATGCTATGCATACTGGCAAAAAACACTATTTTAATAAAATTGCAACATTTATAAAATTTAATAAAAAGTGATTCAAACTTTGTTTATTATTTCAAAAACTAAACAAAGTTTCGAATCTGAATAAATTAAATTTATCGTAACTGAAAATTTTGAAAATGTAAAACTTTTTTTGAATAACTTGTACATTCTTGCAAGCTCTGGAACAAATTTTAAAAATTGCAAATTTTCAGTTTAGCGAAAGTAGAATTCTCTAAAATTTATTCAAAGATCTTCTTAAGTAGATAAAGAAAAACAGCAATAAAAATATAGTTTTTTCCATTATATTTTCTAAGATTTGAATGTTTTCAAAAGTATCTTTATATGGACGCGTTTTATTGTTTCAACGTGATTGAGTGTCGTCGAATGTACGGCTCTGTTTTTAAAGCTAGAACAATGGTTCTAAGTCATTTGTTGGCCTTTAGTGACCAAAAAATAACTACTACTTATTTCAGGTGTAATGGTTTGGCAGACTTACTTGAGACGGGAATTAGAATAAAAATAATGTATAATAATGGAAAACCTCCGAATCTATTTGTTATTCTTTCAAGTTTTTACAGCAAAAAGTTTTCAAAGAGAATGACATCTTTGCTTTAAAACGTGGAAAAAGTTTTAAGAAACACAGCTAAAATAAATTGACTCTTCATAAAAAGATACATTCTTAATAACTAGCGTATTCTGTCCTTAAAGAAGTTCTATTTTCACACTTCGTAATATTGTTTTTAGACCTCGGTCAGTCCCAATATGTGATTCCTTTTCTACACAGGTTTATAAAATGTAAAAAAGATTTTCCATTTCATTTTTTAATTCCATATTAGGTTTGATGTAAATGTGTCTCACATAGATCAATGAGAGTATCCGATGGAGTTTATAGTTGAAACATTCAAATATTTCCGGTGCGATAATGGACGGTGGTGGTAAACTTTATTAGCACTGGTCCCACAAATGGTCATTATTTTAAATAAAAACACTCTTAGTCTCTCAACTTTATCACATCCTATTATCCTGTGGTAATAATGTGGAATATAGCTTCACTACTGTCCTTCCCACTCAAACGCCCAAGATGGGTAAATTGCCGAAAGACTTAATTTTTGTTTTTGAGAACCTGTCCCTCCCCCAGTCCAATTTGTTCTACGATTACGCTTATTTGGGTTGTTTCAAGCCTTAAATCTACACAAAAAAGTCATCGTATGGTTTTTATGTTTTTTTTTCCGATTTTGGAGTTGGACGCTTTTAATCTGTGCCGACGATACTCTTTACTTAGTATTGAGAAAATTAAGTTCTGTTGATTATAAAACCGGAAGGTAGTTTTGTTTTCATTACCTTTTACAGGCTTATTCGGTGTACACAGCACAGATTTTTTTCTGGGCTGTGAAGTTATGCTGCTCATTTGGAAGGCTTCATATCCCAACACACCCACTGCACATACAGTCGTCCTATACTTTGGTTTTCGAAGCTTCTGCAATGGCCAATCTTAACCTGTTCAATGGGAACGCAATCAAAGACAATAGCGTTTAAATGCAAGAGAAACTGTTTAAAACAACTTCTGTTCGACTGAGAACAGGACATTCTTATTTATAAAAAAAACCCATTTTAGGACCAAGACAATGTTCTTCGGTTCTTAATTTACTGGACATTGTCGACTAATATTTTTATTCGCTGTGTGCTGTATTTGTAACTTGTTCTCCATTTCGCTACTCTCTCAACAGATCTTATGGAAAACAAATGTGCGCATTCTGTGCGACCCTCCCATTCAAATAATTTGTAGAACAAAAACATTGTAACTTTGTCTTCAATCGCATGGACGGATTCGATTCGGTTTTGCTTTGTTTCGAATTGTGAGCGACGACCGATAAATATTTTCGCTCCCAATAATTGAGTAAATGGCTGTAAGACCACATCATGGAAGAGTTGACGGAGGCATTAATGTTTTCATTGTTTTACTGATATGTTTATACGTGTGCATGCAGGCGTGCTCATATGAAGATTCAACATAGCAATTTGTTCTGCTGCTTTCCAGAGTACAAGCAGACGAACACATAGGTGTGTGTATGTGTTTGCTGACAACCCACCGAACCATGCGGTCCAAGTTCGGTCCGTTTTTCGACAATAGTCGGATAAAATTTCCGAGTTAGATCAAGCAAAAACAATTGCTCAATAATGACCACCACCTCGATTTAAACGAATCCTAACAAAATATTTGAAATAATTGCTTACTCTTTAAAAGATTGTTACGCAAAATAACATATTTCCTAATTTCCGAGAAATGTGTAACGTCGCCACATCAAGGGGTTGCAAGGACATTTTTAAATTACTAAAAACTAAGGTTAAACTTGAAAAAATCCTAAAAACCACAGGGTTGCCGTAGAAACATTAAAATTTACTACGAAGGTGATAGCGGGACTCCGCGAGCATTTAAGGACGCATATAGTACTGCCAGACGCTGCGATCATCGTTTTTTAAAACAATCTTTACAGCAGGATAAAGCTGCGTTCTTCACTCATATCACTCTTAGAACTATATAATTTAGGGAGCGAAGAGTGAGATTCAAATTGCAATGAGAGAACATTGTTCGATAATGATTGAATGTCGTTCGATAACTTCTTGCAATTTTTGTGTGTGAGAGAGAAATATCTCCCAGTGCCGCTTACTGATTATTATTTTTTTTTTTTTTTGTTGGAAAAGTTATCCTACAGACCTATTTTATTCCATTTAGCCAGACCATAAAATTGACGGTAGCTGGAACGGTGGTAGATTTGTTTTTCACACTCCAAATTACAACTAATTGATTGGGGGTAAACTCTTCAAAATACCAAAGCCGAAATTGAACATTTTTGTCCAAAATCCGATGTAAAATGTGGCTGAAACCAACCATATGCCACATATGTGGATATACCGCTATAGGGGCTTCGAACTTGATCTGCCAGAAATCTATTGCAATTCGTTCGGGTGTTGTTCAACAAACAAAAATGAGATTTTTTCAAGCAAAATGTCTAACAAAGAAGATGTGCATTTGTAGTTGACCCTTAGACCAACCATCCACCTATCATTTCACAGAAACAATACACGTATGCCTGTATATCCGTGTACACATCATGTCTAACATTTTAGATTATGATTCGATTAATACGAATTCTGTGGCTCGGACACACACTTGATGCAGATACTGTGACAGCAGTTGCAGTTTGAAGTGGCTTTTAATTGGTGTTATCGGAATTGCTTTATGATTGGAGGAGCAATTAATTGATAGCCGATACAAGTCGTGTTGATATAGGTGCCGGCACTTTGAAGAATTTCATGTGAGGAATCTTAGCCAAGTGGTGTACATATATGTGTATGTGTGCACATTGATAATCCCTACTAGCGCAGCAAACTTTATTTACTTTAACTGCGATGAAAAAAGATTAACAATTTGTGTTTCTTATTTCGATTACAGGGAAAGTTACACGCCCTAATCGGCGGCTAACACGATGAATTCCAAATACGAAAACATGAAGATAATTTACAACCGGAGCAAATTCGGTTGGTATTGGGCGCCAGTGTTTGTGGCGTTCTGGTTTCTACTGTTCTATTTGGTGGTCATACCCAGTTTTCATTATTTCCCCGACACACTTACCATCGACGAAGAAGCCAATAATCCAGGACGTTTTATTGGCGAGAGAGCTGAGAATACGTTGTTGAGACTTTCGAAGATTGGACCCAAAGTCGTGGGCAGTCCGGCCAACGAACAGGTGGCGGTTCACTTTTTGCTCAGCGAAATAGCGAACATAAAAGAAGACGCTCGCCTCGACCTGTTCGAAATTGAGGAGGATGTCCAGGTCGCGTCGGGAAATTACGTGCTATGGAAGATGGTTAACTACTATCAGGCGATTCAGAATGTGGTAGTTCGTGTGTCGCGTAAAAATTCGAACAGTACTGCCGCATTGCTCATAAACAGTCACTACGACTCGGTTCCTGGCAGTTCAGGTGCCGGCGATGCAGGCATGATGATTGTGATTATGCTGGAAACTATGAGGATCATTACGAAATATGATACTCCGCTGGAACACCCCATTGTATTCCTCTTCAACGGTGCAGAGGAGAATCCCTTGCAGGGCTCTCATGCCTTCATAACGCAGCATCCATGGGCGGAAAATGTTAGGTACGACTTAATCGCGTTAGCCCGATGTGGCCACAATTTAACCAGCATCTGAGTTTCGTTACAGGGCTGTGATAAATTTGGACTCAGCGGGATCTGGAGGCAGGGAAATTCTATTTCAATCCGGCCCTGATCATCCGTGGCTCATGAAGGTGCGTATTGGAACAATACCGCATGGATGCAACCAATCCTGAGGTTTATCAAATACAAGCATCGGAATATTGAATTAATTCATGTTTCTATTACAGTATTACGGAGCACATATTGTCCACCCCTACGCATCTACTATTGGCGAGGAACTGTTTCAAAACGGTTTTGTTCCTTCCGAAACCGATTATCGAATTTTCCGAGACTTTGGAAATATACCCGGCCTGGATATGGCGCACTCATACAATGGATATGTCTACCACACGAAATATGATCGCTTCAATGCAATTCCGCGAAGGACGTACCAGTTGACGGGAAACAATATACTGAGTCTGGCAAAGGCGTTGGCAAATGCTCCGGAATTGGAAGACCCTGAGGTATGAGTTAATCGATAGCAACTAAACAGGCGTGAGGTAGAACCTTCTTCTCTTCCAGAAATATGCCGAGGGCCACACGGTTTTCTACGACATCCTTGGCTGGTTTATCGTCTACTACTCAGAGGAGACGGGCCTGGCTGTAAACATTACCATCTGTGTGCTATTCATTTTAACCCTGCTGGGCTATGTTTGGAATATGGCTCATCAAACAGGAATGTTCCGTCGTCGAATTTTTACCAAATTCGGAATATTATTCGGCATTCAATTGGCCACCGTTATGCTGGCAATGGGCGTGACCCTCTTGATCGCTGTCTTCATGGATGCCATTGGACTGTCCATGGCCTGGTTCTCTCAGCCGTGGATGATTTTCGGCCTGTACTTCTGTCCCATGTTCTTTGTTATGGGCATCTTGCCGGCCATTTACTTCAGTCGGACCAAAGAACACGGCCTGCCACTGGCCTATGCTATACAGCTACTAATGCATGCCCACTGCTTGATACTGACCATAATAACCATACTGATGATTGCCTTCGGCATACGCTCTGCATTTGTCATCATGCTGTGCATTGGCTTCTACACATTGTCGGTGATCCTTAATATGGTCACGTGTTTCCATAAGAAGAGTAAGTGCAAATAAGGGATGCGTGGTTCTCGTCGAGCTTTGTCTGACTCAGCGTTTATTACAGATTTCCACTGGCTGATTCCCCATGCCGCTTGTCAAGTCCTACCATACTTGTTCTATACCTACATCTGCTATGCTTTCTACGTTACGTTCGTTCCAATGCAGGGTCGCGATGGAGCGAATTCCAATCCGGAAATTCTAATTGGTGGCTTCACCGCATTGATGTGTCTCCTGTTTGCAGCCTTCTTGGTGAGTGATGCTGAATGGGGGCTCTCAATTACATAAATACAACTGCACGTACATATATCAACATATCATTGCAGGTTCCATTGCTCTGTTTGTTCCGTAAAGCCAAAACAATCATATCTTTGTTCGGAGTGCTTTGCGTCGTGTTCGTAGTATTGGCGGCTACCCCTGCTGCATTCCCCTATGTTGAAAAGGATGCGCCTCAAAGATTCTATGCTGTGGTAGGTTAAAAATAAAACACAAGTCAGCCAATCCGTGTTTGGCCAGCGGCCACATGCTGCGCAGGAATCACTGTGCGCCAAAAGGCCTCAGATCGGAGTAACTATCGTAACATGGTGATAACTTATAAGTAAATCAACCGTTCCAAAGTGACTGTCTTCTCTTCCAAAGTGATTACCTTCTCTTCGATAATGTTGACTGTTATAGCAAACTCCTCAGAAGACTAGCAAATAAAATAGGTTCGAAGGAGCTGCCGCTAAACAAATTCTAAATCATGTTAGAAAGTCGACCGATTCTTCCACCACTTCACCTTGGAAATCCGACATTTCCAATTGACAAACTATAACTTTGTGTTCACCTGAAAGTGAAAAAAAAAAAACAAAGCATTGGGACACACATTGCTCTCTCCCACGGCCTTTTAACTTGTATGGGAAGGTGCAAAACTATTTCGTTACACTCGATTGATCTTACAATTTATGTATATGTATTAAGCATGGTACAAATAAGGCAAACGAGAGGTCCAGTGGGCAAATTTCTTCAATGCATAAGTTGTACTAGCCATTTTTTATAACCTCAGGCATATGGCTACAGAGGGTATATATCATTTAATACGGCCAAAATGTGCCTCACCGAAATAACGGATTTAGACCCTAGGTTTCTTTGGGTCAAATCCGTTTCAAGACATTTGCAGTCGATCTAGCGATGTCCGTCCGTCTGTCTGTCTGCCGGCCGGTGCGTACGAAAAATGTCGACGGTAGTATCCGATTTGATCCAAACTTAACAAACTTACATCGAGTTCGGAGATGGGCAATATCGGTCTATCGGTCAAATTAAAAATATATATCCCCTAATATTTGCATCGGTCCTGCCTCAGGTGCAAAAGTGGACAATATCGGTCCATTCCATCAAGTATACAAAGGGTCAACATTTCGATTTTCTTGTAATTTTGCTCATTCCAATATTTTTATCTGTATCAGATGAAGTATGAAAGTAGAATACTTCCGTCCACTATAACTGGAACCTCACACACATTTTATTTTTTTTTAAATTATTACATATCTCATATAAAGTCATATCCACATCTGGCACTCGCAATATTTCTATCATATTTATTTAGGTCCGATACGAAATGGACAATATTGTCCCATTCCTTCGGAGCCAACTCCATAGAGGGTCAGCAATTTGAATAATCATAACACAAGTCAAAATATATTTAAATAATCGAAAATTGGCATTCCCCACCATGGTAAAATGTTTCGTACGACCGTATTACTCAAACACGAAAAGTGCGTATCTTCAAGCCAACCAAATAAAAGGATGGGAGATTTAAAAAAGGTTTAAATTCATTCAAATGGTGTCCAGTAATGGATTTTTAATTTTCAACCTACCCCGAAATAAAAAGCAAAATAAGTTCAGGGAAAGTTGAATTAGTAAACTTTGAAAACTTTACAGTGCGACGTGTTTCCGGAACTTTCCTTAATATATAAATGCATGTACTCATTTAAGTTTTGTGGTGAAAAAAGTCGAAGGTGTACGCCAGCTATTAGGAAGAACTGTTATGTAAAACAATTCACATGCATATTCGGATGGATATGCCATTTCCAAAAAAAAATGTAATGAGTCCATAACTGTTGCCCACCTTGAATTTATTTTATTTTTATATAAGCGCATTTCAAGTATGTAAAACAAAACGGATGTAAGAGACTTCTTTCAAAACCCAGACACTAGTTTTAATACCCTCAGCCATATGGCTACCGAGAGTATGTATCATTTGATACGGTCAAAACGTGCCTCATCGAAATAATGGTCTAAGACCTTAGGTCTCTTTGAATCGAATCCGTTTGAGGACATTTGGAGTCGATCTAGGGGTGTCCGTCTGGTTGGTGCGAAGGGAGTATCCGATTTGGTCCAAACTAGATCGAGTTCGGAAATGAGCAATATCGGTCCACTCCTTCTGGTACCTCCCCCACAAAAGGCCAATATTTTGAATAAACACATCTCTCATAACATACGAAACAAGCCAGCGATTTTCATCAAACTTCGTGGATCTCAACATTCCTGTTAACTTAGATCTATGGTAAATGTTTCGATCTCTCCTTTTTGTTTAGCTTTTGGTTAACAATTATTTTCTATTAAATTGTAAATACGTTTCCGATTTTCTTTTATTATTTTGCTAATACTCAATCTTTAATGTCTCTTGAGAACGAATTATGAATACCTCACTTTGTATAGCACTATTTAATACATCATTTTGAATCCTAAGTGGATTGAACAGCCTCCCGCTTGTTTTATGGAGAAAGTCAAGATAAGTATGAAGACACATTACATCTAACTTGGCACTAATGCTACATTCGAGCCAAGTTAGTTGGCCTCAAATCCAGACGCACCAAATAAAGTCACACTGGAGATGAGTTTAGACCTTAGACTTCTCCTGCTGCCAATGTCTTTTTTCTTTAAGGAATCCACCAACGAAGTAAATATGTCTATTTAAACGTCGTCCAGGTAGTTTGTTTTTTTTTTTTTTTTTCAAAACAGTAAATGTTGAAGGAGCTGTGCTTTGCAGAGACTAAATTATGGATGCATATATTTGATGATTCAATTTTAGCAGAATAATTTGTTTGTTGATCGGACAGTGAGGCAAGTGTACATACATGTACACCACGATGTTCGTCATTCCCATAGCAACGAATGCAGAACCCATGATCATGCCTAACTAGACACCTTCCCTTATTTCAGCACACTACCCGTACCTTCCACAATGGCGATGCTGCGATGAGTATCAGGCGCGAAGACTCTGGTTTTTATGTTGTACCGGTGGACCGTCACCCCCATTCAATCGACTTTATGTTCGAAAATTCCAATCTGACCAAAGCAAATCATGCGGAGGACTGCGAAAAAGAGGTGCAATGCGGTTTTCCAATCTATAGCACACGGTGGTTGGGATGGCGGTGAGTTAGCGTCAATTTGGAAATATTTATTTGTTCTTTAAGTTTTTTCATTGCTGTCGATTATCTTCGCCTTTAGAAATCAAAGTTTCTGGGTCCCAGCTTCTCAGCCTAGTCGCAGTGGATGGCCTTCCATGCGCATAACTTCGAAACAGAGTGCAGCTCCAGACACGGTTGTCTTCAATTTGGAGGTTGCAGGTCCTAATCACATCAGTATGTTCATTCAGCCCAAAGAGAATGTGACATTGGTAGACTGGTCATTCACAAAAATTCCGTTGGAAAATAAATTCGTCCCACCCTTCTTTGTATATTTTTCCTATGCTCGGGATCCATCACCACTCAAGTTCAGTTTAAAATTTAAGGTGAGAAAGCAAGCTTCGCTACTTCTCTAAGTAGATCATTGGGAGCCTAACCATTTACCCTTTCAGCACCAAGATCCACACTGGTCTGGTCCAACATTTGACCTTGCTGTAATTGGCCACAAAGTTACGGACAATATCAACATTGCAGAGGAGTTTAGAGAATTCCTAGCCAGTTTCCCTCATTGGGCCCATGTAAGTTCATGGACCAGTTCGTACGAGTCCTGGAGTCTGTGATTGGCAACAAAGGCAAACGGTAGCTTAGATCAATTAGCGTAGAGTAGTAAAAATGTGTCCCCTCAAACCCACGAGGTCAAAGTGTTCGGGATACAACCTAGTTTTAAACATTATTGATTGCATATGTGTATGTCCTTTTAATTGAGATTTATTTAGGCACACGTGCTTTTTTGTAGTCTTAAGTGATATTATTCGAAGTCATACGAACAAAATAAATTAACAAAGAATTGTACTTAACGAAGACTCCGCGATTATTTTGTATTTGCGATTAAAGCTGTTCCGTAAATTTGGCACTGCAGAATTTTCGAAGATAAACGGAGAGAGCATTTCGTTGTCTATATTTTCATTTGTTTACGACCATAGCCAAAAATTGCTAAGTAAAGTCTATGGAGAAAATATTTTCTCTGGCGTGCAAATTTTGCAGAAAGATATCGAACAACGTTCAGCAAGATTTTGTAAGAAAACTTCTGTTTTGAACAACGAATGCATTACCCATTTAAATTTGTCGAGAAAATTGAATCTAAATTGCAGTTTCATAATGAAAAATTAGTTATTTAATGGTAAAATACGATATTGAATGCTTATTATGTGAAAATTAAAATAAGTAAAGTATTGCCTGTAATTTGCAAACATTTTTGCATCGATCACAGTACAGCTTACGAGGTTACTCAATAATTCGTGCTGAGTATATTTTTCAAGTAAGTGTACAACTTTCTTTTGTTCAGAGTCTCACAATGACATTTGATCTACAATAATTCTTACTTGGATACTATACTACATAATTCCCAACATACAAAGAATACAATACAATTTGAGAACAATATTATTAAAACATACAATGCATGAGAAACACTTATGTTCCACAAACTTTTCTCAAATCTGTCCTTTGTTGACAAATTAGTTTTGATTTTTTGTGAAAATTGTCAGCAAGAAATTATTTTCTTTGGTAAAAAACAAAATCACGCGAATTTAGGACCCATTTCGGGACCGAACTCTTAAGGTATGGATGAATAAAAAATCCGGGAATCTTTTACATAAATTATTTCAATCCCATTTCAGATTGGAAGCATCAAAAAAGTTGCAGGAATTCAATAGATGTGTAGTCTTAGTGGAAAAGATGCAGAAGCTCAAATAAGGGAGAAGAAAGCGTAAGAATATCAAGGCTACATGAGGCAGTGGACTACTGGGATGTCCATCAAGAAAAAAAATGTGAAAAATGGTTAAAAATTAAAAAAAAAAAATAATATTTTATACTATTACAAAAATAAGCTTAATATAATATTATTTTCGTAAGCTTATTCTACAATTTCAAGTATAAGCTTATAAATAAACGTTCCGTTTCGATTATTCTATACTTGTTACACAAACATTTTTCAACGTTTTCTCAAGATTTTCTCAAGCTTAAGGCTTATGTTCATAAGCTTATTGTTATATTATTCTCAAGCCATTTTGGTATGTTGGGTTCTCACTTTTAGTACATACCCAACATACCAAAAATACAATACAGCTTGAGAATAATATTATGAAAATAGTTTATCGTAAGAATTTTTCAACAATGCTTGAGAAACACTTTTTTGCACAAACTTTTCTCAAATCTGTCCTTTGTTGACAAATTTGTTTTGATTTTTTTTTTTGTGAAAATTGTCAACAAAAATTATTTTCTTTGGTTAAAATCAAAATCACGCGAATTTAGGACCCATTTCCGGACGAAACTCTAAGGTAATGATGAATAATAAATCTGGGAATCTGTAGTATAAATTATTTCAATCTCATTTCAGAATGGAGGCGTCAAAAAGTTGCAGGAATTCAACAGAAGTGAAGAATAAGTGGAGGAGATACAGAAGCTCAAATAAGGGGAAAGAAAGCATCTAAGTATCAAGTATCATAAAAACTATTGTACATGTATACATTGTTTATTATGAAATTTTGTTTCTTCTTTGTACACCTTCACCGAAAGCGTCAAATCAGGGAAAAATTGATCAAAAAAAATTAAGAAATACTTTCGATTTTTTCGGAATATTATTGCAAAAATATTTTGACATACAATTTTTCTTTTCTTTGGTGAATTTTATGAAGAATTTTTTTCTTTGATGTCATCCTTCTAAAATGATGATTTGTTTCAGATTTTTGCACAAACTCACACAAAGTTCGGCGTTAACCCTAAAATGGGTTTTTAATATATATGAATTCCTGGTGATTAGATAAGATTTAGACCCTTGACGTCTTCTAGGACCTATAGGAGAATTTTATGACAAATAATTCTGTGGAATATTTTGACGTGCTCGTTTAAAGGGAGTTTAAACAATATTTTAAAAGGACCAAAAAGATCTCATTATTGACTAGCTCAACGGTTAAATTTGTTTACCAAAATATTTTTCATATTTTTATCTGCACTATTGCCTATGATTTCCCCTGTAATTATAGAAAATGGAATTTTGTTGCACAGTGTTATATTCGCCAAATTCCTGGTTATACGTGTTCCACGTTCCTTCAATTCGATTTTCGGGTACCACAAACCAACTTTCTCACGATATTCGGAATTAGCCGCATTGAGATGCAGATTTGAATATAGCCCCATGTGTAATTCATTTCTTTTCATTTATTTACCTTACATCCCTCTGATTTTACGTTGGTAAATGATGCACAATCAGAGCTACCTTAATGTGAATCATGCAGCCACATTCGGATTGGAGGAGAGACATACCCATGGCTCCCATACATATCTTTCATACATTTTCATGTTCAGGCAACTCAAAACTCATGATATTCACCCAAAAATGTATTTTTTGTATCTAAGACTCAAAAATACATTTGTCAAATTTGAAATCCATTTATGCCATGGAGAAAAAACGCTCGTCAAGTTAAGCCTTGTTTGATCAGACTCATATAAATATAGGGATTTGCAAAGTTTAAACAAAATTAGATTATTTTTTTAGTTCTGGGAGCTAAATTAGTATCTATGAAATTAAATTATGTTAACCTTTTGTGAGGGAGGTACCAAAGGAATATATCGATATTGCCCATCTTCGAACTCGATCTAAGTTTGATAATAATATTACGATGTTCCAAGTATGGACCAAATGGGATGCTCGCTTCAAGAGTTATCCTCCATTCAAAGGGAGGGACACCGCTAGATCGACTGAAAGTTTTCCTGAGACGGATTTGGTCCAAAGAGAACCCATGTCACTAAAACTGTTAGATTGAGTGAGTGAGTGTCAGATCTCTGCCATCAATATCGTACTAATGTTTTAAAAGAATATCATATTACTTCATTTTATGTTTCAAAATGTGTTCACTGCTTAACAATTACAGCACACACACACATACAAACTCTACATAACTGTCGTAATAACACACATACACACACTCATTTAAAGCACACGACGACATGGTTCGCTGGCATTGTCGATATACTGCTGGTAGAAGACCATTCAAATGCTCAAGTCGACAATCAAATTAAACTGGGGATTGTTGTCAGATGCCAATGTCGATCAAAAATTCAGCATATGATTGAAAAGCACAATTCATATAATTTGCCTTGTGCTATAGTTTAGTTTAGACCAACGTCCATATGCCTATGTCTCAATTCTTTTGAATCTAGATTAAACTCCCATGTTTCGTTCGATTTAACAATGCTCCATTTTAAACATACACTTCTGTCAAACATCCACACCAGTCTGGAGCATCACATTGTCGGCTCCATTCGACTTTTGCCCTTTCCTCACAGTTTCGATTTAGATAACACTAACAACTACATGCGTATATGACGCTTTATTGTTCAATATGCAAAATGCTAAGCTATAGTATATTAAAACAATTGATGCATGTACATTTCGAAGTCGCGCCATTTTTGGGAGTATGTTGATTCCATCGGTTTCTAATTTAGTGTCTAGAAGTGCCAGCTTTCGTATGAAGCAACCCAGTGCGTTGGATAGACCCAATCTGGGAATGAAGCCAAGAAACCGTTGAACTCTTCCGTGTACGTGTGGCTGTGATAGAGGAAGTGAGCTCCTATACCCAGACGAAATGAAGGACCTGTTTGTACGGCTACTCTCTAGAAAAACAAAATTGTGCTTTGTAATATTGTGTTCTTTCGAATAGTCTCGTTTCTTCACACATACCTCCACTTCTATCCAAAATTCAAAGGGTGCTTCGGCCATGGAATGGACGTGATATGCAAAATAGGGTGTGTCGTAATCCTCATCCAAAAGAACTCGGTTAAACGACCAATTCGATATTGTATTTCCTGCGTGCGGATCAATGTAAATGACTACCCTGTCTGCTGCTTTCAGTGAGAATTCGTAGCGTATTTTTGTGGGCTCCTGGTACACTTTAGAAAGCAGTTTAAGTTCGGTGGGTATAACTAGGTTGGGAGGTTTGGCCGGGACCCATTTTGAGGAGTTCCTTCAAAGAGAACGCGTCAAGTTAAAGCTTGGCTTAGCAAGATCATTCTACTTACTTCCAGCTCATCCACCTTGAACTATACAATGGCAATCCACAAAACATTTCCGTGGCACATTCTTCCTTTATCCAAAACTGAGGCAAAGCATTTTTCAGTGTAGTGTCATCCAAGCTGCCTGGCCTTGTGTCCACCGGTTGAACATAGAAGCCGGTGTCGTTCTTGACAACAACGCCCGTGTTGTCGTGGATGATTCGTTCTGTATGCTAAAAATTAAAGCAAATAAAAACTTAGGAGATGCACCTCATTTGTATTTCCGTAACGGTCGGCAGTAATCGAATTGTTTCATAATTTAAAGGATGTTTAATAATTAAAGCAGCAAGTATCCTTACCAGAACGTAAAAGCGTTGTGGATGCACATCCTTGGTGTATGGAAAGCCGGCAGGGGTCGCAGCAAGCACCACAAACAGCACACACAACGCAGCAAAAACCGAGGAAATGGTTTTTGATTTCTTGAACTTATTCAAAATAGGCATCTAAAGCAGACCGTGTGTGGATGAGGAGGAAGTTGTACATAGTTTGCATTCAGCCTTAGTAATGAATTGTCTTACTTACAATAAAACCGCCAAAATGTAATGTACAGAGGACACAAAATGCTGACAGCAACAGCTCCGGTTTGCTAGTGGGCCCATCGCGCCCTTGCATTGGAATAAAAAACGTCAAAAACAAGAACGCCATGTAGGTGTAAAACCAAAATGGCATTATTTGGCACGCGCAATGGACGACGAAGTAGTAATCCTCTGCAAGCAAAATATTGTTCACTTGGTAAAGTAGACTGTTGAGGCGCTAACAATTGTAACTTACTTGTGGTGACTTTGGACAGAACCATGTTCAGGATCACCGATATGGTGTAAAAGAACACTGCTATCATTGCAAAGAAGGACGACCGTATGTCGAGTCCGGTCATAACGATGCAGACAACCGCCAATATTAGGCAATGGGCATGCATAAAGGAAACTATTATGTTGTCCAGGTTCAGTAAATTCTAAGAATAAAAATTATCATATATCTGTATCGTTCGTAATACACGTAGAATTCGAAAGAGTAATATTCGTGAGAACTGGCTTAGTTGATAATTAGAAACGACGTCTATACATTCAAAAGTGTTTTGCATTCTTAAGTACCACTTTCCGGTGTAATTCACAACATTACAATTGTAATTCGAGAACTCAATTGGTTATTCGATACTTTCATTTCAAATTTGAGTTATTCCATTCGACACTCGACCTTTAAATAAAACTTAACTAACAACAAATGGAATTCGGGAAATACAATTGAAATGCTGCGAATTGCGATTGAAATTCACGAATTACAGATAAAATTTTCTGATGTCGCATGTGTGATGAAATTGATTCTAACGTATATACTTCTATATATATTGACAACGTTTAATTGCTTCGTTGTGAGTGAACTCAGAGCAGTATCGGAATTCCTTACCTTATTTTTAGTCCAGTGGATGTACAAGCCCGGACCAATAGCCAATATAAAGAACATGGGACAAAAATATAAACCAAAAATTAACCATGTCTCGCTATACCATGACTGTGTTATACTCAGTGCGTCTACAATAACAGCAATCAAAATGGTAAGGCCGGCTGCCACAAGGACCGTACCGAGCTGGCAAATTATGATGACAAAAAACTGCATATAAAACGGTTTGGTCTCCTCTTTTCCTCGTCGTTGGGGCATTTGAAAAACACTCAGAAAAATGAAAATAATAGCGCAGCAGCTGGTTATAACGTTAATAATCGTGCCCGTTGTCTTTGTATAGGCCACCATAAACCAGCCCAGGAAGTCATAGAAAACAACATGTCCCTCCGCGTGTTCCTTAAAAATTACGAGTGATTATTCAGTACAAAACATTCAATGGAGTTCATGTGCATTCTTACTTCTGGATTGGTCAGCTCCTCTGCATTTGCGAGAGCCCATGCTAAGGCCAGCACATTATCTCCGGTTGTCTGATACGTTCCGCGTTCCAGATTATGAAAATTGTCGTATTTCGTATGATAAATATAACCATTGAGGGCATGTGCCATGTCGAGACCAGGCACGCCGCGATGATCACGAAATATGCGAAAGTCAGTATCGGATGGTACAAAGTTATTCTGGAACAGTTCCTCGGCCAATGTGGTCGCAAATGGATGGCGTGCAGATTTCTTATAGTACTGTAAAGACGAAGTGAAATGGAGTTAATGACAAACTATGACTTGAAAATGAATATTCACTCACCTTGATTAGCCATGGATGGTTGGGGCCGGTTTGGAAGAGAACTTCTTTGCCTCCAGATCCAGTGGAATCCAAATTAATCAGAGCTCTGAAAAAATATTTTGGGACATAAAATGCTTTTCGCCATTGTTTGTTCAGTGCTTTCGAATTTAACAATGATCCGCTTATGAAACCGCTGCTTGGCTGCGGAGATTTCAAAATGGCATGTCTTTGACTCTCAAAAACAACATAGCACAGATATAGCGACCATTATCAAAAACAAAACTGTTGCTATGAAGAACCGCGTTCTAGGTCTTAAAACATTGTCCCAGCATTACTAATTCTGCTAAAACGTGCGACATAACAGCATGCATTTTTGCTATTTCAATTAAGTTTAGTGGAATTCGCTTCGGATTAGCTGTAGCTTCCACATAAAGTGTCCATTCCATTTTTATATATTATATTATCTTTCTGGTTGTGCTATTGGTGCTATGATAACATTTTCTGGAAAAAGTTACTCAGTCACCTCAGCAGAGAGAATATGTTTTTTTTTCGAGCAGACACATATATGAGGCATGCCTGTTTGCTTTATCAGAAAGATTTACTCAGATCAGAGACAAATGAAGATATAGACAACGAAAAGTTAGTTTTGTCTTTTTAACCAGGTGGCTCTCATCAGGTGGCATAGTCAACATGTGTTAACCCAATCGACTTCGAAAACACATTTTATCGTTTTTCAAGAATTTCACGGGAATATTCCCATATTTTTCGATGTCACTACAAAGTTTTCACTTATCTTGTATTATGAAACTACAGGTTTAGTTATTTTTAACGTTTTAGAATCGAGTGACTTCAATATTCCAACTCAAACCCCTGAAACGATATGGACGATATCTGCTGATCCGATTTTTCGAAGATAAACGGTGAGGGCATTTCGTTGTTTATATCTTCATTTGTCTATGCTCAGATACATCATGCAACAGAGTTTGTGTTCACTCAAGTGAGAATATGACAAAAGTTTTGAGGCAACTCTCAATTTTCAAGTGAAAATTACTTATTTGCCGAATGCAAATTATCTGAAAAAAATTAAATATTGAAACTGATTTTTATTCGGCTGATGATGCTGCAAAATGATTACTGGGAACAGTAAGAATTTACAAACTCTCAGTAATGTATTTGTTAAAATTGCTCTCCTCTTGACTTGCTCTCACTTACTGGACCTGGCGGAGAGTCTTTAATATCATTAAGGAGTTATTGTTCATGATCTATATCCTAAGTCTCCCTATGATTGGATTCCTTAGAACTCCAATAAATTACAAATGTTCAAAATATTAAGATTTTGTTCTTTTTCATAGCTATTGTATAGTCAATTCATTCTGAAGTAGAATTGTAAAACGGTTTGTAAAGACTTCTAACCAGTAAAGAAAGTCTTAAAGTCGGGCGGGCCGACTTTATGATACCCTACACCACTTTGCTAATTTAGTAGAGCTCCGCATAACAATTGAAAGTTTTTATGGGAGAATTCAATCATATACGCTATGATTATAGTTATAATTTAAAGTTTAAAGAACTAAATATGCTGGGCATTTGTATCTTTTAAATTCGGATTTGTATTGCTCATTTGGTGCACAATTAATTTGAAATCAGATAAAGATATATATGGGAGCTATATCTAAATCTAAACCGATCTCGATAAAATTTGGCAAAGATATTTCTGAGCTGTATTATATTTCCCCGAATATCTTTGTTACGGAGTGCATATTACGGTTGTGGGTAACAAATGCAACAAATCGGATGAACAATATATATGGGAGCTATAGCTATATCTGAACCGATCACCAAATTTGGCATACTAGCTTCTAGACTCAATTCTGTTGTATGTGCCAAATTCCATCCCATTCGGACGAAGTTATATATGAGAGCTGTATCCAAATCTGAACCGATCTCGATAAAATTTAGCAAATGTAATTCTGAGCTGTATTTGATATATTTCCCCAAATATTGTTGTTACAGAGTGCATATTACGACTGCGGAGGGCAAAAATAACAAATCGGATGAACAATATACATGGGAGCTGTAGCTATATCTGAACCGATTTCGATCAAATTTGGCATACTTATTTTCAGGCCCAATTTAGTTTTATATGCAAAATTCCATAATATTCGGGCTGATATTACACGTTTGGTGCACAATAAAAGGCAAATCAGACCAAGATATATATGGGAGCTATATCTAAATTTTGACCGATTATCCAATTTTAATAGGGTTCATCCTTGGGCCAAACAAATGATTTGTGCAAAATTTCATATGGATAGGGCAAAAAATGCGAACTGTACTTTGTTTACAAAAATACATGGACAGACGGACGGACATACATAAATCGACTCAGAATGTGATTCTATGCAGATCATCAAAAGGAACTATGGGTCTATCTCGATTCCGTTTGCCTGTTACAAACAAATTCACAAAGACACCCTGACCACCTTGTGGTGTAGGGTATAAAAATGTGAACCCAAAATATTGAGTAAGTTGACCAACATAAGAATAGTATTGTGCGCAAAATGGGAGGCATGTTTTGATTGCCGGCGGAAAAGCAGCTTTATTCGCAGTTATATCCAATGAATTTTTTTGTAGAACATTTCGTCTTTGGGCTTTCGTCGCCTTTTTCTTAAATCGTTTTTCCTTCCTATAGAATAAAGAACTTCAGAAATTCTGCTAGTTTAATACACCTTGTGACTGCCTTTGTTTCAGAAAGATATATGGATATAGAAATCATTCTCACCAAGAATGAAATAGACGACTTACTTGCAGTACGGTGCCCATTTATGTTCCGTTATGAAACCATGTGCAGCCAAGAGATTACTTTCTTCTGCACCGTTAAATAAGAAAACGATCGGATTCTTTAACTCCTTTTCTGACGAGGAAATAACACGTAGAACTTCTAGCATAACCACAATCATTACGCCAGCATCGGCAGCAGCGGGTGAGGCTACTTCTGAATCGAAGTGAGAATTTATCAACAAATACGATTCACTTGTTGTGTTCTTGGGCGAAAGCTTGACAATAACATTGGAGACATTATGATAGGAAGTGGCCATTTCCCAAAGCTCGAAGTCTCCCGATGAATACTGAACATCTACTTCCATGTCGTATAACTCCTTTCGCGAGGCAGACGCTATTTTCTCGATTTCCTCCAATAAAAACTGTATTGCGTAGACTTCATTTTCCACTGTGCCCGTGAGTTTTACACCAATCGATGACAATCCGAGTAGTTGAATTTGAGCTCTTTCACCAATGAATTCATTTGGATGATGACGTTCATCGCGTATTAAATTAGTTTCGGGATAAGAAAAAAAGCTCGGGATAACAACGACGTAAAAAAGAACAAACCAAAAAACGCAGAACAATGGGGCCCAGTACCAATTTATTTTCTTTGACTGAACAAATCCCTTTGTATCCAGATTGACATCGAAACTCTCCTTCATGTCTGCCACCAATCGAAAGAACGCCTAAATTTGTACTAAATTTAAATTTGTAAACTGAAGGTAACAAGAGGCAAGTGATCTTATCAAATGCTACAATAAATAGTATTTATATGCTATAAATTAATAAAAACAACTTCGATTAAGAAACAGTATATATTGGTCATTAGCGAATATATATTCTTGTTTTTTCATATCTGCTCAGATTAATATCAGCTAATAATCCGATAATATTAGACCACTGGTTACTAGCATTGCGAGGAAAGGGAAAAACATTTCATAGGGTCTTAATAGAACATTTTTTATTAGACACCATAAACTTAAAGGTCTATGATAATTAATTCATCTAATGGAGTCTAGAATATCCAAGTGTCGTATGAAGCCGGCCAGGCAATTGGATCGACATAATTGGGGAAGCTAGCAAGGAACTTTTTGAATTCGGGCGTTTGTTTATCTTCATGGTGATTCCAATGTCCGCCAATGCCTATTTCTAGATTTGGTTTACTCCAATCACCACCTTTTTTCTGTAATCATACAAGGAAATGTAATTTATCAAATTCTAGAATAGTAGCATTGATGTTTGTTAATATATTTTATATCAACTCACCTCGATTTCCAACCAAAACTTTAGAGGATCCCCGTTTATTCCATATGAGAAATAAATAAAATAAGGCGGTTCCCACTCCATACGCAATGGTGTCCAATGGAAAGACCATTCAATTACCCTACCTTCATTAAGAGGTCTTATAAAAATGCCCATATGGTCGGGACCAGTCAATTCAAAATCATACCGTAATTTTGTCTTACTTATTTGATTTTTGGAAGTAACATTTATGACAGGCATATTGTCGAACGTGGGCTCCGGTCCAGGTATCCAAATACTAGACGCTCTGCGTAATTTATTGAAAACAAATCGTTAAGATGAAGCGTGTCAACCTTAATTAAAAATCCAGCCTTACCTTGATTTATGCCACCTGTGATTATACAGGGGCAGCCCACATAACATTTCTGTTTCACAATCGTCCATTATTGGTCTTGCCAACGTCATATTTATCACATTATCTGTGGGAGAACGGAATTATGTTATCTGTGTTAGATGTCCTAAACATATAGCGATCTCTTATCGTATTTACTTTTAACTGAATATGTCCTCCTGTCCTGAGGTAAAATATAATAACCCGTTTCGACTCGGCGCACTTCATTGTGCATATCACGGAAAGTACGTCGTGTGTGCAAAATGGAGAACCGTTGAACATTTGTTTCTGGTCTGTATGGGAAACCGAGTGGAGTAGCGGCTATAATCAAACAAACCAAAGTTAATCCGAGCAGCGAGCAAATGATAGTCCTCGATTTCCTGAATAAATTTAGACAAGGAATCTGAAAGCCAGTCAGCGTGTTAGTAACAATACTCCCAAATATGTTTAACAAACTCAACATACCATGAAGCCACCAGTAAGTATGCCCACGCCAACCGTAAAGGCGCAAATAATTAAATCGGGATTTACGGAAGCGCCAAACCGTCCAGTCATCGGTATAAATGTAACAAAGAATCCGTGCGACAAATATGCATAAAATATAAACGGCGGGATGCCACAGATAATATGAGGTATCATCCAAGCCATAGCTATAAATAAATTGTGTATGGATTATGGTACTTTCCTCCAGAGGTTGTTTGAAGCTTACGTTTATTATGAAGTTTTGTCGCCAGATTAATTATCAATGAATTTGTGTAGAACAAAATAGCTATGGTAAACATAAAGGCTGAACGAATTTTACAAATAGTCATAAGCAACGTTAGTGCTGATAGAAACAGACAATGACAATGTAACAGCAGCTGCACGCGATATCCCATTGGAAAACGATCCTAAAGAAAAGAAATGTTAAAAGAGCATTGATTGGGCCACATATTTCGGTACTCACATCCTTCGTATAGTGAAAGTACAGAGCTGGAATAATCGCAAAACCGAAGAAGAGCGGGCAAAAATATAAACCCAATATCAACCACGAGTGTGTAAACCATGACATTGGTAGGTGAATCAGGTCCATAAATATGCCCATTAGGAAGACTAATAAAGCAGCGATTAAAACAGCAACCACTTGCACTAAGAACGTATTCAAAGATCGCCTCAGGACATGGCGCAGTTTCAGGCCGGTACAATTTGACATTTGGAAGAATGAATAACCACATGCAGCAATGGCGGCCAAACAAACAACAACGTTCAAAATAATGCCTTCGGTTTCAGTGTAAAATACTAAAAATGAGCCCATTACATCAAAGAAAACTGTATGCCCCTCGGAGTATTTCTAAATTTGAATTTTAAGCATTAGTTTAGTGACTTCGTTACTTTTTTGCCAAGAGCAGTACTTACCGATGTATCTTCTAATTCGTGAGCATTAGCTATTTCTCTTACCAAGGCCAAAACATTATCACCAGTGTTCTGCAAGCTACCTCTTGGTAAGATTTCTGGCCGATCATAACGTGTATGATACACATAGCCGTTATATTGATGTGCCATATCGAGACCTGTAACGATGGTAAGCTAAGTTTTTAGTTCTATTATATATTCCACAAGAGTTTAAGTTAAGATATGGATATTTTTCCATTAATTAATTTTAACGAAGAGTTCGGATGTTTATGTTTATGCATTAGGTGTGTACGATAACTTTTGCACTAAAAATTACATAGTAAATTGAACCAACATTTCAAACGAGTGCCTTATCAAAAACATAATTGTTTTGAATGGATTTAAAATTAATAAATGTTAAAAAACCAGCTTGTCGCTTGATTTATACGTACACAAGTATACAACCCCACTACGGAGTCGTTTTTTTATTAACATCAAATTTAATGCACCTAATATTCTTGTACCAAGAGTTTAAGTATACCAAAACGATAGGTATCTCATATTTATGTGTCATAATTGTTTAACTAAAGTGCTGAATCGATTGTTAGGGTTAGGGAAGAGAAAATTTTGTTGACCATAGCTTTGCTCTTTTACAACGGTTTGCTTGAAGCGTTTAATATGACATAAGGCTGTCGAGATAAGTACACTAACAATTTTTATCAGGCCACATATTCGGCAAATGTATAATAATAATTTTGTCTTTTCTGAGATCTACATTGCTCCCGTGATTCATTAGATTATGTTACAATTTATTTTACAGCTTATAGAGAGCGAGAAGTTCGACTTATTAACTTTATTGTATTTTTTGTCACAGAACATTTTTTGTGCATTCGTTGTTGACGAATAATTTTTACTTACCAGGCACCTTTCCATGGTCTCTGAAAATACGGAAATCTGTATCGGATGGAATGAAGTGCCTTTGGAACATCTCTTCAGCTACCGTGGAAGCATAAGGATGGACAATTGCATTTCTGTAATGCTGTAATAAATGGAGAGAAGTTGTGAGAGGGAAAAGGCATGCCGGGATATCTGTCTTTTTTAACGAACCTTCATTAACCAAGGATGATTTGGCCCAGATTGGAAGAGAATTTCGCGACCACCATTGCCAGCGGAGTCCAAGTTTATTAAAGCCCTTGAAAAAAATGGCATGTAATCTGATATCATCGCAGCAACGACCCAACTTACTTGCAATATTTTGCCCATTTGTGCTGCGTAATAAAAGCGTGTGAGGCTTGCAAAGGATTTTCTTCGGCACCGTTAAACAGGAATACAACTGGATTTCTTAAAGGCTTCTCCGCTTTTGACAATACACGTATAGTTTCTAACATAATAGCCACCATTGCGCCATCATCCCCTGCTCCTGGTCCACTGGGTACGGAGTCGTAATGGCAATTTACCAACAAGTACGATGTTCCATTGTAGTTTTTGGGTCCCACTTTGATCACAAAGTTCTGTATATTTTGATACATGTTAACCATTTCCCAGTGTACGTAACTTCCGGAAGCGATTTGCACATCTGCTTCGATTTCGTAGATATATTTAGCTTCGCTCTTAAGCTTTTGTACATACGCATGGAAATAGGTTATGGCTCCTTTTTCATTGGCTTCGCTACCAACTACTCGCGGTCCTAGCTCAACTAATTTCTGCAGATTTATTTCCGCTCTTTCAGCAATGAAACGGTCGGGATATTTGGCCTCATCTTTAATGTTCAATGGATGGGGTAAACGATGGAATGCAGGTATAGCAACCGTGAAATACAGTATCAGCCACAAGCCAATGAATACTGGAGCCCAGTACCACCTGATTCTGTTGCGGGTAACAAAGAGACTTTTCAATCCCACATTCTGTAATTAATAAAATAATTGTTGATTAAAAAATCTAGGTTTTACTTTTCACTAATATAACGAATAGTAGTCCCATATCTTATCATTCACGTTGTCATTTTCAGATACTATAACCATTCGAACGAAGAACTGCATACAGTTGTGTTGAGAACAAAAAAAAATAACTGTCCATTCAAACTATCCAAATAGTCTCCACATTGGAATATGTTTTATTTAAACATGTTATCGTCCCAAAAATTGAATTCCTTAACGGGAGCTACAAATCGTTTTGCTTGGCGGCTTATATTGGTCGTCATTTTAGTCCTTTAACTCTACTCAAAAATATCATATATGTATACCGTGACATTCGTGTATATAACAGATATTATACCAGTTTTAAAATCAATTGTCTGAACATATTCATGCTTCAACTTTTCAGTGTCCGTGGATGTGCCTAATGAGTCTACGTATTTAATTCTTTGTAACAATTTAGAAAAGGTTGGCTGGACGTATTCTTTTTACCCAAAAGTTCCGTTAATAAGTATCACTAAAATGGTGATTTTAAAACTTTAGTTTTCTGCGATGTACAGTTAAAGGAGGTTACAAGCAAACCCCATCTGATTTGTCTGCTAACACCATAAATGTGGGGGTATATATAAATTCAAGGTACAAATTGTTTAACTATTGTTAACTTATGGAAGAATTCAGAACGAAGATACCAATCGATTTTGGGCTCTTACCAAAAGTCAACTGCAAAACAATATTTTTATTCATTGAAACTACACATACTTTGGCACTCCTTTCTTGCTGACGGTATATCAGACAAAGTATTTAAAAAAAAAATGAGATATATGCCACCCATATGGGCTATTTGATTATATCAATGGTGTATGGGTACAAATATTTTTTTGAGCACGGATGTACGCAAACAATACAAACATGATTTACACGACAACTCACCTCATCTTGTGTTTGTGTTTGCCGTAGTAATGGATCGGTTGTACTTTGGTCGGCATTAGGCATGTTAACCCGTCGTCTTATGTTTTTGCCGCGATCATCCATTTTTATGGAGATGGTTTGCTTACTATTTACTGATTTCCTACCAAGCGAGGAGCCAATCCGCTAGATCACTGTTGAACACCTCAGCACTGACTGACCGACCGGTCACCACCTGTTTCTAAGTAAGAAGCAAAGATGTACATTTTGGGCGAGTTCTTCATTCGAAAACCAAACATTATTTTTTGTTGGAAGGGCGATAAACAAGAAATCAATCGGGGAATTGCGTATCTTATCTATTGGATTTACACTCACACACCGTCGCCGGTTCCACCGTTTGCATACTGTTTTGATTGCTGGATTTGTGTTGTTCAAGTGCTGATTACTCGGTTAACAAATAGACGAGTACCGACGCAAAAGCAATTCAAAGAAATATTAGGCTTGCCTTTTACACCGTCCACATCTACGGTAGTAAAGAGATTAGATTAATGTCCAGTTTTTCTCAGGCAATGGCTAGATTCATATTCTTTGAAATGAGAAATGAAAACTTTTGTAAAGAAGATACATGTCAAATGAAAGCAATTATTAAGAAAATATTTTGCATTTCATGCAACAAGAATTCAGTCCCTGTTCTCTGAAATACTCGAGCGAGCTTTAAGGTGAGAATACATAAAACGCTTTTTTGACTGGCTCAAGTCATCGGCTGGCTTAAATCACTGGCACGAAGAAGTCAGCCGATGACTTAAGCCGGTCAAAAAAGGGTTTTATGTTTTCTAACCTTTAGTCCTTAATCGAGTTCGAGCGGAAGCTCAAAGATGAGAGCGTTTCTTCGTCTATATTTTCAATAGTGTATGTCCAACAGCCCTGCGCGAGAACACGAGACCGCTCATTAGACAATTTCTCCTTGATTTTAGAAAGTATCAATAAATCAGTGTTAAAACGTTATTTATTCCTTTATTGCTTCATTAATACGATTGGATCAAGTTCATATTTAAAACGAATATAAAGAAAAACAGTCCAAGTCCAAACGCGTTGAAGAGCATTGTCGCCAATCTGCACCTCCACTGCTGTCGTTTCAGGAGTGTTAGTGAAAATATTAAATCAATAAATGTAACAAGTAAAAAAGCAGTAAGTTCGACCGGGCCGAACTTTGAATACCCTCCATCATTAGCTAAAGAAAACATTTTTTTATAAAAGTTATATGAGAACCATACCAAAACGGGAACCTCTATAGACAATATTAAACTTCAAGGATTGTCACCTACTAAATCTTCCTAAATACCAAATTTGAAAAAATTTCGTGGGTAAATGTGGCTTGGTTTATCAAAATACCGAATATCGGTGGGTATCGTTATATGTGCGCTATAGGAAAACGTGGACCTAAATATTCAATGTTTTGTCGTCGATTAATACGAGCGGAGAGCGACCATCGGCTGTTATGGCGGTCCACACCATCACCATGACCGGCGCTTGAGTTCTGGTGGCCACCGAAGTTGCACATTTTCAGCTGACCTCTTTGGCAAGTAAACACGATCATTTTGTTTGTTTACAAACTGCTGGACAACGAATGTTTTCTCATCGGAGAAAATCAAATTCGGCAATTTACTACTTTCGGCCAAGCGAAGCAACTCTTTAGCTCTTTTGAGTCTATTTTCTTTCTGTTGCGGTGTTAGTTCTTGCACTTTTTGGAACTTCAATGGCTTTACCCCGAGCTCATTTTTAAATATTTGCCAAATGGAATATTGCGATATGTTCAGTTCACGAGCCATTTTTCAGCCACTGCGACGCGGGTTTCGATCAAGTCGTTTCTTTAATTTTTGGAACCATTTCTGCTCATATTGCTGTTTTCTACCATCCACTTCCTTGTCGTCGGCTACGATACTGGTATCACGGTAACGAGCGATGTTACGAGACACAAAAGATTTAATCACATTTGAATGCTGGAGTGCTCTAACGATAGCCACTTGTAGTTTTCCAGCCAAGTATAAAGAAATCACTCTATCACGCTTGAATTCGATCACGAATACCTTTTTCTGGAAAATTGTGACCAAATTGCTTTTGTCTGCTTGTAAACAATATAATGAGCTGTCTGTCTGAAGTTGGTTGCAGTTTTTTCATCACACCCTGTATGTACTTTGTTCCGACGCCTATTGCGAACTACAAATACCAATTTTTAGACAAATCGGTGAAAAAAAATGTAGCGAAAATCATCGAAATACCGAATATCGAGAGATGAGATGTTGTCAAATGTATAATTTTGAAAAAATTGTAAACATATGATTGCTTGACTTTACCTTCTTTATTCTACCATGACAATAACAAAGAAAGTGTAAATTATGTTTGACATTCCATGTGCCTTTTAAATTTTGCAGGAACATCTTATTGCACCATGCATGGGACGTTTTTCAATGCAGTTATACGGAATTCAATTTATTTCAATCTTAAGCGCGAAATACCAAAGGATATTGGGATTAACACAGGATTATTGGGATTAACAAAATCATAAAAAGTAGTCGTAAAAACATTTCAACTATTCTAACATTGCGGTTTTCGCGGTTAATAAGACATGAATATTATTCATGAACCAAACGTCGGCACGGTGCAATGTTCCACACTATTGTCAAACTGATCCATTGGTACGCATTGTTGCATGCGCGTACGAAAATAAACTTTACCGAACGTTTGCAACGTCCATAATACAATGGAAACAGTGTAAAAAACAATATTTACATTGACGTCTCTAAATATAGCAGTCCTCATTTCGCTCAGCAAACGTTTTCCTGCGATTCGTTCGCCAAAGATACAACTCGGCAAATCACAGCCGAAGTAAGTTAAAGCAATCGTATTGTTTGTGTACTTCTGGCATTGAAATGTGTGTGGTATTGTTTTGTGTGAAGTACAAAACGATTGAAAATAATTTTGAAGTTTCTGACTTCGTGGGAGCAGTACGTTATTCGTTTCGTTTGTTTTCATTCGCTGATTGCATGTATAATTCCGTTCTCAACTTCTGTCATGGCCACCATGATAAACAGGAACAGGGCACACAAGCAAATGCCACACGTCGGCATTCAAGTTATGCCCTTGTGTCAAAATGGCATATCCCTTTTAGAAATAACGGTTACTTCTCCTCTGCGAGATGCTAAAGAGAACACATACTCATTGAGGGCTTTAGTTTGTTGCAGGGGTTTGTCGTGCACGGTCGTGGGGGATTTCGGACGAATTTTACGGCATAAGTTGTAGTTGGTGGTGTAATAAAAAAAAGAATAAATAAAAATAGAGTTTTGAAAAGGGTAAATGCATACAACATACTTAAGAATGAATCCGCGTTATATGGTAGCTTCAATCGACATAATCTTGGAAATAAACGAAGAGTTACAATTTAAAACCGAAAAAAAAAACAAAAAAGAACGTACATAAAAACGAAATGTTATGTATACACATACATACATACCGACACACTTCTGTGGCATTGTCCTAGATGTTGTATACCTTCATCCACGACTGTTTACTACTCCTACATGGAGTTTGGAAATCATCCGCTTGTGCACATTCGTACATGCATACATACATTCGTAAATAGTATCCTTCTGCTACAGTTTGCCTGCGGCCTATTAAAATGACATTAAGATAATCCTCATCTTCCTCTTAAAGTTATACTGTGGCTATGCTTTTTATGTAATGTCTCATCGGCCAACTCGAGCTATAGCAATTGTAGTTCAAGTTGTTGTTATTGCCATACTTTCACCTAACCACCCACACACATCCGACCGACTGGTGGGGACATGCACTGCGGGCATTTCCCGTCGTAGTTAGTAATTTCATTCTGGTAGAAGTGCATTAACTGGGTCAAAGACCAAAACCTCCTTCCAAATGGGTCTATAACTACCCGAAGCAAGCTGAGTTAAATTTCATATAAAATGAAAAGTGCCGTGATTTCAATACGAAATATGGAGTCACCATCGGAGGTTAGCGTGTAGTAAGTAGCACGCTTCAAATAATTTACACGTTACACACATGCGTTCAGCTGCTGCTACTACTACTACTACTATTTGCAGTGCCTTAGCCATCGCCGCTGACTGCATGACCATGGATACAACACCCTGGCCCTCTTCCCCTGCCGCACTATCGTAGTTACTTCTTCGAAATTGATTTTTCGCCCATCCGTATGCCGAGGCGAGTTTGTTTATGCGATTGCTTTGGGTACAGACTGAATGGTAGTGATTTTTTACACAATTGTATTTCTATCTCCAAACAGTTCAAGACGTCGTTATTAGCATGCGAACCCTTGTGCCGGTGTGTATATGTGTGTACGCCTAGCACAGACCTTGGTGCTACGATTCAAAATAATTCGGTTTATTTTGCACTCGCTTACACTCGTATTTCTGGCTTGCTGCCTTTTTCACTGTCACTCAAAAAGCAAAAGTAGGTCAGTAAGATTTTACGAGTACATCTGTGGCAGTGGGTGAATGAAATTACCTACCCTCGGGCCAAGTGTTTAGATGACAGCGCAAGCTGCCAACAAAAAAAAAAAACTTTTTTGTCGATCAATCTGGATGGCCGATTTATTGTAACAGACACCGCAAGCTCCTTTTTCGTTTGAACCACACGCTCGTATAAAAAGAATTTGAATTGTTTTTGTTTCGCTTGGGCATATGCATGTATATATATCCATATAGCATATATATATGTATATGCATATTGTAGAAGCTATACTATAAGCACGAATGTATGTATGGAAGTTATGTTATTCCGTGTGGCGTTTTAATTTAGCTATATCAGCGAGTTTAAGCTTTATAACCGAGTGTAGAAAAAAACAACAAATCCCGCCAAAACAACTCCCAAAACATTCAAACTGTTTTGTGGATGTATTCTGTTCGGAAGGGGGCCCGATAACACAAATACGGAAGGCCTAAGGAGTGCTTTAGCCCGTCTACGCAATAGAACGGGCCCCTCAATTCCACAACCATCTCCACCTACCTCACCTCACCCCTCCTCAGCCGGCGTCAGTTGCGGACGCGAATTGGCCACCAGTGTCACAACAGCAAAAACCACAGCAACCTTCGTCAGCAGTAATGAATCGAATCGAAATGTAAGTAAAATTATATTTTTATATATTTATTTAGATACACTCTCCGAATCTGCAGTGCGGCAAATTCTAATGTAGAAGTTGTTTCACCGCTTATAAAGGGAATGCCAGAACCGCACTCGAATCCTGCCATCGATTTTCTGCGGCTTATGTATTATTGTGCCAAATAGAGTTTTAAAGCATGCATCTCGTACTGTCACAATGTATATTTATGTTTAAAACATTTACCCAATAGCGGCATGCATTTTCACAATACGGGTGAAATCAGCTAGTCTTATTGGATGTATGCACTTGATTCTTTCTCTATTCGTTGTTCGATCATTTACCATGAAATAACTACTTAATTCACCACACAAAAATGC